CACCCAGCTGTGATTGGGTACCTAAGTTTACAATTGAGGAAGTGAAGACGTGCGACTACAGTGCCCGGCCACGCTGTCTCCTTGAGTACCGAAGGCTTAGTAATGAAGGAGATGTGTCAACACGGGCACCACCGCCCCGAGCGTCAGGGCCACGTCACTCACTTCCATTTCCAATATGATAGCGGCCCGGCTCATTAGACTACACGGGTCAGTGAGTGTTCACACCGCACCACTAGCGGCCCCCGTAGAAGCTCGGGGGAGACTCTCACTTCTTCTGTTGGGAAGTTAATATGCCAAAACGAACACCAGAACACCTTGTACAGGTACTGGTGTGCAGAATAACACGACAGATGTGTTCACTGATGTAAACGATAATTAGGAACTGTGTCACAAAGTGTTCAGGCGTGTCAAGGAGTGTCGTGCTGTGTGTCAAGGAGTGTCGTGCTGTGTGTCAAGGAGTGTCGTGCTCTGTGTCAAGGGCAGTGTCGTGTTGTGTGTCAAGGAGTGTCGTGTTATGTGTCAAGGAGTGTCGTGTTGTGTGTCAAGGAGTGTCGTGTTGTGTGTCAAGGAGTGTCGTGTTGTGTGTCAAGGAGTGTCGTGCTGTGTGTCAAGGAGTGTCGTGTTATGTGTCAAGGAGTGTCGTGTTGTGTGTCAAGGAGTGTCGTGTTATGTGTCAAGGGCAGTGGCGTGTTGTGTCAAGGAGTGTCGTGTTGTGTGTCAAGGAGTGTCGTGTTGTGTGTCAAGGAGTGTCGTGTTGTGTGTCAAGGAGTGTCGTGCTGTGTGTCAAGGAGTGTCGTGTTATGTGTCAAGGAGTGTCGTGTTGTGTGTCAAGGAGTGTCGTGTTATGTGTCAAGGGCAGTGGCGTGTTGTGTGTCAAAGATGGGTTTTATAATAACCCTTCTTTTAATAATCCAGGAATAATTATGACAAAGATAACGTATATCGAAAAATTAAAACATTCACGTAAATTCTGCCCAAATATTAAACATGAGGACACACATGATAATGGCTGCAGTGATAATTGTCTCGCCTTTGTAATAATTATATTCTGATGACGTCACTGTTCAGTATTTAATTAGATTTTATTACCTCGAATTTTCATCATTAATTATTGTAACTCAAACACAAGAGTACAGTCACAGACACAGGGACCGGTACAGAGTTGATACAGTAGTGATAATACATAACAATAGCTGAAGGTCATTACAAGGTCACTACACACAGGTCATACAAGGTCACTACTCAGGTCATACAAGGTCACTACATAGGTCATACAAGGTCAGTGCAGAAAAAAGTGTTAATGGTCATTCTACGTTGCTCGATAGACCACCTTCTTTAAAGACCTCACCTGGACCGACAGACCCTCCTTCACCTGAACCGACAGACCCCCCCCCCTCACCTGGACTGACACACCCCTTTCACCTGGACCAACAAACCCCCCTCACCTGGACTGCCACACCTGCCTTACCTGGACCAACAGACCCCCCTCACCTGGACTATCACCTCCTCACCTGGACAGACACCCTCACCTGAACCGACAGACCTCTCACCTGAACCGACAGACTCCCTCACCTGAACCGACAGACACTCCTCACCTGAACCGACAGAGGCCTCACCTGGAACTCACACTGAACCGACAGACACTCCCTCACCTGAACCGACAGACACTCCTCACCTGAACCGACAGACACTCCTCACCTCTCCTCACCTGAACTGACAGACACTCCCTCACCTGAACTGACCCCTCACCTGAACCGACAGACACTCCTCACCTGAACCGACAGACCCTCACCTGGACGACCCTCAGACCTCCTCACCTGAACCGACAGACACTCCTCACCTGAACCGACAGACACTCAACCTCACCTGAACCGACAGACACCTGAACCGACAGACACTCCTCACCTGAACCGACAGACACTCCCTCACCTGAACCGACAGACACTCCTCACCTGAACAGATTAGACTCCCTCACCTGAACCGACAGACCTCACCTGAACCGACAGACTCCCTCACTGAACTGACAGACACTCTCACCCTGAACCGACAGACTCTCTCCACCCCTCACTCCCTCACCTGAACCGACAGACTCCTCACCTGAACCGACAGACACCTCCTCACCTGAACCGACAGAACCACCTCCCCACCTGAACCGACAGACACCCTCACCTGAACCAGACCACCTGAACAGACACCCTCACCTGAACTGACAGACACCCTCACCTGACCTGACAGACACCCTCACCTGAACAAACCACTGACACCCTCACCTGAACCGATGACACTCACCTGAACCGACAGACCTTCACGTAAGTCAGAGAAATTCTTTTAGGTTCCACTCTCTGTCTCCATCCATTATGCCGGCAGAGATGACAAAAACTCGCTTCTTAAAGAATGACGCCAAAAAGTTTTGATTAAGACGAAGAAATGATTTAACAGGATGGCGATAAGACGGTGGTTCATGGGGCCCTCAGACAGACAGACAGACAGAGGGAGGGGGGTGAAGAGAGGGGAATAAAGAGAGACAGAAAGACAGAGAGAGATGGAGACAGAGGGATAGAGATAAAGGGGGGAATAAAGAGAGACAGAGACAGAGAGAGAGAGGAAGAGGGAGACAGAGAGGCAGAGACAAAGGGGGAGAGAGACAGAAGGGGAGAGGGAGAGAGGGACGCAGAGACAGAGGGGGAGGGGAGAAGAGACAGGCAGATAGACAGACAGACAGAGAGAGGGAGGCAGTGGGGGAAGAGAGAGAGAGGTATACATACATACATACATACAATACATACACACACGAACATACATACATTCATACATACATACATACATACATACATTACATACATACACACACACACACACACACTCACACACAGTATTTCACCTGATCTTCTGATGGTAACGGTACAAGTGGTCTAAACTCCAGCAAGAGGCGGGTAATTAAGGAGTTTCGAACTGGGGGAAACCAGAGTTTTTACGCCAACAAGAGTTTCCACATCGCAACAGAAACTTGAAGATAGACAGAGAAGTTTGTTAAGAAGAGAGAAATTGGGGAAGAGGATTTGAGATTTAGCTGCATTTTTCCTCTTGGAAGCTAAGTCAGGTAACATTGATTAAAAATTACCTGAGAGTCGTTAATGTTTATTTAGGTATATAAGTAAAGGTATTGGTTAAGCCCTTTGAATAACAAGAATCAGGTTACTAAGATCATGTCATCTCTTGCATATGATGAGTACATTGACTTAACCCTTGAGTACGATGTTTTAACCCTTGAGGACGATGTCTTAACCCTTGAGGACGATGTTTTGACTCTTTTGAATAAGATGGCCAATTCCATTCAGTACAGTAACTCCCTCATTCCCCACACGCTCACTCATTCCCCACACCCTCACTCATTCCCCAAACCCTCCCACTCCCATACTCTCTCCCTCATTCCTCACAACATCCCTCATTCCCCACACCCTCACTCATTCCCCACACCTTCACTCATTCCCCCCACCCTCCCTCTCCCATATTCCCTCCCTCATTCCTCACACCCTCCCTCTCCCCCATTCCCCACACCCACACCCTTACTCCCAGACCAGCAGACTCTAGAGGACACAAGAGACGCACCAGCAAAAACTCCGACCCAGTAGTTCCATCATAAACTCTTCAGGGGCTCCTCACTCAAAAACCTGAGGCTGGATCTGAGACGGTCCTGAGTCAAGGTTGGTGATCCGGGAGGTGTTAATTTATTTTATTTTTTACCGTGAGGCACCTTGGTAGATGTCAACCCCTTATTATGGACAGAAATGAGCAGATATTTTAGAAATAAAGTAGAACAGTATAAAAACAAACTCACGAAATATATAAAAAAAAGGTGTATTAGTATATAAGAATATCATCTGCATAACAGGAATGAAAAGCAAAAATAAAAAGTTTTGGTGTTTTATATAGTTCAAAGCAGATTAAACTGTTACACTTTTACTTTTATATAAGTATATTTTTTATCCAACAGCATCAAAAGTGAAAATCCTTTTTACAAAAATTAATTTACAAACATGGTGTTTTTTGTATTGTGGTGTGTGCGTGTGTGTGTGTGTATGTGTGTTACACTAAATAGGACAGGATTTTGAAATGCTATACAGGTATTTCCATGTACCGTATAAGTAAGACTGCTGAAGTTATTCAAATTAGAGATTTAAAGAAAACTCATATGTTACTGGTTGTGTCTGCTAGCCAACTGTAGCATCCAGCTGATTTGTAACTGCCTGCTGCCATTACTTAATATTTTTTAGCATAATTTTTGTTTGCCTTTACTTCCTTTGATAAATGTGTAACATATAGAAAATAGCCAGGAAAGCATCATAAGAATTATATTAGGTCACATCTCTATCAACAAGTTGTAGCCAGAGTCACCCAACAGTCACAAAGCATCAGTTTAGAGAGTATGACACAACACCGTATTCTTGTACACATTATTATAACAAAGATGTCACACAGTACTGCACACTATTCCAACTGAAACTTATAATATTCTTACTGAGGGAGAGGGGAGGGGGGAGTTGTACACATACTGTAAATGGTATTTATTTGTGTGGGTTTTTTATCGACTTTTTGGGTAACTGTTCAATATTTTTCCATGAAACATGACCTAAAAATACCTCCCAGGAACACAAACATACTGATTTACATTTTCTTAATTTCATGTTTTCAAGGAACCCATCCACTCAATTTTTCCGGGATGAGAGCTGGGCACCATCAAAATTCGTAATCTACATCTTCTCACGAACAATGACACCCTCACTCATATTAGTGCCACTTAGGATCCATCAGGACTACATTTATTGATAGACTTATAGGCATTACACAGTAGTCACTTGTGTACATCATCGCATAAAAAAATACACAGATTTATACACTTAAAAATTCAACTAAACAATATTATGCATACTGTAAATAAATATGTTGGTCATTTTACTGGCAAATGCTGTACCCAAAATGCTGGTTACTGAAACATGCCAGAAAATAAGCTTTTATTGTACACTCTGTTGAGCTGATATACAATACTGTACTGAACTATCCATTGTTACCATCAAAAGCTAAGAACACAATGTAGTATGTATTATAACACAAAAAATTAGGTTAATAAACTTTTATTTGAATTTTATGTAGTATAAATCTGTACAGTTATAAATCAATTGTACAAATGTATACAAACACAAATTTGATACATTTTTCATATTATACTTCATACTAAGTTAATGAAAGACTGTTATAAATATCAAGTGTTTTCCAATCACCCAAACAACCGATGCTATTCTTGTTAGGTGAAGGAATTTACTGGTACTGGGGATATAAGTCTTGTACCAGGTATGCATTTTATTATTCTGTTCAATAGCAAGTGAAATTATTGAAGGACCCTACATAATACAGGAGAGTACTTCTATATCTTTGATGTCAGTACAACAGTTTGACTGGTGCCAGGATACTCTGGAAGGTTCAGTTGATACTTGTCACTCATTTGTGCTGGTACAAAGCGTCCACCCAACACATGAAGCCGGCCTACAAGAAAAAAAATGTATCACACTATTTTGTTTTACCTAATCACTTTAGAACAATATCCCTGAGAACAAAGCTGCCTTACCATAAAGTTTGCAAAATAAAGAGTGTAGCAATCTAGTTCTCTTACAGTTACTAGATTTTGATGAAGAACCTTTAATGAGAACTAACTTTTTAATTGTTTGGGTGGATGATGAGATGCAGGCCCACAAGCCCTCAACCAGACACTGAGTCTATATGAACATTTGAAGGTGAGGAGTTTATCAAAATATTTGTGGCTTCCCATGGATGGTTTAAGAACTGCAAGAAGTGAACCAAATTTTACAGTGTTTGTATCAAGTGTGAAGCTACCAGTGCCAAAGTTTAGGCAACAGAGGAAATTCCTGAAATGCTAAAGGCTGTAGGTGAAGCAGAGGGTTACCCTCTGAATTTGGTATTCAAAACAGATGAGACAGGGCTGTTACTGTACCTGCCAGAACTTTTACCTCCAAAGAAGAGAAGGTTGTGAAAGCAAAGTATTGTTGCTGCAGGACAAGGCTCTACAAGCCTATGCCACACTTCTAACTTCAGATCACTTAAGAGAAGCATTCCAGTGGAAAATGTGTTTCTTCCACCAAACACAACTTCACTTCTGCAGCCCATCAAAGAATTATGGCATCACTACAACATCATGAAGGCAATCAACAATATCAGATGCATGGAGAGAAATGACTGATTGTTGCCTTATTGGTGTTTGGCAGGAAGTGTGGGAATGGCTCAGTGCACAACTTTCCTGGATTTGAGTCAGAGATTTCACCCATTATCAATGACATGCATGACACATGCAGTGGGCTTTAATGAAGTCAACATTCTTCCTCTGGGTACGAGGGGTCTCACTGTGCTGAATAAAATTGTCTGACGTAAGCCAAATAAAATATTACAATTGGTACCCAGAAGTGAAAGAGCTAACAATGTGCAATGGGGAGCACAACAAGGCTGAAGTGAAAATGAAATCCATGAACAGTAGCTGATACACACACTATGACTGAGAAGTTATGGTGCATGACTCACTGACTTAACAATAAGATACAAACCTTGAAAGTGTTTAGCACACAGTTTGGGGGCAGTAAGGGAGATAAGCATGTCTGGTGCTAGAGCATCAGTGTCAGCTGAAGGACCTCCTTCTACATGCCATCCTGAAGGTATGTCAATGCTCACCACTGGCAGTGAAGTCTGAAAAACAGTTAAGGGGACATCAAAACCCATTACAGTACTTCTTCAACTTGTCCCTTATCATGGATACCACTTCCATAATCCATCCGCCAATTTGTCTAAAATCTTTTCTCTATTCCCAAATGAGTGGGGTGAATATAGATATTTTTTTTTTTAAAGGGAGAAGCTGGTGAGAGTAAATGATGCAAGATTAGTGTGGAAAGCAACAGACATATTAGCTTCCAGCTTTACACATTACATGATACCTTCACCATTACTCATTTCTTATTTATTCCACACCCACTTGATCCTTCATATTACTGTATATTCTTTCACCATTCCATAAAGCTAAACCTACCAAAAGTCTCTTGCCCTATGAATTTTTTCCACAAAACGAGTCACCAGAAATACGCAACACTGTAATCATGTGAGGTTTTACAATGAATACAGTAACTCCTTAATTAATGAATTTCTATTGATCTATCAGTTAGGGAGGTTCTCTTTATTATATTTTTGTTTATACATAAAGATAAACTACATTCTAAATATAATGTATCTTACCTGACAGAGAACTTTCAAGACAGGAGTAAACAGAGGTCTTACTGGTGGCTTAAAACTGAATCCAAATAAAGCATCAACTGCTATGTGATAATTCCTGTGGAAAAAAAAGTTAATGTGTATAAATTCATGAATTAAAGGAATGAATCCTGAAATCCTATTTATGATTGACTGAGAATGGAACATTTGTTTGATTGATACAGTTGTATTTAATAAAAAACTGATAGAGGGATTTACTGAAAATAACATCTTATAAATTTTACCTGTTTAGAGCTTCTACGTCTGGCATCTCATAAATGAATGGTATATCATACATCTGACACTGCTTCACCAGGTTCTTGAAGAGAGGCTTATCAGTTGGCTTAGGGTACAGAATCACGGGAGAAAAACCCAGTAACTTGAGATGCCTAGAACATACAAGACCGTCACCACCATTGTTCCCTGGACCACAGCACACCAGCACACTTTTGTTGGGCTCATGACTATAGGCCTGTAAGAGATGGTTTGTTATACAGTACTGTACTCTCGGTCGTGGTTGTGCATGGGACGTTCAGAGCAGGGGCCAAGAGTTAACAAGAAGGGCACCTATCTGCCACCTCAAAAACAACAACAACCTGCTTATAGTAACAATTGATCTAAAAATCTTATTTCATTCATCAGTCATCATCATACATTTAATTCATTAATACATTTTACTTATTAGTCATCATCATCATCATTCATTTTATTCATTCATTCATTTACATTAATCATTACTCAAAACAAATCAGTAATGCAAAAAATCTATAAAAAATACATAATAACATATAAACATATAGCAATATACTGTACAGTCATAAATCACAGAGAATCAATGCAACAAATCATCTTGGGATCAAAGTACTGTACTATCTCCGCTTGTCCACTGCACTCCTGTTTCATATTACAGTATAAAGGACACCTAATTATTCCTCACATGGAAGTCTTATTTTATAAAGAACATTACAGTACCTACCTACCTCAGCAATAGCATGGGCACAACTGAGCCCTGCCAGTTCCATCAGTTGATCCACACTAAACTGATATTCATTAAACAACTCCAAATCCACATTGATAGCTTCTTGCTGATTCAAGTGACGAATTGTAGACATATTTCTGGTTACTGTTTCATATGGATTCTTCCTGATACCTGTTGGAGTGAAATGTGAAATCACTTAAAGTTGGTAAAAAACAAGACAAGGTTATGATGCAATGTTTCCACTCACTACGACTCAGCTTGTGAGATAGAGGGCGAGGTGCAATCAGAAAAAGATGATTCAGAAAAGGGACCACACTGAGCTAGGTCAAAAGGGAGCCACTAGTTTGGAAATATTGTACTGTACCTCAGAACTGCTTAAGGCTTAACATCACTTGCATGCAGCATCCAGGAGTGACAGAAGGAAACAGACTGTACAGTACCCCTACATAAGCCATGCAAACAGCAGAGAATTAAAGCAACCATATTTCTAGCAGCTTTACACTACACTTCTGATGCATTAAAAAAATCATTACACTCTTCACTGTTTTTTTTATCATATTCCATTCTAAAATCATGCTCTTTCTACCATCATGATCTAAAGTAAGCACTGCCTCACCACCACATCTCCCAGGTACAGTACTGTATTTACAAACCACTGAAGTAACCATTACCTGCATTTATAGTTATGGATATTTTTTATTAATAAATTTACTCTCACAGATTAAAAGTACAGTAATGGGAAGCTTTATAACCTAGTGAATGATGCAGAGGCAATAGCTGCTGACACTTCAAAGTTCCACACTGATTGACAGTAATTCTTGAAGCCCGTCTTATTGAACTAGAGCGCAATGCTGCTCCCACAACACCAACACATCCATTTCGAAACGCCGTCATTCACACTGTGGAAAAATGTACTATATCACACATTCATAATTTTCAAATAAAAGTAAAACAAGTTATATTATAATGCACATTCAGAGGCAGTTCACCTTTTTGAAAAAATGAGAGTTTGTCCATGAAAATCCATTTTATAAAAGAGTAAATAAGGAATGACTCATAAATGCTCACACACATACACAGAATATTGAGGGTTTTCCCAGTTAACCCCTGGACCATGGTGACTGGTGGTAATCCATAGGTCATTCACCTGTGACAACCAGTGTTCAGTGTGAGAGATTAAAGATCACAGTCTGCGATTATCTAGCATCACAAGTAGGTCCACCATACGATGAATTCCCACGAAAAGAATTCCTCCAAAACACTCATTGGATGGCATCACACTTATCCTCAATGATGTAACTGCTTTCATCATGAGCATCCTAGCAATGGGTTCCCATAACAGAGCAGGAAAGATTTAATACAAGAATAAATATATCATAATGGAAGAGATCTAATGAACCCTTTCTTTTAGTATGATACTTCTTTCCCCTTTACTTTAACTTTACCCCCTTCAACCTGTTCGCCTCTTGGGTGGTCGGCCAGACCTAACCTAACCAGCAGCTCCTTCACATTAATAAGAACACTCATTAAAATCAGAGACAAGCCACAAACTCCTCTGAGTTACACACATAAACACTTGCAAAAACACATGAGAGGAAAAGCATCTGCCCTTACCTCATACTGCACAACACCAGTACAGTATGTGGCCCAGTTTAAACCTCAAAGCCCTTATCTTATTCTCAATATATGAGGAATTAGATGCATTTACTTGAGGAGGTTGGCAACTGGAGTGATAGAGTAGTAATAATAAACTGGCTTTATAACATTAAAAAATAAGGGTAAAAAATAAGATGTGATTTGCACAGAAGAAAAATTGGGTGTACATCATAAGTCATCAGTCTCACTCCCGTCTCTGGACAAACTGAGTCTTTTTAATCTTTAATTTTATGGAACAGTTGTCCGTATTCAATAATTGCCAAGAATTAAACTTACGTAGGGTGACTTACAACCTCTATTTTTGATCTTGTGTTTTAATGACTTTAACTGGAAGTTGTTTAAATGTTTAAATATGGAGATGTGATCCTTTAACTCCAACAACAACAACAACGATTAAATCCCCCAAGGTGGACAGGGCTCAGGAGATGGGTGAAGCTGTGGGGTTAAAACAGAAGAAAAACACAAAACTAAGCTTTGACACCTGGCCTATCCTTTCCTAACCTAATAAAGTCCTCATAATATCAATAAAAGGTTACCTTGTGTAATTCTCTTTTAGTTTTTCGAGTTTTCCATCTTTCCTGTGTTGTGCTCTACGGGTTTTCGGTGTTTAGGATAGGTTAAATAATTTTCATGTAATGTATTATAGAATATTAAATAATAGCATTTAACAAGAGCCTAATGAATATTATATATTGATATTTCACAAAAAATAGAAAATGTAGAAATAAAAACAGAAATAAAAGTAAATATGAAGCGTGGTGTTGGCCTCCTCTTGATTATCATGAAATCTAAACTCGAGGTTCATAAAGTCCACAAGTAAAAATAAACGTAATATATCTATCATGAAAACGAACAATTTTAACACATATATTTTAATTTTATTACTATTTTATATAATAAACTACTTAAATATGTATCACTAGGGGGAGTTATTACCATTTGTCGTGTGGTTATTAGTATCCTGTAAATGGTAGGGGAGTGTAAGGCGGTAGGGACGATAGGGACGATAGGGAGTGTAAACGTTGAGGTCTGTCGGGCTCCTCGAGGTCTGTCGGGCTTGGTGTTCTTTAAACCATTCATTAATAAACCGGAAAAATGCCGCCCGTGGAAGCACCAGTCAACGAAGAGAAGAAAAATGTGGTGGGTTTTATATATCCCCCACCGGAAGTGAGAAGTATCCTTTTATGGCAAAGATTGATTGTTTTCGTTCTCTCTCCACAGCCACCTAAGGTCTGTGCTAGATATATGGCTCTACTGTACTGTATATGTGGCTCTACTGTACTGTATATGTGGCTCTACTGTACTGTATATGTGGCTCTACTGTACTGTATATGTGGCTCTACTGTACTGTATATGTGGCTCTACTGTACTGTTCTAGATATATGGCTCTACTGTACTGTATATGTGGTCTAAGGTCTGTTCTAGATATATGGCTCTACTGTACTGTATATGTGGTCTAAGGTCTGTTCTAGATATATGGCTCTACTGTACTGTATATGTGGTCCATGGCTCTACTGTACTGTATATGTGGTCCATGGATTGTGTAAACTAAAACACAACCTTGGCGAGTGTAACTTGGGTGTATTTTATCGTGGAAACTGTGTAAGTATGAAGTCATTGGGGTTTGAAGTTTAACCTCTTGTCTCGAGGCTTAAAAGTATACTACACTCTGTATACTTTTGATACTTAAGATGACATTTGGTCGTCTGGATAATTTTAGACTGGGAAAATGGTTAGTTTTATGGTCCACAGAACAGCAGTTGATCTACGGACTGAGTGTTGTGTTTGAGATAGTGTTTAGTTGTCGGTCTGGTCTGCTGGATCTGGGTAAGGCTGTGTTACTGGTATAGGTTTATTCACAAGCTTAATAATTTGGGGGAGATTTCCACTTGCATGTTTTTCATTGTTTTGTTTTTCTGTAATTGGGCAGATTATAGCAACCAAAGAATTCCGGAAATTCACTTCTCTCAATCGATAAATCTATTTTTTCTATTATTAATTTTTTACATACACTTCTGTCACAAATTTATAATAATGAATTTATTGGATTTTAAAAATAATTAAATCAGAGCACCTGACCCTGAGTAAGGTAAGAAATACAGTAATGGCTATTGTGGAGGCTGACCACACGACTCTGGGTTATTCCCTAGCTTATGGCCCTATCCGGGGGCGAAGACCACCGGGGCTCCGGGGCCAGAGCCCTCGGTTAGGTAAGTTTTAGTTTGGTTGTATTGCATAATCCACAAATCACTCGTTTTTGCTCTCCCCCATCCAAAGCCCCGAGTTCCCACTCTCTTCAACAATATTGTTATAGGAAGGGGGGAGGGGTTAAATCACAAACGAGTGATTTCTGACGAAAACGAAGGTCAGATTTGAATTAATCACATCAAAATCCATCAGAATTTTTTTCTTCAAATTCCATGGTTACTGTAATATGCATATTTACCATTTTACTTTCTTGTGAAACAGCCAAAGTGGTCTTAGCACCAATTTGAGGAAATTTCTTTCCTCGAAAAAATGGTAAATAATGGGTGAGGAATACATTTTACATAATATTACTTTTTATGTCTAAAATTGGCACAAGAAGACAGCAAGAAATTTCCTGAAACTGGACTTTTCTGGGTGATTGTACTGTACATGAAAGAAATTTCTTAAAAATCAGAAATGATCACCTGGGAAAGTTTCTTGGCATGGAATGACCCAAAAAGGCATGAGCTTTATTGCAAGTGTTTTAAGAATACAGCCACTGCACTGTATGCTTGTAGAGATCACTGGTTAGGTTTTGTCCTTCTACTGACTGTGTATTATATCCCACAGGGCTATTTTTCCCTTAACTCCAAGTCTCAGATATCGTTGACAAGACTGCTAATTTTGTGGCACGTAATGGACCAGAGTTTGAGGCTCGGATTCGTCAGCATGAGCAGAATAATCCCAAGTTTAACTTCCTTAATCCTGGAGACCCGTACCATGCGTACTACCAACACAAGGTCAATGATTGCCGCTCGGGTAGAACAGGTAGGTCTTCACTTTACACATTTCTGATGTATTCATTGACTTCTTATATGCAATGAGTCAATAGTTTATTTTATAACTGATACAGCGGACTGGGTCTCTCACCATTGACCAGCTTGTGGGTAAACCTAGTGTTCTATAGACCCTCTTGTGTGATTGGCTTATACTGTACTCCACCAAACCAGCAAAATTAGAAAACTGGAGACAGCATATGTCTCCCTGCTCAACCACAGCCCCAGTAAAGAGAGGTAGCACAAATAAGCCTTCCAGGGATATGTCAGTGGTCACAGATACGTTGGTTGATGAATGCATATTTTTAGGGTAAATTTTGAAATTCTTTATTTTCACTAAATTTGAGATAACCCCAAACCATCATGTTACTGTATTTAATAAGTTAATGCAAATTGGGGATCTGATCTTTCTGGCTGAAGGGGACATAAACTTTATATATGATTTGGGAGTGTACAGTATTCACTGAAGGACTAGACAAGTGGTTAACTGCTTCATATAATTTTATAAGTGTATATTTTCAACCCACTTTCCTTCTTTTGTAAGGGCAGTCTCAGCCCATTCAGCTGTAAATGGGTAGCTACCAGACTTTACAAGTTTGGGGATGGAAGGCAGTCGAGTGCAGTGCCAGCTATGCTGCTTCCTTGTGTACCATTGACTTAATATAACAGGGAGTCAAACCTTTAGGAAACACTTAGACTTTTTTCAAATACTGTACTAATGATTTGTTTGCCATCAGGAGAAAAAGAGTCTTCTGTGCCATCAATTGGACGATTGCCCCAGCAGTCTGTATCACAAGCACAGCAGCAGAAGCAACAAGAATTGCTGCGCTCTGCTGTTTTGGAAGCAACTGCTCCCAAAGAACCTCCACCGGACTATGAATTCATTGCCGACCCGCCATCCATCTCTTCATTTGATCTGGATGTGGTAAGTCATATTAAAGAGAATCTTCCATGTCTTGCATGATTAGCTTAGCTATAAATTCTTGGCAGATTAAAACGTCTATAATTTGGTACAATAAGGACTCTTCCCAAATACAGTATGTCAAAATCCACATTATGAGCCATACATTATAAATGCCTGTGAATAGCAGACAAGTACCATATACAGTAAATACCTGTACAGTATTTAAAGTGAAGGAACATCATCGAAGATTATAACCAGTGGATTCAAGGAGGTACAAGGGGGCCTTTGATAGAGTATTCTACAGTATTGTACAGTCATGATCCAAAATTTGTATCCAGGCCTTGTCGTATAAAGGGGTTCATAAGGGCTGAGTGACCAAACATCGCCCCCTCCTCCCACCAATGTGAGATTAATAATGGGTGATTGTTTATTAAGTTCATAAGTTTCACTTTTACATCATTTTATGTAATAGAAAAAATAGATGTTAGATTGGAAATTATAACTATTTCTATCATTACAGGTACGATTGACTGCCCAGTTTGTGGCCCGTAATGGTCGACAGTTCTTAACAACTTTAATGAACCGCGAACAGCGGAATAACCAATTTGACTTTCTGCGTCCTCAGCACTCCCTATTCCAGTACTTTACCCGACTGCTGGAACAGTACACCAAGGTTCTCATCCCACCCAAGGACCTTATGAAGCGACTCACAGAAGAAGCCCAGAGTGCACAGGCCGTCGTGAAACAGGTAAGTCCCAGGCTTTACTGTTAAGTGTGTGATTCTTGGCCCCAGTCTTCCTTGATAAATTAGCTTAACACTATATTTCTTACTAATGTTGCAGCTTTAGACTAGGGTTATGGAGTATTTGTTCTGTCCATTCAAATGTCTGTCTGTTCCCATTATCTTGAGGATTTTCGTGCTCATAATTGTCCACAGGATGTAATACAGTATAAGGTTATATGACTTGGTATTTGCGTGTCATCTTTACCTCACCATTATTCATTGTTTGGATGGTTGGCCTTGACTCGCAACACACTGAGACACCCACTACTAACAGGGCTATCTACACCTACCTATGTAACCAAACAATATTATAGGAGTACAGGTAATTAAATTAAACACTATGTACTGTATAGATAAAAGTAAAATCCACCAAAGCATACACAAACCCATGCTTAAATCTTGGTGCGCTGTATAAATTTAAAACCATGTGATTTTTTTTTTGCATAATGGACATGGAATTTGGATTTTTTTAACTATGTATTAATTTCACTTTACACATCACTTGATACTTTTTAGGAGTATAAATATCATGTCAACCAAGGAACATCTGCTTTTATACTGTATTATTAATAGTGATAATGCTTGTCCTTTAGGTGAGCCAACGTGTTGAGTGGGAACGTCACCAGGCCGCTGTTCGTAAACGTGAAGAAGAAGATGCTGAACGCGAGCGGCTGGAATATGCTGCTATTGATTGGCACGACTTTACTGTAGTTGAAACCATTGATTACCAACCTTGGGAAGTTGGCTCATTTCCTCCACCTACCACAGCAGCAGAGGTGGGTAGGCGTGTACTCTTACAGGAGCGCATAGAGGAAGGTGTTGCTCCCGACACAGACATGGTATTGGGTAGTGACGACGAAGAAGAGCCAGAGGAAGATCAGGGCGCTCCAGGCGACCGAGATGATACTCAGGTTCAAGATATGGAGGAAGAAAGTAGTGAGGAGGAAGACTCTGACGATGACTCACCAGCTCCACCACAACCGCATCAACCACAAACACAGCAGCAACATGAGATAAAATTACCACAACCTCCCCTTCCTCGAGAACCACCTCAGCCAGCACCTGCACCACCAGTAGCAGGACAAGTGGTAGTTAAGGATTATAACCCTCGTCAGCAGCCTCGCGTACCATCAGGTACAACAGGTGCCTCTGACCAGTACCTTGTGTCGCCCATTACTGGAGAGCGCATTGCACCTGACAAAGTAGGTCAGCATTTGCGTATCAATATGTTGGATCCACGTTGGCTTGAAGATCGTGACCGCCAGTTAGCCGAGCGATCCAATCAGGATACTGTATTTGCAACGGGGGATTCTATCCGTTCGTCACTGAAACAACTAGCAGAAAGACGTACCGATATTTTTGGTGCAGGAGATGAGGAGACAATTATTGGTAAGAAGATTGGAGAGGAGGAAAAACGCGAAGAGAAAGTTACATGGGATGGACACACAGGCTCCATGGAGGCAGCTACACGTGCTGCTCGGGCCAATATTTCTATTAATGAACAGATTCATCAGATTCATAAAGTCAAAGGTCTACTCCCTGATCAAGAAAAGGAAAAAATTGGTCCACAGCCAAAACTACCATCCTCCTCGGCTCCTCCCTCGAATATAAGTCATTCCCGCCCTGCTCCACCACCACCCAAACCACAGCAACCTCCTGCAAAACCACAGCCACCACCTCCACCTCCTAAATCTATTCCACAACCAGCTCCAGCCCCACCTCCACCAAAACCTTCCGTAGTTAATCCTTCTCAGAGTATGATGACTGTCAATATAGGTGGGCCTTTACCACCACCAATGGCTCCCATGGTTCCCCCGGGTGGTGGCGTAATGGTGGTGCCTCGTCCGCCAGTCATGATGGCTCCTCGACCCGGTGGTTTTATGCCTGGACCTCCTACTGCTCCTGTAGCTGGCTTTATGACATCACAGCCTCAACCAGCACCACCTACTGGATCACAGCCTAGTGTTGGAGGTCCACCAATGGGAGGCATGGGAGGTGGACCTGATAAGGATGATGATGAAGGCCCTGCAGCCAAAAGAGCCCGAACAGAGGAGACTCTGGTGCTGGAAGTAGAATGGGCCCGTCGTTTCAATGGTCCTGTCAAGTTTCAGGTGGCAGTGCCAGTTGTGGCCGATAAGCCAGAGTGGCGGTTAGCTGGACAAACTCTGACTTTGACTCTTCCTTTGACTGACCCGGTCTCTGTGGTCAAGGCTAAAGTACACGACGAAACAGGTTTACCTCCTGGTAAGCAAAAATTGGCCCGAGATGGTCTTTTCTTCAAAGATTCTCAATCACTTGCTTATTACAATGTTGGCCATGGTACCACACTACAACTTCAGCTCAAGGAGCGTGGTGGTCGTAAGAAATAAAGTAACACAAATTTTTCATGGCTTGGGATTTTATGTATACAGTACGTATATATATATATATATATATCCCCCAATATTTTATGGCATCACCTGTAATATATTCATGAAATATAGTTTAATAGGGTGGACACTCGTATAAAATTCCATTGAAATTCAATTGTCCCAAGGGATTAAATTTGAAGTAAATAATAATCTTTGAAAATTTACATTTGAATTTTATCATGCAGTTGAATTTGCCAGATGTTGAACTTTATTAATAGCCTCCATAAAAAAAGCTGTGTATGAGGACAAATTACCCAACATATTTCTTTAAAATATGATAGTTTAATTTTTTACTCCTTAACCATCATATATAAGTTCCAAAGCTTTGTTGGTATATCGCATGGATTAATTTAAGTTGACAATACAATATCTTAATTTTCAAAATAAGAATTAAGTGTCAATTGAAACATCCCGAGTATACATTTATGCAATTAAAGAATTTTTTCCTTTACTTATCTTTTCTCTTTTAGTCTTAGATTTTCAGTTGCACAAGACATGGTTGGTTGTTGGTCCCATTACAATACATAAATCAGGTAGCAGGCAGAATTCATATGAACACAGACCATAATCAAATAGCTGTGAATGCTTGTTAGGTTATGTGATGTATGTATACAGATAAAACATGAGGGACATAACATTAAAAGAGTTTGTTTGGTTAAGTTGAATACATAATCCCAGTAACATATTATACACCAACATCTTTATTTTGTGCACTTTCCTACCATGATTTTGGAGTCAGGTTAGTCTTAATTTTCCTGGATCCTTTCCTTTCTTCTCTAGCTCCCATACCAGTGCTGTTGTTTCTGGTTTCACACTTGTATGCCTTTACCATCAGTGCAGGAATGCTCCCAAGCTCAGTTCTTCCTTCACTAACCTACACTGTGTACAATTCTATCATACTAATCTAATCGCCACACTCGGTCATAACACCCGATTTATTTATTTTTTTCGTGCAAGGAGACATAACTCCCGGGTAGTAAATTCACTCTCATCCAGATTTAAGGAGGAAATAGTATAGCCTACAGAGCACACAAAATATGTTATTGCTCATTACAAAGTAGATTTATGCGCTTTATCTCCTCTCTCTTCCTGTTGGGGGTTAAAGAGTTTCATTTATATTTGTGCGTGTTGTTTTATTGTGATTAACTTAGTTTCTGCTTCATTTATCTCTTTATAATATCACAGTACAGTACAGGTATTCAAAATTTAAGTACAGAAGCCTAGGAGTATTTCACAAAATTATTATATTGCCACTACCTAAATTATTACCTTTTCCTAAATATTGCAGAAACAACTTTTTTAATTAACAATCATGGACACACTCTTCCCCAGCTACTGTATAGTCATGGCCTCACTCCACCATTACTCACCCAGTCAGTTAAGAAGAGAAAGTTAAAATTTTAGGTACATTTCATCTTAAGTTGTGGCTCACTGAAACGGTAAATGAAACCATGATATACAACATCAGTCTATAGGCTGACATGGTATGTGCAGGTAATGTGACGGGAGAATCGACAAAATGATGATGAGTACGAGAAACCCATAAAAATATCAGTTATATTTGGTTTCCAGGAAACACACAAAACCTTTGTTTTGTTTTTGTAGGTGTGCTAACTTGGGTAGACTTATGGCCTCAGGAACAGGGTCAGTCGTAAGCCAAATTGGTAATACAGTACTGAATGAAGGGGACATATTTTGAGGACATTTTCCATAGAAGATAAATCCTTTCTTACCTCATGGAATGTCCAAAAAAAGGGAAGGAATAAGTTTTTATAATATTTTTAAAAAATTTAATCCCAAACACATGCACGACCACAAGGTACATTCACCCACAAAAGTCCAGTCGCCTCTCCTCCTGAACCACGATCCCCAAGTTTCAGACTCTTGAATCCCGAGCATTTATGGACAGAATAATGCATCAATGTCTTATGTTTCGGGTACACGAGTCTGAATCTCGGGGCTCATAGAGCAACAACAGAGGCGACAGGACTTGTGTGGGTGACTGTACTACGCAGTAACTCAAAAGTTTACATCCTGGATGAATTCCGGACCATTTTTTGGACCTTTTCATGAGGTAAGAATGTGTTTATCTTCTGTAGTAGTTACTGCTTAATGTGTGCAACATTACTACTTATACTGAATTTTGGGGGTTTCGTACACTTCTCTTTATTTGTCCAGTGTACCAGAACCCTGTACCTTTTTTTTTGCCTGTGTTTGGTAAGGAAATAAACTTTTTAAGCATTGTCTGGTCAATTTTTGGGCACCTCAACCTTAATCCTTTTTTATGTATGTATTAAATTACAGGTGTTCTTTATATTGAAAGTTCTGTCTCTATTTTGTGAAATAATCCAAGGCTACAGTACATTATGAAAACATATTATAAAGGTAGCATATTCCATCTGTATCCTTATACTGTTGTCCAATGTGGAATAAAGTCCGAGGAAAATAAATTAATTCTATTAACATAAAGGACACTAAAAAGGTGTACAGTATTTTTTTAATATATATATATATATATATATATATATATATATATATATATATATCTATATATATTTTTTTTTTTTTTATTAAGAGAGAGCTTTTCTATAATGTAACCTTGACACAGTGTATGTCTGTGAAATAAAGTCCTGAAATTTGATAATACCAATATGAAAAACAGGAACTATAGAATGCCAGAAAATCTCTTCCCTTCCCTGTCCAAAAACATTTAAATCTTATTAAAGCTTAAAACTCTCTGAGTGCTGTATTGGATTATTCTTCAACTTGAAGAAGTGATAACTTGCATAATAATGATTACAGGTTTAAAGATTTCATACTCTAAGATCAGCAGAACATAAAAACAGAAGTGTATCAGGAAGAACAGTGTGGGATCAGGTAAAGAGATATTGAGTAAAATGTTTTGGGAGACAAAAGAACTTGGCTTATATATACCTGGGTAAAAGTTTATAATAAACAATCTGTTGAAAAAGGGGATGCATGAGCTGTTTAAATAAATGTGAAGCTGTTGTAAGTTATTTACTGGGAACAGTGAAGTGTGCGTTGTGAACAGTGAAGCTGGTTTCCAATGCAGAAAAGACAGGAAATAATTGGGGTATTTTGGAAAATATATTGAACAATTGTTTATGTTCTCCCATAGCAATGCATTATAATATAGTTAATATATAATACCCGAGCAAAATAAATTACCCGGTAAATTGGATCACAAATCCTTTCTTAACCAACGAAGACAAACAACACAATTTGTTTCCTATCAGTCACTAGCATTGGAGTTCCAGTTATATGAGATATAATTTACTTTCCATTTGTTGCTTTCCATTACTCTTTCCAGAGCTTCCTTCTTCTCAGGGAAAGTTACATTCCGGTGTACCCACCGAAGAACATCTTCAGTTGTGTTTCCAAAGTCAGAGGAATACCACCGTAGGAGTGAGGACAGTTGCACCACACCTCGAGCCTCATCTATCTGGAGACCTTCATCTGTCTCTAGGTATGCCTCTGTTGCCACACGTAACTCCTCATTAATATTCTGAAGAAAAAAAATCTATCATTTGAAGGACAAAGATCAATAGAAAATATGAATAAATACAGGTATATAATAATTATGAGAGCTACATGTACACAGTAACAATGAAAGTGAGACCCATATGCTGGGTGGCTCGTTGGACAGTATGGATACTGCACACTTAACTTTTACAAAAGGGGACAACGTAGCTGGCACTGCACTCGACCACCTTCACTACTACACCTAAAGTTAGGTACCTACGGTATTTACAGCTGGCTCATTTAGGGACCCCCTTATGTGGCGAGGTAACAACAGTACAGGTATTTTATCCAATTTACCCTTGCTTGTGTGTGAATTCTTAGTTTACGAGTTATTATTATTCAAATTAATTTGAATACAGCAGTTACTTTGAAAAATGCAACAGTTCTGCAGAGGTTTCAGTAATTTTCATTGGTGCAATAGAAGAAAAATTGGGTAAAATTCTTTTGCCAGTACTGTAGTCTAGGATGCACTTTATCACAACTGTGCCATGGTCTCATCAGCACTTCTATATATTCCCTCTGTCGTTATGATCCTGGTGTTACATTGTCTGCATAAACAGTGATCCCAGTTACATAATAAGAAGCATTTTAACAGTAAAATTAAAGTCAGGTTACTGTCCACCAAAGTGTGTTAAGTGATAAATGTTTTGTCTGCCAACTTAGTGGTGCCTCAGGCTTCTATGCACAACATTGTCACATGGCCAGTGTGTTTAGCTGTAGCCTGGGACAGTTGCACCATTTTCTGGCAAATTTTGATGGCAAAAAACACACCATCATATTAAATAATTTTTTTCTGGTAATAGCTACAATATATTTGTACATGCTTACCTCCGCACTGAATGTCTTAATTGGGGGACAGCTTTTGGCTCCACAGTTCAGAGCAAAGTGAATCCTTGGATCAACCTGTTGTGAAATACAGTCTGGGTTACTCATTAGCTGAGAAAAAATGAAACATAAGAGAATTATTCTTGCGAAACTGTATTTTATGGGTGGTTAAGGATAAAGACATGATCCATGATGCAAAGAAAATAAAACCATTTCTAAATCAGTTGTCTATACTGTATATGTATACAATATATATATAAAAAAAACTACTGTATTAATAAGCACTAGTAAAACTCCTGAGAAGCCACAGCAAATATAAAAATAGTTAATAACCTCTATCTACTGTTTGCCGATCAATGCACAGTAAATAATAAATGGGTGTAAATTTTAAACTAAGGACATCAACCGAGATACAGTATTTGAACATTACCTGAATAAGGCTTATCATTCGTCGAGGGTCTGATTTCCCAAAGGGTGCAAAAAGCTGGGTAACTCCACGTTTATTTGCTCGCAGCACACCATTTTCCATCTCGTTCAGGCTATAAATGTGGCCACCAACGATATATGATGTCTTGTCAAAAAACTGAAAATAATTAATACATAAAAGCCTATACTGCATCATAATATACATTTATATTGTATTCTTACATAACCTTTAGGAACCTCGTGTTGAATAATTTTTTGCCCAGTTTTTAACATTTAACCTGCACCTGTCAATGTGGTACATGAGTCAACTGATCAAATGTACCAATTGTAAAAGAAACAATTGCTAAGTACTGGGCTGCAACTTATGAAAAGATGATCATAGCATCCAGCCAGCAATGGAAGTGTACTGTACTTATTAAGTGTCAATTCTGAGTGGCATTCAAGACTGAACCAGGACTTGAATTTTAAATGAACTAGACTTGGCCCAAAGCATCATTGTTGTAGACAAAACGTTCAGTACAGTCATCTCATGAAGTAAATAATATATACAAATTGCTCCATGCAGTTTTTGCTCAATTATCAATACAGTAATCTAAATATCATATCCTGTCTCAGATTATGTACCTTTGAGGCTTATTTGTACCTTAAGTCTGGACAGCCAGTTGGAGGGAGGTCCATTCTCTACTGTAGCATGAATTACAAGAGCATTATAGATGTTGATGAAGAATGCTTTGCGTCCATCTTGGTCTAGTTTTTCAACAGCAACACGCTGCAACTCTCGGGATAGTTTGACATATTCCTTAAAGCCTTCAGTGTCCTTCATCTCCTTGTAGTTAACTACCTAATGGATGTTAAATCAGTGCTAAAAATAATAATTCAGTGTGAATTTTATCTAGACATTTCACAATCTGTATTTTCAAATACAAAATATTGTAAATGAACATATTGTAATATACAGTAAAACAAAATCAAATTTTAAAACTCTACAAAGTAACCCAGTGTTCAAGTGAAAGGGAAAGGAGACTCAATTACTTTGCCATCAAGAGATATGTGGTCACTGAAAAGTTGAAGTATTAGCTTGCGAAGTGTCTCAGACAACTCGGCAGCATTATCCAGCATACAGCTTTGAGGTGATCCTCCATTCAAGGCAGTTGACTCACAGTTGTCAATCAAACTGTCACATACATAAGAATAAAACATTCAACAGCACATAAAAGAAAATGTTGTAAACAGAACTAACAGAACATGCTCAATAATTAATAGTAATATTAACTAGCATTTAGCAACATCACTATTGTCATGCATACATAGTTTATAGAACAGTGAATCACTTTACCTATAGTACATCTTTGGATCATTCAAGAAAGAAGTCTGAGTAGAATCAAGAGGTTTTACGTATTTTTTCTCCAAAAGTTCTGATCCAATCTTTGTGGATTCTTCTTCACCTGGGAACAATGAAAAAATATATCAATAAAAAATACATAATCAACAATATCAGTAAGGTGGGAGAGAGAACTGGTAGAATCTGCTCAATGTGAAGTGTTATTTTAAAGTGCTACACATAAGATAAAATAAATCTCACTTTGATTGTGTCAATAGCTCTAAGAACACCAATCCTGACTGACTAATAGAGAAGTGTTTTACCAGCCTGTGTTTGTATAGCTTACAAAAGGTAATGATAGAAAGTTTAAACAAGTGTTGCAACCAAAACAAAAATCATTTACCGAGACTGGGTAAAACCTCGTTGGTCATCTGGGTATACATTTCATTTTCAAACACTGGAGATGTCTGTTCAAGATAGAATATAGTATTTTTACCAATAATGGAACTAATTTATTACTGACAAACTAAAGTGTTAAAAAATTACACTCTAGCTTTCAAAGACACTGAATATATCAACAATACAAAACAAATAATTTGATCTTACTAATATTCTTGGTTTCCATGATCCAGTTTATAAACTCTTGGCCAGAGAAAACATTCTTTGCACTGGAGAAGAGTGAGATGCGGTGATAGTGTGGGATGCCAGAAGCTCTTAATTCCTCTGCAATACTTGCTATTGGATCACTTTCACAGACAAACTTTATGCTATCCGCTGAAATTACAAGTATCGTATATAAATACATTTGATAAATGCATTTTGGAAACACTCCACACTTTGATTACATATGTCAGGCATTAAGACCTACCAGGCATACTGTACTGTAATAACAACACACTCAGGGACAACTACTCACATAATACAGTATTGTACATCTCATGAATGTTTTAGACAGCCTTTCAAAATATTTCTTTCTGATTTAATCGAAATCACACAACACCCAAATTGTAAAAGGTATTAGAAAAATGTTTATGTAATAAAAATGGTTGCATCATAAGACCATGTATTATGGAAAGATAAAAAAAATTATCACTGAGTAGTAAGCACAATAAGCAATGGGCCCACAGCTCACAGACTCCTCCCCACACTACCTCTTCCTAGGACCACACACACACACTCCCTGCCACCTTATCATGTACTTTTCACTATGTCTCCCAAGCATTCATAGGAAAACTTAAGGAAGAGGCTGAAACAATGATTTTTAACATTTTTTTTTATCCATTTTGGCCATATTGCTTCAAAATGTTAACTTACAAACAGTATCAGTAGCTTCTGATGGGTGAGGAATAATAAGAGCATCTTCTTTAGCTTCATTGACTTGAATGTCAGCCAACAGTTTATTCCATTCTTCCTCATCTTTCAAGAGTTTCTGTAGACTGTCATTACCACCAACATAAGTTTCATTGAAGAATATTTGTGGTACCGAGGTCTTCCCAGTTTTCTCCTGTAAAAAGAATGACAACTCTAATTATTTTTGCATAAATTCAGTGTCATCTTTTCCTAGTTTCAGCTCTTCATTACCAGGCACTTTCCTTCTATACAAAGTTAATGCTTTTAATCACGGGCAACCCGAAAGTGGTAGTACAGTACAAGTACTTACAGCAGGATTTTACTTATAGAACATTTGTTACTTAAATAATACTTAAAGCAAACTGAAGAAAAATGGATAATAGTCAGTCTACAAAGGCTAAGGTCTTTCGGCACTGCTAAATATGGTAGTTTCTATACTAAACAAGAATATTCACAAATTAATGTAGCTAGTTTTCCACTTATGTATATGTTCATAAAGCTTTAACACTTCATTGGGGCAGTTTAAACTATATTTTCTTAAATTTTAACTCATTCTCTTTGGTTTCTTCCCTATCAAATTTGCATTCTATAAATACTAATTAAAGATAAGGAAATTAGGTGTCGTCCGTCTGCTTATCCTTTATCCAATAGAGTAGAAGGGTATTTGGACGATTGGGCTATGAACACCCCTGCAGGCCCTTAATACCCCTGAAAACCTTTCAGTCAGGTTAGGTTAGAGGCTGTATATATATATATATATATATATATATATATATATATATATATATATATATATATATATATATATATATGCAAGTAAATCAAATATATAGGTATGTTTATCATATATATATATATATATATATATATATATATATATATATATATATATATATATATATATATATATATATATATATATATATATATATATTAATTTGATCCATTCCCTAAATGTCCAAAAAAAACTCTGGCCCAAATGTCCGTGGAACTTACTAGATTCGATAAAAATAGTTACCTGCAGCCACCTTCTCACTGCTGGGAAACGATCAACTGACACATCTATTAGCGGGACTCCAAGATCCCTCAAAGTCTTCTTAGCAGCCACACAGTGAGGGCAGCCCAGCACACTGTACACCACCACACGTCCTCGTACCTCCAACATGGTTCACTATCACCCTGAGACTGAGCCCTGAGCAGTATCACCCTCCTCCACTGGCTTAGTCATACCCCGCATTAGGTTGCTTAACACCTGAGACGAGACATGAATATAGTACAAGAAATATATTTTTTTCCTAATACTCAAAACTTATATATTACGAGTCCTTCCTATCTCGAATTGCATCAAACACACACAAATAAACATTGGACCTGCTCCCTCTACACACGTGAGTAATGTTTACGCTGCCATACAATAACAAAAAACAATAACATGAAACTCTTGAACCACAACAATTACAACCACACCTGTTCTCGGCTGCTTTAATTTTCCTTTAAACAAAATCTGACTCAAGTAAGAATAACAAACTTACGTAAGTGTATTATGTGAAGAACCAAGATTATCACAAGAATAAGTAAAATAATTGGTGTGGGGACTTATATGGTTCACAAATAATTATGAAATACAGTGTTTGTTAAACGAGATTAGGAACTATCTGAAGTACCGGATGTTGCTACATTATATAAATTATCTTAATTAAAATTAACTAAACTCACCTGATTAAACTAACCTAACCTAGATAATGTTTTAGCGAAGATCAAGTTAGGAGAGGTTACGTTAGATTACGTGGGTTAATTTGTATGAACGATAAATTATTATATGATGTAGCAGTATCAGACACTGTACCTGAAAAAAGTTGTCTAGCCGAAAGTTCACAAAGGCACTCTTAATTTTATACCTCTATATATAATATACATACTACAGTAGTCATTTTTATCTAGGATGGCATCTAGTGTTCCAGGGATGTCCCCCCTTCAATGATAACTTTCAAATACTGTTTTTAATGGCATTACCTATATTTTTCTTCAGTTTATATGTGGTTATCAAAAAATCTATATATACTGTGAATTGCATATGTATAATCAGAAAATAAACACAGCTACAAGACCTGTAAAAGTAAAGAAAAATGTTGAATATTGATATAGGAAAAGAGTGTAAGCAAGTCTCTAGAGCAGTGACGTCACTACGGCATCCGCATTCTTTATTATGAAAAAGCCTAACCTACCTCTGTAGTCCAATGCAAGCAGTGGCTATGTGAGTACACACCTTGATACCTGTGTGTGTGTGTATGTCACTGTGTTAGTTCAGACAAATGTCGCTTGCATCACCTCCATCAACAAGAGGAGAGATAACCCTGACTACTGTATTTAATTGTGCGTATTGAATATCTGTTTTGAACAAGATTACATATTGGTAGTTTTCTTAGAATTAGAATTGGTGATAATAAATCGTAAGTGAAGGGAAATCGGAGGAGAAAGTGAAGTGTAAAGACTTCCCTGAGTCATCTAGACCTACTGTACACAGCGCCCCGTCAGTTGGTGGTGTAAGGACTAAGGAGTTGCCAGTCACATGGGCCCCAGCCATCATAAACCCCATTTACCGAACCTCGGCCTAACCTCTCTATTAAATTTGAAAACCAACAGGATTGAAACCCATCAGGACTGGAACCCAGCAAGATTGGAACTCGTAAGTACTAGAACCTACCCATCAGGACTGGAACCCTTCAAGACTGGAATCCATTAGGTCTGAGTTTTTATTCCAACAGATAAGGGATAATAAATTTGGTCAGAGGAGCGTGTAAAGTGTTGGGGTGTGTATAAGTTATAGGGATTATATAAAGTGTTGGAAATTGTATAAAGTGTTGTGGGGGTGTTTAAGTGTCGGAGGAGTGTATAAAGTGTTGTGGGGGGTGTTTAAGTGTCGGTGGAGTGTATAAAGTGTTGTGGGGGTGTATAAAGTGTTGAGAATTATACAGTGTTGGAGTAGTGTATAAAGTTCTGGGGATTTAGACTAGCGCGATATTAAATTCTCCTAAACTCAAGCTTCTAATGACAGCGGCAACACGTACAAGTAGGCAATACTGTAAGGGACACACGCTAAGAAGGCGAGAGCTATGTCCACGTCTTATATTATTTTGCTAATGAAGAAATCTCGATGTCATTTCTTTATCTCTTGTCCATTTCAGGCGGTGGGAGTGTTGTAGACGTGAGGGGGACGACGCGTGGGCTGATGATGGGTGAGGAGTTGTCAGTGGAGGAGAGCAGGAGGGTAGGAGTGGCAGAGGGCGAGGCTCCTGCCCACGCCACCCAGTACTACGCCGCTCTGGCCGGTCAGTAATGTTGTCCAGGTTGGTTCATGTCGTATGTAGTTTTAACTGATGTATGCCTATAGCTCCCGCTCTTAAAATTTTCCCAACTACAGTTCACAGTTGTTTGGGATAGGACCCGTTAATTCCGCAAGTCCCAGAAGTTGACAGAATCCCTCATGTTCATAAAGGAAATGGGCGTAAAATAGCTGAGAGTGTAGTGACGGGCTTCTCTTAAAATACAAACACAGGCAACACCGGGCTCACCAGCTAGTGTGTAATAGTAACGAATCTTTACAGCAACGATGGGAGCGCTGGCGTTAGGATGTGTCATAGGGTACTCCTCACCCGCCGGTCCATACCTGCTGGCTCACACTACTGCGACGCCACAGCTGCTGACTAACCTTACTGATGACTCACAGACGCAGGTCAGAGAGAGACTTCAGTTGAACCAGGAGGAGTATAACTGGTTCTCGTCTTCACCTAACCTTGGAGCTGTGTGTGGCGGCCTGCTGGGAGGACCAGCCATCAACAGTGTGGGCAGGAGAGCCACCATGATGACGTCAGCTGTTATCTTCGTGTGTGGGTGGCTCATGATAGGTGGGTGGCTTATGGTAGGTGGGTGGCTCATGATAGGTGGGTGAGTTATGATAAGTGGGTGGCTCATGATAGGTGGGTGAGTTATGATAAGTGGGTGGCTCATGATAGGTGGGTGGCTCATGATAGGTGGGTGAGTTATGATAAGTGGGTGGCTCATGATAGGAGGGTGGCTCATGATAGGTGGGTGAGTTATGGTCGGTGGGTGGCTTATGATAAGTGGGTGGCTCATGATAGGTGGGTGGCTTATGGCCGGTGGGTGGCTCATGATAGGTGGGTGGCCTATGGTCGGTGGGTGGCTCATGATAGGTGGGTGGCCTATGGTAGGTGGGTGGCTCATGATAGGTGGGTGAGTTATGATAAGTGGGTGGCTCATGATAGGTGGGTGAGTTATGATAAGTGGGTGGCTCAGGTGGGTGGCTCATGATAGGTGGGTGAGTTATGATAAGTGCTCATGATAGGTGGGTGGCTCATGATGGGTGGGTGGCTTATGGTCGGTGGGTGGCTCATGATAGGTGGGTGGCTTATGGTCGGTGGGTGAGTTATGGTCGGTGGGTGGCCTATGGTCGGTGGGTGGCTCATGATAGGTGGGTGGCCTATGGTCGGTGGGTGGCCTATGGTCGGTGGGTGGCTCATGATAGGTGGGTGGCCTATGGTCGGTGGGTGGCGTCATACTACCTTGATAACATATCATGTCTCACTTGCCTTGGCTTATTATCCTCAAAAAATATAATTCTAAACCAAAGTTCCATTTGGTTTTTTTCTTGCAGCTTTTACCAACAACTTAGGCGTGCTGGTGTGTGGTCGAGTGGTAACGGGGGTGAGCATGGGCTTGACCAGCACTGCCGCCCCGCCCTATATTGGGGAATTGGCTTCACCAGACATCAGAGGCACTCTAGGTAAATGTTCTTTATTGTTACTGCAGTATCCAGTCCTGAAATATTCCTCGATTATCTCATGACTGTCTCCAAAATTTTTATTAGCCTTTCTTGTGAAGTATATTTCCGTTTCACAATGATGCTTTTCAGTGGTGTTGGAAAGAGGTTTCTCGCAGTGTTGTTTCACGTGGTGTTTCAGGTGGCGGGTTCCAGGTGATGCTGACGACAGGGATACTCTTCACCTTCGTGGTAGGGGAGGTGGTGAGCAGCTGGAGGTGGCTGGCGGCATGGTGTGTGGTCCCTCCAACACTCTACTTCATCCTGGTTTTCTTCGCTAAGGAGTCGCCCACCTTCCTCGTGGCTAAAGGGAGACATAAAGAAGCGGCAGAATCTTTACAGTATTTCAGAGGTGAGAATTTTTCGACGATAAAAGTTGGTCACGTTAGTTTCATCGACCATAAAAAAAAAACACGGGAATATTCTGGTTGACTACCATTGCAATCTTTATAGCAGCATAAACACAACGCTTCAATTTCTAAAGAGTAGATTGTCAAATGTGATTGATAGTTTGTTATCATACTGACAAATAGAAAAAAAAAAGTTAATATCTTGTTGTTTATATTCTTTATTGGTCATTCATAGCCTCAGGGGCGAGAGAGCGTCTATAACATAGTTCACGGTCACCATCCTCTCAGGCCAGCACTACAACATCCAGCCAGAACTGGACATGATGCGAAAAACACAGGACGAGGCTAAGGAGACCAAGGCGTCCCTGAAGGACTTCGGGGCCTCCAACATCCTCAAACCTCTCATCATCTCTCTGGCCCTTATGGTCTTCCAGCAGTTCTCGGGTGTTCCAGCGGTCATCTTCAACATGTCAACAGTGTTTAAGGTCAGCTGACTATTCTTCACAGTGTCAGTTTGGTGTTATGATCGGTGTTGGGTGTAGCAGCGTGCCATGGATGAGTGTTCCAGATGAATCACCTTCATAGTCTACTCTCTTAATCATGAGTGAGATGACTATGAAGCAGCCTGATTATATTACTTGGTCCAAATACTGTTTAGTGGTGTTACAGATGCATTTATATTTATCTCTTGAATAAGGCGCGGTGGTGTGAGTGTCACCACATGGAAGTTACTGCACCTGTACAGTAAACTTATATCTATACTTGATGATTTATTTAAAAAGAAATAGTTTTCTGACATTGCCATCATTATCGATTAAATTTCAATGCCGAGAGAAAAGTATATTTCGGTCGAAAAATTACTAAGGCATAAGGCTCACATTTTGGCGGTTTTTGGCCAAAATTGGATTTTGTTGAAAGTCTCAGTATAGATACTCTTGAGCATGCTGATTCCGAATCTATGGTCCACGATTCGATTGCGGAGTAATTAGTGGTTGTAATGCCGCTTGGGAGATTTTAATGACAATTTTCAATGCTAATTACTCGCCAACTATTGGTTTCCGAGGTGCGATTTTGGTGTTAATGTGTTATTCTGTAAGTAATTAAACCCCTTAAAGCTTTTCCTCACCACTTTAAGGTTGTGCCTCACATGCTTATGGAATTTGATGCTTCGTCTTCAACAATGACTTTCTGGAGACGAGGATCATGGGAGGGTCATGTCATATAAAGTGATAGATTTAATATGCTATTATACCTGGGCAGCAACAGTGACGTCATGGAGTCATCATTTATTTAATATATTTATTACACCCCTGGGGGGGGGGGGGACAAGCCTAGTCACAAGTCCACTCGGTCCAACACTAATACAGTGGTACTCGTGTCTCACAGTCATGGAGTCATATTAATATTTACGTGGATGACGAATTGACAATAACACACAAAGTAGGTTTATTACGCAAAAAAGCTCACCACCTTCTGTACAGACGCATCTAACGCACACTGAACATCTTCCACAGGAGTCTGGGAGCGGGCTGTCCGAGGGGGTGAGCGCGGTGGTGGTGGGCGTGGTGCAGGTAGTGGCCACAGGTAGCGCCACTCTCCTAATGGACAGGGCCGGCAGGAGGACACTACTGTTGCTCTCCGCCTCACTTATGACTGTCTCCATAGGTGAGTAGAGCTCCCCTATAAAGCACATTCACTGATATTTACATAACAGAAAATTTGTAGAAGATAACTCTGTGTCCTGTTGTAACTGATCCATACTAACAGTAATGAATGGTCCATCCCTCACTTGTCATTCTACCTCTTAGTCCCCACATTACACCTACACGTGAAAATGAACGTTTGTGTTGTTGTGTTCAGTGAGCCTGGGCATATACTTCTACGTGAGGGAGGCGGGCGCGACAATGGGCTGGCTGCCACTCATCTCACTCATCGTGTTCATCACCGCCTTCTCCCTCGGCTTCGGTCCTGTGCCCTGGGTCATGATGGGTACGTCCACAGCTTTGTTGTCATTTATCACCCGGCAGTTGTTAGCTCAGGGATATACGGTATTCATTCATATACAGTCATTGAGAACCATACAGATACTGTCAATATAAATGATGTCTGTATAATACAATACTTAATGTTTATTTTTAAATATAATTGGTCAGAAATACAGAATGCTTTCGCTTCACGATATTTTCATGGGGTAATGGTAATGTGTTGTGGTGGTGTTGTCAGGCGAGGTGTTCCCTGGCGGGGTGCGGGAGGTGACTGCCTGCCTGGCTGCTGCCATCAACTGGACCTCCGCCTTCATCATTACCCTCATCTTCCTGCCGATACGGGTACGCTCCCTCATTCTGCTCCTTGTCAGATTTACAAACTTTCATAATGCATATCTTTTGTGAACCTGTGTTTTATCTCCATAAAGTACGAGTAGATTGGGTTTTAAACTTTGTCATCAACTCAAAGTAGTGCTATAATGTGACCTCTTTTGTTTGTTTGGATAATGTGAATAATGTATTGGAGGTGTGATGGCCTTCTTCACCAGCTTATCTCTCTCTTACAGAACACCTTGGGAGACTACGGCGTTTACTGGCTCTTTGGCGTCGTCAACCTGTGTGCTCTCTTGTTCACCTTCCTGGTAGTGCCAGAGACCAAGGGCAAGACGTTGCAAGAAATTACGGCATATTTCAGAAACTCCTCAAATTCAACAAGATTCTTTGTTAGAAATTTAGATAACAGAAGGACAAGAGAAGTCACCCCAGCGCCAGTGTGGCCAGGCGCTGACTGCAGGAGAGCGTAATTATACTGTAATATCTCATAGGGAGAAGTAAAAAAAGGTTGATCTTCGAGAAATAAGGAAATAGATAAATGAAAGACAAATATATTAAACTGAAGTGTTATTGTGTATCAGAGTCTCCCAAGGCCGTTGCTCGACCTTCAGGACATTGGGTGCTTAGCTCTGAGTTCTATAAAACCACGAGCGCCAAAAGCGCGAGTTTTTTTAGGGTCCTGCCATCTGAAGGCAGTTAAAAGAAGAAATCAAACGGTCTAAAATACAGCAAAAATGTCTATTAAATTGGTTTTTTAGACTATTCCTGGGATGTGTATAATGGAAGTAGTAAGCCAACGTGTGTCAAGTTTGTGTAACTTGTGTATATGGTGATCAATGCTTGTGGAATGATATTGTTCTGTTGGAGTGCCTATGCGTGTGTGTGTGGTATGTTAGCAGTGTAATGGGACATGTGAGCATGCTCATTGGGTGTTAACGTTGGTTAATGCATTAAATGTTGCAAAAGTAAAATTGACATGTTTTATCCCTTCACTAACTTAATCACTGTTTACCACACCAGGTACACCTTTATTTTTTTGGAGGGGGGTGGGGGGGAGCATCAGACCATAAAAGAAAAAGAAAAATAAGAGAAACGTGACCGATCGCCCAAGCGGTTAACGAGTCGATCAGTGGTGAAGAGGATAAAGGTAAAGCAAAAAAAGTAAAGTATATCTTCTTGATTTGAGTCTGGCAAATCTGTTGATGACTTTATTATGTTCAATGCCATCCAGTGTATTCTTTTCAATGGACATAACTGCCAGGTGACTGAGTCTGTCCTGTACCATAGTGCTCCTTAACCATGTGCGTAGACGTCTCAAGGCACTGAAGGATTGCTCACACCTGCAGACAGGAATAGTCAATGCCACTTGAAAGATGGCTTTCAGAGTTGGAAATATCAGAATCAAGCAACTTGTATACACTGAGCATGTCAGGAGTGGCACCTGTCTCTTTCTTCCTAGCTAGAAAACTCTTAGCAACCAGTATTTCCTCTGATTCCTGCTGGATTTTGTAGTGTATAGCAACTTTTGTTAAGAACTCTTCAGAGAGGAAAGTCGCAGAGGCTGGCAGACAAGCCTGGGTACCTTTCATGGGATCAGCTCCCACACCAGTAAATCATTGGTCAAGCTCATTTGCCAATCTGTCAAGGCAAGGAAAATACAAGACCCTTTTCAGAAGTTCTGCATTGCTGAGATTGGAGTTTGTTCCACAAGAGGACTCCACCACATACTCCCCCATCTTCTTTTGTTTGCGTCTTGGACCCTTCTGCTCCTGGATGTGGTTAGTTTCACATATGGCTTTTGCTTTCTATTACAGATCTTCAGCCATTTCATCAGTCCTCTTTTCTCTCAATGTATCATAGACAGCATCTTTGAATTGCAGTGCTTGGGCCAAGTCCACAGTTTCCCTTTGAAGAAACTTATGCAATCCCTCTGTGGTGGAGAGCAAACTCTGGAACATGTAGATTGTTGGTAACCTGCACAGTTTTGCTCTGGGACCCACTGCTATGGTTGTTCCAATCTCCTCAAGGCACTGTGTAACAGCAGTACCAGGAGAAGTGATTGATAAATTAAGGACACTCATATAAAATTAATTTGATACGGATGGAAGTAAATCTTGAATTTAAAACATTATTAATTCTTGAAAAGATTCGGGATTAGACAAAATACATTCGGGGCTAAAGCTCCGGAGGCCCACCCCTAACGATGGCCATAGAGTCTCCTGTAAATAATCACACAAGGTGTCCATAAATTACAGGACCCATTTAAATAATTCGTCACATTAAAATACATTATAGAAAAAAACAAACGGTTTATTTTTTACTTAACAGGCAACTACTACTTTTCAGGTAATGTATGGTGTACAAATATTGTATCTTCAAGAATAAATGTAACTGATGTTTTACCCATATTGGTATATTTGTTTCTTATTGTGTTTTAAATGTCCCAGAGGTATGAGGGGCTGGGGCTTGATGGTGCGTGTTACCCTCAATAGATGGCGCTGATGTTTGTTTACCTGTGACGTGGCCTAAAACATTTTACACATTCGTTCACATCTTCTGACAGTAAATAATTAATGAAAACTAATGCAGACTATCTTAAATCTTACTGTTGATGAGGATAAAGTTCCAAGATTATATAATTGTACTTAAAATATTTGATATTGAATTTAATAATTAAATGAATACAATGGTGTTACAGTGGATGTGAACTAAGAGTGTCAGTGAGGGGCCGTGACACCATCGCCCGTCAGTCCCTACAGAGCAGTGGTCGTATTTACAACACTAACGTAGTAAGGCTTTTTATTTTGTAAAAGATTAAGGTAGCTTATAATTAAGCTTTAAATTTTAAGACTGTAATAAGTATAAATGTAAGTAGTTTTGGAGTTTCATGGTACCACTTTATCATTTGGTATTTTATGGTATCTTAGTCATCTTTTTACTTTTATTGTCTTCTTCTCTGATCGGCTCTTTAGCCGCTTGGGCGGTCGGTCACGTCACTTATACACTGTTGGCAGTACTGGACATGTACTGGATCCAGAATGTATCTGTACCTACGTCAGTGTTGCTCAAGTCTGGTTTTGAATGAGCTCACAGCCTCATACTCGGTGCCGTACAACACTCTGGCAGAATGTTCCAAGAGTTTTCAATTCTCACTCCAAAAATGTTTATCCGGACAATTTTCCAAACTTGTGACTTATTCAACCTTGAGCTGTGACCCCTAGTGGGACGGGCGTCCGCCAGTTCCAGGAATGAACACTCATAGGAGTAATACCCTCTGAGATGGTTATACACTTAATCACCTTTCCTACCTATAGTATTTGTTAGGCAAGTGTTGGCATTCTAATCTCTGGGTGGTAATATCTGAGAACAGCACTACCACCAGTCATTTTTTCACAAATGTACTTATCATTATATTATGTATTTTAAAAGGCGAAAACTTTTTATTTTAATTATAAGTATTTTTTCTGTTTATTTTAGTTTTTCTCTATTTATGATCATAAATCACCTGTAATGGGCAAGGCATTAAGGGTGATAATTTCCTTAACTTTACTTTTATAGCTAATCTAGAAATGTTAATTACAGATGATGCGGGTAGCTAAGTGTCCACACGAGGAGTTGTCCTTCACCAACTGTGTCATTGTGAACGAGAGCGACTTCCCTGCCAGTGTCAAGTACGTCTTATTTGCTAAATATTCTAGGATACAATTTGCTTCATCTGTGTCTACTCTCTTTTGCATAAGTGTATTCTCACTCTGTGCATTTACAGTACAGTACTTTATTCTCCTAATCAAAGTATTAATTTTTTATTCAATAGATTTCAAAGTAAGAGGATAAAGAAGAAGAACAGAAAAGGTAAGAAGATTAGGATGTAGATAGTCTATTGAGTGAGGTGATGAGAAAATGTTGCAAACAAGGGGTAGTGGGCATGGTCACAGTAATACCTTGGAGGTTTGAGGATGTGCCCTATGATACAGGCCAAGATAAGAATAGAGTTGCAGTAACTTGACCAATCTTTTTCCAGTGGAGTGGCTGATCTTCTGGTTAATCCCAGCTGCCTTAATAAGAGGCTACTGCACTTGGGCCAAATCACCTGGTTTTGGTAGACTTTATACTACACAATTTAGGTAATCTTGTGTGGCTCACTTTATCTAATGAATTTTCAGGATCACACTAATTTTTTATGATGTTACCAAAACCCTACTTCAGTACTGTAGTGTATTTTTATTGTGGCCTAAGTGCAGTGTGAAGGAGAGATGGTGATATGTTATGTACCGTGTATGATTATAAGTGAGTTGCTGGAATGAATGTACCTATACAGTACAGTAGATGTTAGACTTTGTATAAATGTAAACATACCAGTACAGTATACTGTAGTAATATAAATTTTCTGGGGTCTTAGTACTGATGAAACTGTATATTATAATATAAATAGTTATATTATTGATATATTGTATAGATATAGTACTGACAAGAGTATACTGCATTCTCTTTCTACAGTGTATCATAATAAAATGATAGTATTGAAAGTTACTTGTAGAATATACTTTTACATCTTTGTCTTTTTAGGTATGTACGGATTACTGCTGACCAGGGGAAGCAGTACTTATACACTATCAAGCAGGATCGTGCAGTCAGGCCCGGACACATGGGTTTTAATGCCATTCAGCGGAAGGAGGCCATGCTCTCCTTGGACCAAGAGGTGAGAACTTGTTTCCTGTTAAAGACTCTCAGTACAGTAGAGTATGTTGTTATCTCCTCTGCCATAACTTTTGCTTGTGTAATAAAAGATTGTTCTGCTCTTTCACTGCCACTAATTATATATTTGGTATAAATGGTTCTAAATACAGTATGTTACTAGTACAGTTCTAATTTAAGTTATGTGCCACAACAAAGTTCAGAACACAGTGTGCTTAAGTTATTTATGTGTGGTTCAAGCAAGATTTACATGGTTACTACAGACCTCATATTGTATGAGTGTGCCATATACAGTATAAGTAATACAGTTTAAAACGGCTACATTTGCAACCTTTTATTTCATGGTCGTAGTTAATTTATTCATAACTTATTATTCCTCATGTAGTCCCATACCTAACTCTATTGTATTTGTTTTGCAGTTAAACTAATATCTATTTACACAATCTGAACAGATCCGTGTTGAGCCGTTTGTTCACAATCTCAAAACACAGCTGATTGGCACATTGGTGATGGAGGCAGACTTCCTACAGAAGAAGAACACCACTAACCAGTCATATAATACTGACCAGATGGCACTACTATTTTTGGAACAGTTTGCAAAACATTGTTTTACTGTTGGTCAACCTATAGTGTTTAGGTTCCAGGACAAGAAGACTCTTTCTTTAACAATCAAGGAAATTGAAGGTAAGTGTTTGGTTGAGTTGTTAAGGGAGTGTTAGGTGAAGTTACTAAGTGAGTGTTATAGTGAGTTACTAAGGGAGTGTTAGGGTGAGTTACTGAGTGCTTGGCTGAGTTACTAAGAATAAGCATGGAATAACATAGCATTGTTAGGTAGGTATATATTGTACAGTAGATATTTATTCAGTAAAGTTGTCATAGAATGTTATGTTGATTTAGTATATACTGTATATAGACAGTAAGATATGCAAAACATTTTAGATAATGATGATTCATAGTACAGTACAGTACAGTACAGTACCAGTAGTTATTGAAGTTGCTCTTGTGAGGGATAGAGGAATTAAGTAAAAATGTAAACTGATGTACAGCACGAGAGTAAATATAGTACATGTATTAACATAAAGATGGTAAATAATTATATAAATCTTATTATTCTAACTGTACTTCATCTTGTAAAGTAAAGAAGTAGGTTATTGTGACTGAATTAGAGTTTAATGACATTGAAGGATTTAATGTGTTTTTATTTACTAGAGATATATTTGTGACTAACCACAAGTACAGTTCAGTAGTTGACTTTACATGCTGACAGATAGTTGACCAAGACAGTAAACTTACTTGTGTTCCCACAGTTGCTGACCCAGAAGCTCTTGCGTCAGGCAAGAAAAGTAAACCTCGTAATATTGACTTCGGTATTCTGCAGCCAAATTCTTCTGTTATTTTTGAGAAGAGTGAAGGCTCTTTCTTAATACTTACTGGCAAAGCAAAGGTATGAAATTTGCTTTTAATATCTATTGTAAACTTTTCCACAATGAATGGCAAAGCAAAGTTGATTGATTAATGTAGGGAGAATGTGTGTGGGGGGGTTATGTGGGCAGCATTAACCCCTTGTGTGCAGTGCCACCTCTGAGCTGAATAAAATCGTCTGGTATTAGCCAAATAAAACATTAAAAGTGGCATCCCCGAAGTGAAGAGGTTAAGCATGAATGAAAGGAAATTATGTTAGTGTGTTGTGCAGGTATGCTCTTGTTTGGTCATCTTCCACTGTAGTAGAAAAATGCTTAAAAGAATAATGATACTGTAGAACATCTCAGATTTATCCCACCATTAATGCTAGCACTTGACCCATACATCCACTTTCATTTCTGTTGTCAAATGTTAAATCTCCAGCTTTTATATGATCTTATGTTTCAGGCCCGGTCTTCCCACACAAGTCTCTTCACTGCAGATTGGGACTTCCAGAAGATGGGTATTGGTGGTCTGGATGAGCAGTTTGTCCAGATACTACGAAGGGCTTTTGCCTCCAGAGTTTTCCCCCCAGAAGTCACAGAACAATTAGGCATTCAACACGTGAAGGGACTCTTGCTCTTTGGACCACCAGGTGTGTTTTAAGTATTTGTACATTTTTAATTGACCCAATGATAGAATATTGTTTATTATGTATCTTTAATAATGGGATGTTTTGAAATATCTGAGTTGAGTGTTTTGTCTTGATTTGTATCTTTTATATTATTGACAAGGTTATCCCCTTACCCATGTGACTAATACCACATTAGGTCCTATTTCAGGAAAAAAATAGCCCCCCCCAAAAAAATTTTGTGTCATAAACAGGAAAAACTTTCATTATTTTCTAAAAGAAAAATGCTAAGTCTTAAATGATGTAACTCATTGATAGCAATAGCTTTACACTCTTTGCTGAAGAATGAGATTTAGCACGAAAAAGATGATTGAACTGTGTTAGCATAATTTGGGGAGCAAATGTGTGTAAATGATTTGTGCAGTTGATGACTGTAGAGGATAGTGTGGAACTGTAATAGATGGAGGTGTTAATACAGTAAACATTCATTTTTTAAGTCACTTGTCAGTTTACAGAGTTTAGCAGCATGGAATATGAATTCTTTTAGAAGCTTTTCCATGCTTATTGGGAAGGAGAATCCACTGTGAGAACACTGAATGTAAGATATAAAGTTTTGTCCAGAAATAGAAAAGTCCTTGCTGTGAACACCTAGATCAGGAATGTCATGAGGCATTTCTCCTTTGATAGACATTTTTGTTTAGGCACAACAGTCACAAACTAGGATCATTTGTAGCTCACTGAGAAGAACCATATTGTAAACCTTCAGTTTTAAAATAGATCTTTATAATATGTTATTTTCATTACAGGAACTGGCAAAACACTTATGGCACGCCAAATTGGAAAAATGCTTAATGCCCGAGAACCAAAAATTGTTAATGGTCCTGAGATTCTTGACAAGTATGTAGGAGAGTCTGAGGCCAACATCCGCCGCCTGTTTGCTGAGGCAGAGGAAGAAGAAAAGCGTATGGGTCCAAATTCTGGTTTGCACATAATCATATTTGATGAGATAGACGCTATTTGTAAACAAAGAGGTTCTGTAGCTGGCAACACTGGTGTCAACGATACTGTTGTAAATCAACTACTATCAAAGATTGATGGTGTGGAACAGTTGAACAATATCTTGGTGATTGGCATGACCAACAGAAAAGATATGATGGATGAGGCCTTACTTAGGCCCGGTAGGCTAGAAATTCAAGTCGAGATTGGACTGCCGGATGAACAGGGTCGTTTTGACATTCTCAAAATTAAAACGGCCAAGATGAGAGATAATAGTGCGCTGGACCAGGATGTTGATCTTGAAGAAATTGCTTCCTTAACTAAAAATTTTTCTGGTGCAGAAATTGAGGGTCTTGTAAAAGCTTCTGCATCATCTGCTTTGAAGAGATACATTCACCTTGGAAATAAGATTGAAGTGGATCCCAACGTGATCGATAAACTTAAGGTAACACGAAGCGATTTTATTTATTCTCTTGAAAATGATATAAAACCCTCACTGGGTACTAGTGATGAGGCACTCTCCAAGTTTATTGAGCGAGGCATAATAAATTGGGGAGCAACAAAAGAGCTTGCAGAAAAAGGAATGATGTTTGTGAAACAGGCACAATCTCCCGAGACGAGCAATTGCCTCCGTTTACTGCTGGAAGGAGCACCGACTGCAGGAACGTCAGCACTGGCAGCATACTTGGCAAAGAATTCTGACTTCCCCTTTATTAAGGTTATTAATTCTCGTGACATGATTGGATTTATGGAGTCTTCTAAGTGTTTGCGCATTAGCAAGATATTTGACGATGCTTACCGCTCCGAGTTGAGCTGCATCTTTATGAATGATCTGGAACACTTGATGGGTTATTCACCAATTGGCCCACGCTACCAGTCTCTTGTTCTGGATGCCCTATATTCTCTTCTGTCAGCCTCTCCACCCTCAGGGCGTAAACTCCTTGTCATTTGTACAACCAAACGACGATCTGTTTTAGAAGAACTGGGCCTCCTTTCAGCCTTCACTGCTGTAATAAGAGTGCCCTATATTGCACACCAAGATGATGTTAAGCTTGTTCTGGAGGAGTCACAAGCCTTATCTCCTAAAGAAGTAAGTACAATACACTACAGTATACCACTATGTTTAGAAAATGTGAAATTCTGTGTAAAATATAAAACAAAATACCGTATGTTAGTGGGTCACGTGCAGCCTAGGAGTGTAACTTTAGTACCGCAGATGAGTTGGTCTCAGTGGCTTGCCTCTCATAACTGCGCCTTAGGTTCAATGCCTCGGTTGGATGTGACAAGGGTATTATAGGTATCCAGTGCTACCCAACCAAACATGACAGGTTTTCTCTGGGTACTCTGGTGTCCTCCTGTAGTAACACGGGACAATCAGAGACAAACTCATCAGGGACAGTGGGAGGTTTAGACAAGCCACTGGCTTCCTGTCCCCATCAAAGCATTAAAAATAAGTACAACAAAAAGTATTAATAATATTTAAAAGAACAAAAACAAATATTTTTTTACTATACTGTACAGTAATTTGCAATTTTTGTTGACATAGAATAAGGACAGTATTGTACTGTACAGCAATGCTGTGTATGGTTGGGTGTTGAATCCTGGTACTGTAACATTCTTTACATCTTTTTGTTGTTTAACATTTATTGTTTACAAAAACTAATTGTTATTCATAAACACTTTAGGTTTGTCGTGTTTCCTGGTTGGTTCATAGACTGCTGTACTGTACACTACATACATCAGTTTTGTCCATTTCTATGTGTGATTACATAACTGATGAAAGAAGTTACAGTACTGTAATATTACATGATAGTTTTTGGTTGCCTTAGGCTAGTGCTCTTCACCTTTTACTTTCTTTCTCTCAACTACTGTGTGATACAGTACACTTCCTCCCTCATTGACTCAGCCACTCCCTTAAACAATCACTACATCACTTCTGTCTCCATTCAAAGTAAAAGACTCATTTCTCCCTCTTACATCTTCATGTGTTGTCATCACTTCACTTTCCTTCACATTCACTAATAACTTTCACCTACCATACCTTCCAGATTTAATGACCACCATATACAGATTTTACTTATTATATGGGCAAAACTTAACAAAATGGCTTATAAAGAAATGCATTGAAATGACTGAGTACTGTATAAGATTAGTGCATAATAAAATCCTATTCATTGTCATATTTCCTTTTTTTTTCTTTCAAAAGTCATAATTATAGCATATTTAATCCTTACAGATTGATGCAGTAATGAATCAAATTAGCCACGGGCGAATCTACGTGGGAGTGAAAAAATTATTAGGTCTTCTCGACTCCATGCGCGTAATGAAGGGAGTCGAGTCACGCAAGAGAGTGGCTGCTTTTGTAAACTTGCTGGAAGATGAAGGAGTGTTCACACCTCAACTCTGAATCTGATCTTAGGTTTATGATGTCACTCAGGTATTTGATGACAATGGTTGTATTAAAGTGGTAGTAAATATTAGATAACCTGGCCTAACCTAATGTAAAGATAAGAATCAAATACCCTGGTACAGTAACTTGAATAATTATTTCTGAAGTAATATTATGATGTAAATTACAGTACTGTACTGATTAATGTAAATGTTAATATATAAACAATGGAATATTCTGTAAAGAACAAATATACAGTAAATCAATTATTTATCACAAGTATATTTAAAGATAAACTTATAGAAGGAAAATTAAGGATGAAATAACCACTATCATATTTGCAAAGGAAAGTAAATTTATATACAGTACTGTACTGATATATAGTGTTCATTAAGTAGTCATCAACATTTAAAACAGAGAAATAACAGTGAAAAACTACATCATAACATGAAGTGAATAGTTAGGTTTTAGGGGAAATTTTTAGCTATGTCAGCCACTCTTGTCAATATCAGAATCCTTCATCATTATCATTTGGAGTTATGAAGCAAATGAACCTACAATGAGTTTTGATTTTTTATGTATAATCCTCACTGGTCCATAACACAAACTACCAATCTCAATCATAAATCTGACTAGGAGAGAATATTGAGATGATTCACACTGTTGTTAACTTCCATGTTCCTGCTGTAGGATATTGAACTGCACATTGATTAGGTGCTTGAATATTGTGCTCAAACCAGTATCCATTGTGTTGGGTCTAATGGGTCATTCCTAATACAGTACTGTACTTGTACCTTATCGGGCTTCAAAAAAGGAAGCATTGAATATTGTGTAGGCCATACCAACGCTACAGTAGTATTTCACATAACTGTATTATGAATTTTTTTTGTCATAGCAGTACTGTACTCTTCCCCCCCACCCCGCCTCCCATATACAGTGCTGTATTCAAATTATAAGGAGCAGATACAGTATGTAATGGGCCACACACTGATGTATTGTATATTGAAACTGGTGGACCACATATTTAGCATGTCAGGATGTAAACACTGCTTTATCTAACTCCTTCAGAGAGTTCAGTATTTCATCCTTGATATTAATTTTCTCTTTCACAGAGTTCCTTCTAAGTCAGGCACCTCATTAAACTATCAATCTTCAACATTGTACACCAAAAACAGAGGAACTATCAAGCACAAGAGGTATCCATTACTCCCTTACTGATCATTTGTTTCCTTTAGATATTGTAAGAGTGGTTAACACAATGATATTACTGTATTTTATGAATTTTTATGAAAGCAGTATTAAGAATTTATGATACAATTTATGATTAAAGTTACAAGGTGCCGTATGTATGTATGTTGTGAAATACTGGATAGCCGTGTTTATCAGCCATCGCATGAGCAGAAAATAGAATTAATGATAAATTAAAAATTATAATGCACGTATTTATGTTTAATTTGAATATACAGGGTATAGATAATGAAAATATTAAGTAAACTTGAACGAGAGTTAACTTTGTGTATGCGCTTAAAAGTTGACAAATTTTTTGGCTAAATCGTTAACTCATATGGCTGGGAGACTGCTCCCTATAGTGAGACAGACTCGGACTGTTTCAATGTATGTAAGAATATGTCTTTCAAGATTTGTAGAAGTTTAGTTGAGTGGTACACAATTGTAATGTAAAATTTAACACAGTACTTGTTATTGCTTAGGAACAACATTTCTCTTGCTAATATAATGTTGAAGGCTGTGAAGATGGCTCCTATAAGTTTGAAGGTCTTCTAGGGGCAGTGTTGATAAAGCACACTGAAAACTAAGCCTGCATTGCACAAGGAGACAACATAGATGCCACTGCTTTATACAGTTTTCTAATTTCCCAACGGTGTCAACAGGGAACGTCTTTCATAATGGCCAGCTGCAGTATTTGAATCGATATATCCACTTGCCACCACACCTCTCTAGAAAGACACTAAACATATGAAAATAACGTGAAAATAGACTTTAGAGTGATTCTGTGTATTTTCTCCTTATTATCATATACTACAGGTATTTATGTACCTACATTATTCTTTTCAGGTAATTTGTTATTTCTAAGTAATATCCATTACCCTGTACTGTGGATGATACATGTAATACAACTCTGCTTAAGAGATGTGTACCACTAAAGTGAGCATCTTACAAATCCTAAAAAAACTTCACTGTGACCTATCACGCCTTACGTAAGATATCACCACAACACTGAGGTTACATTATGGTCCCTTGGTGGTGTTATTTATTTGTTAATATTACACAAATATAATTGCTGGAGAATCTCCAGTTCAGTCTTGCAACATTCCAGATGTTTGATTGTTTGGCCAGTGTCTTTATACTGTATTTTGTAAAAATTTTGCCAGATTTTGCAAAATTCTATAAAAAAACACATTGTAGAAACAATTACTTAGCAGTATTGATCAGTTTGGTGATTTTAAACCCAAATGGATTAAAGTTTGCAGTAATTTGACCAGTAAAAAGATAGTTTGCTAAAGTTATGATATACTGTATTCCAGTCTTAAGCTTAATTAGAATAGGTACTCTGTATATTTAGAGGTCGTTTGGTCAATGGCAATATATTTCCAGGGACATAGAGTACTATACATATATACAGATAGCAACAATAATCAAGCCTTAAGTTTGCTCTGCGGTCATCTACCACCCCTTCTCCCTTTTTGTCTTTTATAATTCTAATTGCTTACTTCAGTCCTTCAAGTAATATGTTCAGTAGCTTCCGTCTTCTTCTTGCCACCAGGAAACATAAGAGGCAGTGTTGGGGCCTTCAGGAAGGAACTTGAACATTTTCTTTAAAGCTTCATGATTAACCAGGATGTATTGTAGTGATTATGTTGGTGTGCTGGCTGCTGGTCATAATAAAATGGTTAACCAGATTATTATTATACAGTATCTGAATCACTGTGGTCACCACTGTATAACAGGACATGATGCATTACATGTTAATTGATTAACTAGTTTTAATGTGTATATGATACTTTATTTATTGATTTTGTAACTGTGAGGAATTTATGAGTCTATTAGAAGTACTGTTGAATGATATGCATAAGGTTGTCAAAAGTCAGATTTTCCTGCTGATTATTTTGTCAGTGATTAGTTGCATCCCCTAAAAAGACACCACATTTACCTCTGGCAGGTGTATCCTACCTGTCAGGTGTGCTGCACTTACTGTATTGTCAGTACAGTATGATGTCTCCTCCATAAATTTCAAACTGCATCACCTTAAAACCTTCCATTTATACTGTACTCACTGACAGTATATTTTTAATTTTGAGGCTTAGTGGCAAAGTTCTGAACTATGATATACTGTATCTCAAGTACCAGCACATTATAAACTGTACAACAACAATAAATCTCTGTGTACTGTACAGAGAAATTATAATTGAGTAGCCCTGCACATCTATTTCTGTAATTAAACACTGATAGATAACTCGCACAAAAAATGGGAAGGCAACAAATACAAGATTGCTTTCATTATGCCGTCTATATGCCGCCCTGCCTTTAACTATGCCTAGGAAAGATTACCTCCAGTACACCATCAATACTCACACACATATGCACACATGTATGCACACTCACTCACACACACAGTTCTTTTTTTAGTTTTTATGGTATTTTACAGTAGTTATTTTTTTGCATTATATTGAGTGTACCTGTAAAGTATATCGAAAAATATGTGGTGAAAGTTGCCAGCTGCGAATGCATTCCCTCCTATTTACATTAATTCCTCTGGGGAAAATTGCCCCGATATTCACAAATTCATTATTCACAATGACTTTTAGAAATGCATCATTTGCGATAACGTGGGTATTATTCCTGTACAGTCATTGGTTTGAATTTTGCAATTGGGTTAGGAGTGATGGTGAGAGTAGAAGTGTATTGTGATGAAATGTATTGATCTGTGTTATTGACACCTTTATTTTGAAAAGAAAACAGATAGTAGAGTATTGTACTACACCTAAGTGTACTTTAAAACTATTGTATTATGGCTGTGCAAATAACATTCCAAATATTCATAAAATTAACAACTTAAAATGGACACACTCAGTGTTGTTGCTTTATATCATGAAAATTATGCAGATTTTAGTTATTGGTGATGGAAAATTACCATGTTGGAATGATATTTTGAAATGGCAAATAGTGAGTGATATGTACTTTACAGTAATGTGCAGTATGTGAATATTGTATGGTCTTTGATAATTTTGTATGGCCCCATATTTCAGTACACAGCAGTTCTTTGTTAATGTGTTCATATCAAGAGTTCTTTCTTATTCTGAATCTAGTAGCCAAAAAACTTCACACTTATAATTTTGTTTTAATAAAATTAAAAAACATTGAAGTTGTTAATTTACTTAATCTTTTCACTTGTAACTTTTGCCATAAACTTTATTATAATTCCCTTTAAAGATACTACACAGAACAGTACAGTACACCCTTTTTGAATATAACATTCATTGTTACATTTCCATTGGTCCAGCCCCAAGCCCCTCTTCTCATCTTGTACTTCTACAACTGATCTCCATTTATATAGCAATTTTGAAATACTTGAAACTCCTGAACCTGAAAATATGGTTTTTATGTTTAAGTGTTACAGGTCCTGCCAACACTACACTAACTCTGGTTTCTTAATTTGGAGGTTCTTCACTTTATTAATGTTTAAATTACAATAACTAATTTCTCTACAGCATATACTTTATTAATGAAATATGATGATATTTTATAATGCCAAATTGTTTAACAACATTATAAGCCATTGCTAAAACTGTACTCACAGGAATGAACATTTGAAATGTGAATGTTAGTATGCTGAAGAGAGGTTTACAAGGCAATGAAGCGTGAACAAGACGCATTCGTGAATGTGTTGAATAGTGAAGACCTAAGAAAACAATGTAAATTAACTTCATTGTACAAAAACCTATACGTACAGTGCTTTGATACTCAATGGTCATGTTTAAAATTGTAAGGTTTTGAAATTAAATAATTTTAATTTGATATTTAAGCTAAAGTATTGTACAGTGAGTGTTGGTTGTATGGTGCTAATACGTGTATCTCCGCAGTACTGTCCTGGGCTCAATCCTTGCAGATGATAGAAGGGTGTTGAAAGATTAAAACCTAGCAAACATCACTCAAACCTACCTTCACACCCACCCACTTCCATTATCAGATATTTAAATTTCTAAATCTTGTGTAGAAGAACCAAACCTGACATGAGGTACATTTTAAAATTAAGGTCTAATGTAATAAACTAACCTTATGTGGAGTCCACAATATAAACGTTGAATTTGGAAATACTTGATAAAGACAATGACACTTCCATTACCGATTCATCTGCGAGAAATAATATACAGTATTACCCCGCTTTATGCGGTTTCTCTTTACGCGATTTCTCATATACGCGGTGCCTCGCCAGAACCGAACTTTCACTTTCCGCGGTTCATCTACCCATATACACGCGCAGTGTCCGGCTCGACGGTATTTTTAGATTCGCCCCACCCGCCTCCGCAAGCCGCGCGGTAAGGTTGCGCAGTGCATGTCTCTGTTGCGTTATCACCGACGTCATATGACGTATCGGACTGTGATTGGCCATGCATCCCTACCCCCCTTTGCCGCAACCCACCACAGCCAGCCAGAGCCAGTGAAAGTGACTTTGAGGGATTTGTCAGGGAAGCCCTGACAACTGTAACTGATAGTGATGGTGATGCACCTAGTAATGGTGACTCACCTGAGGGCCAGTAATCTGCCTTCTGCCTCGGAACCAGCCTCCATCCCCGTATGCCGACCCATCTCTTCTACTAACGTAAGTGTTACACCTAACTTTTAGTTTTCCTAACCTAACCTTTATTTTTCCTAACTTAACCTTTATTTTTCCTAACCTAACCTCTTCTATATTACTTGTTTGTGCATACCATCATAAAGTTAAGATAAAATTTTTACTACAACATAGTTGTGTGTCGTCAAAAAGTGGAGTTTGGGGGTCGGGCCAGTCTCTATTGGAATTAATCCCATATGTTCTGTTGTTCCATTTACGCGGATTTCACTTTCCGCGGTACCCTGTGGGTTCAATTGACCGCGTAAATCGGGGTACTACTGTAGTGGTACTGCAATGTGCTTATCTCTGGAGAAGTGAAAGACTTTATCCAGTATGACATAACCAATCATTGCAGGTTTTCTGATTTTTCCTGTACTAACACAATGTAGGTTTCAAGTAAGAACATATGACATGAATGGCTATTAAGCTGATAAATACTTAGTGCAGGTGTAAAATGAGGCTATTTGACCCAGGATAAAAGATATACAGTAGTACTGTGTATTCAATTATTTTTTTATTACCTACAGTATTTACAAAAAACAAATACTGTACTACATGATTGCTCTGAAAAATACTATACACATGTAAAAAAACAAATATTATAAAATGGATGAACTGTATGTATACAGTATTGTCATTATTTATTGTCATTATTATTTCAACTTAACACGATGGACTTATAAATCTGTGAAAACTAACTTGGTAGCCACTGGCTTTAAAATTAAAATATCTAAATCTTGCATAAAAAATTATAATGTACAAATGCTTATGGCACCATAACACACACGTAACATGTTATATGGTGTGTGTGATCACAACCATCCTGTAGTTATCTAGAATGTATTAAATAACCTGAGAACTGACAGTAAGAAACAATGCCAGTTATTGTCACAAACTATGTTTGCTACCGGCACATTACACAGCTTCTTGCAACAAGTATACAATCCAGTATTGTACTGACTTTATAAATGCAACAAAAACATTTCAGTACAGTAGGAATTATATAGTTCAATTATCTTGAATGAATTACTATATACTGGCTAAGTTTACCATTATAAAAATGTGGTCTTCATCTTGTGGGGATTCACTTTGAACTTTCTTGGAATAAAATTTTCTTCTTTGAAATGCCTTAATCCACCTTCTTTCTAGGCTTGTAGATGATAGCAACAATGATAATGAGTGTGTTGAGAACAAAGGAAGTGCCAAAGTTCATCAGTAGTGCAGGGTCTGCTGACTCCACGTAGATTGTGAACAACCGTGCTGCAATGACAACAACTCTATACTCTTCCTATTAATTATATATGGTACACTAGTCAGTAAAATATAATAATAATAATAGCTGTTTTTTGCTTCTCAAAAGTGCCAGTTTTTCTAAAGAGTTCACTAACACTTGTAATACTACAAGGTTAAGGAACAGAGATTAAAAAAGAAAAAAATACTACAATAAAGATAACAAAAAGTTAGTTAATATAACCTTAATAGTTATACACTAGTAGTACGGTGTAAGAACTTTTTATTACCGATATATTTTATTTAAGATATTAAATTTTTTAAGTTTAGAAAACCACTTTAAAACCCTAGGGAAGATAAGATTGACCTATACTGTACTAGTAAAATGCCCCCAGGAAGAGCCTGTCTTTGGTAAAGAACTCCGAGATCTTTAATGACCAGAGACTCCAAGAGGAGGTTGGGAATATGTTGTAAGTAAAGACCCCTTTTCATAAATGTTGAGAATTTTTGTGTATAGCTCGGTCACATAAATGGATGGTTCCTGGAATCTCAGTCAACCTACCAGCTCGTTGACATAAGTACAGTCGGGGTCAAGATTTCAACTCTGTTTCAACAAAATCAATTTCTACATTATTTGTTCAAGTTACCATACAATATTCAAACTGGAATTAGATGGACGATATTTACATTTCTTACACTAATACAAGTGATAACTCTGCCGCTGTGCTACAGGTCATGTAAAACAAGGACTGGATGAGGATACTTACTGATACTTGTGTAAGAAGAGATGCACCAGGTTGGAATAGATACCGACTCAGAATTCTTGGAACGAATGATGGCTAACAAAGCAACCACCTTGCTGCTGGCTGATATTGGTGTACACATACCCTGTAACAAAGCATACATGATAATTTACTGTACTTCTCAATAAACAAATAAGGTAGGGTCATAACAGGTAGGGACAGACACACACTGGCTGCATGTTTGAAAATAGGAATTAAATTTTCAAGAATTATGTTAATACTGTATGTAGTTCAAGTATGGGTCAGATACCCTGACTCAAGTTACACCTCCCTCATCCAGGTGCCAGCCTTTGTTTCCAACCTTCCTCTTCTGATAGTGAAGGTTGTGACAGGAAGGGATGGCCAATTGCACTGTAATATTTACCCCTTAGTGCCGTGGTGGGTAATAAGCTAGACAGCAGCCAATGAAAAGTAACTGACTCAAGTTACCCTACAAGATTTTGGTGGTTTATGTAAAAGCTGTAATAAAACTACAGCATGGTGTCAATATTTCTCACTGAATCTACCAATACTATCCTAAAATTTACTGAAAATATCCCACATTATGAAACAAAATGCAAAATTCAATAACTTACCACCAACGTTTTTATGAGGCTGTTAGGAAGTGTGCCAGATGCAATAGAATATGCAAAACAGGGTAGAGCAGCAACAGGTAAAATTTCAACTGGTGAAAGCCGACCAGACAATGCCAGAAACAATGTTAGCATCACCACATCTTGTACGATTAATAACGGATACTCAAAATATGTAGTGAGGGCATAAGCAGAGTACACATTATAGCTGAACATGATGGAGTAACTGCAAAAGAAGAGACAGGAAGAATGTCAAGTCTTCATGCAACAAAATCAATGCTACAACTTTAATATTTTTTGGTCAATACTATACACTTCAGTACATATACAGTACAATATTGTGCACTTATACATAGTTACTGGTACTGTACATTAAATTAAAATGAGGATAAGTTCTTTACTATTGTATTTTCAATGTCTTACACTGAAAGGTATATTGAAGGAGTATCTCTAAGTACTGTATAAGGAACTAATATTTTACTATAATATTGGGCTCAAAGTTCCCTACTTTTGGAACAGGTAACCAGGGCCCTCACTAAGTTAGGGCAACACTACAACACAGTAATAACATAACACTACAACACAAAACTGCAACACACAAATAGTAGCTAGCACAACACTACAACACAGTAATAACAAAACACTACAACACACAAAAAGTAGCTAGCACAACACTACACCACAGTAATAACACAACACTACAAGTCACAGTAGTATCAACACTACAACACAACACAGTAGTAACACAACACAAAACTGCAACACACAAATAGCTAGCACAACACTACAACACTTCGACTCACAGTAGCAATTAACCTAACACATTAGTTACACAACAACACACCGTAGTATCACTTAGTAACAACACAAAGTAGTAAGGTTACTCTACAACCTAATCAAAACTCTAAAACACAGTTGCCATAACATGTAACACTAACACAAGCTTCAACAAACAATACAATATTACAATACACAACACAGCAGTAACATGTGACTACAGAAACAGAACACAACACCTACAACATACAGCAGTAACAACAGTCGCTACAACACAAACCAGTACACTACAGTAACAGCAATACACAGCAACACTACTACAGCAATACACAGCAACACTACTGCAGCAATACACAACAACACTACTACAGCAATACACAACAACACTACTACAGCAATACACAGCAACACTACTACAGCAATACACAGCAACACTACTGCAGCAATACACAGCAACACTACTGCAGCAATACACAGCAACACTACTACAGCAATACACAGCAACACTACTACAGCAACACACAGCAACACTACTGCAGCAATACACAGCAACAGGCCTACTACAGCAATACACAGCAACACCACTACAGCAAACACATTAGCAACACTACTGCAGCAATACAGCAATGTGTGCAAAAAGTAACACTACTACACACACAGCAAACACTACTGCAGCAACACACAGCAACACTACTAGCAATACACACAACACTACTACAAATACATGGTAACACTACTGCAGCAATACACAGCAACACCATCAGCAATACACAGCAACACTAGTTTACAGTGAAATACATGGCACACACAGCAAATATGAATACAACAATTACTGCAAGAAACACACAGCAACACTACTGCCACAGCAATACAGCAACACTACAACAGCAATACACAGCACACTACTGCAGCAACACACAAGCAACACTACTACAGCAACACACAGCAACACCACAACAGCACACACAGCAAACACTACTACAGCAATACACAGAAGAAACACCACTAAAGGCACACACAGCAACACCACTGCAACATAGCAACACTACCAGCAATACACACAACACTTACAGCAATACACCAACACTACTACAGCAATACACAGCAACACTACTACAGCAATACACAGCAACACTACTACAGCAATACACAGCAACACTACTACAGCAATACACAGCAACACTACTACAGCAATACACAGCAACACTACTACAGCAATACACAGCAACACTACAACAGCAATACACAGAGCAACACTACAACAGCAATACACAGCAACACTACTACAGCAATACAAAGCAACACTACTACAGCAATACACAGCAACACTACTACAGCAACATTAACTTACTATAGCAGCAGTCATTCACTCACCTTGTTAACTCCAGTAGAATACTTGCCAAGCTTAAGCCTTTCACAGACTTCTCTTTGGCCAGTTTAATAATCTGTGGTACCTTGTTGAAACCACAGAGTCCTATTGTGGTGACATCGCAGAAAGTGATTAAGGCGTCAATTATGAGAGACATGATGAGATAACTGGGCCAGCACCATGAACCGCTGCGTCCTCCCCTCACTCACCGGCGCCCATCACTGGCACGACCCAGCGGCTTTAACTCGATAGTCTCTCCTCTTGTAAACATCATAAACCAAGTAGAAATATATATTATGGAGTAAAACATCTATATACTATATTGTAGGTAAACAAAGTAATACAAAATAAGGGCGATATTATTTATTATTTTATCGTATGCTATAAAAGATTTGTATAACTAATAATTTTAATATTACAAACTATTAACAACATCTGTATCCATCTTTTTTTCTGATTGGCAGATTCTCTCTTTAAACTTTGGTTTTAAACGTATTATTACTTAGGAAATTATGGTTTTACTCAGAACCGTATTGTTAGATATGTATTTTAGGTTCCACTTTTGAATGAAATCCGAATTCGGGAAGACCGGAAAATGTATAAGTGTTAAACGCTTAATATCACTCTCACCCAACAAAGAAAAGCCCGTTTGAAATTGCATAAGGTAACCCATAGGGCAAATGTCAATGTGAAAGTAGAAAACCTCTAGTATTTCCATGATCAAATTATACATACATCTTAATGGACTGTGAGAATGACTTACATGTAATGTAATTCATCGCAAAATAAAACTTAGTAATCACGTTACTTGACTGCAATGTAAACCAAGTTAAATCTAAATAGACTCAGTATAACAATACAAGGACGAAACTGTTTATATTAACCTGACTTGTTTAGTATTAATATTTATATAATTTTATCTAGCTTACGTAAAGGTGATGGCACCGGGTGTGAGCTCATTTAAGACCACGACTAGCGCAGGTTCCCGTACATTCTTCAGTGAACACCCAGTACTTGCCAAATACCAACTTTACGTAACAGAAACATACCCGACCGCGCGCCTGGCCAGAATGTCGATCTAAGGGAGAAACAAATAAAGTAAAGTTAAATGTGTTACGGAGGGAGAGGCAGCAGGGACTGGGAGACCATACAACTGATGCAGGGAGGTGCTTGTGTAGCTTACCATCTACTGGTGACGTATGGGGAAGTTCATAACCCATTTACATTACAAGTTATATGTCGGGGTGTTGAAATATAGCACTATTGATACACGATAAGTAGGGAACATTATGACGTTGTTAAGTCATTTATTTTAGATAATGCAATATTCAGTTATATGGTAGCCATACAATTAAATACAAAGAAGTGAAAGGACTAATGTAATGACTTGAATAAACGTACTAATGTAAAACAAATCAAAGTAATGACTAAGTAAGAAATACAACTAATGATGATAGTGTTGGTCTGTTGAAAGAAACTGACAGACTGTGTTTACATTTTAATTCACTTAACCATATTGCCCAGGGACGGATCCAGGAATACCAAAATGAGGGGGAGGTCCAAGAAATTTTGGGTGGGGAAACATAGCAAGCAATATCATGAGCATTTTGATATTAGGAGATATTCTGAGTTCAACAGTAATTACTATTTACTATACAAAAATGCCTGAGTACAGTACTGCATTAAAGAAAAGGCATTATAATTTTCAGGTGAAAAGGAGGAGTCCGGACCAACACCCCCCCCCTCCCTGGATCCGCCCTTGTTGCCCAGTAGCTGTGTCTGTCTCCAATATATACTGTATGTACGAGTATAACTATACAGTGTAGCCTCAGTCATATAGTCACAGCTGCCAGTGACAATATACACTGTTTCCAGACACTACCTTAGGGACGACTGACATAAATAAAGAGTATTTACTGTATGTATTTTGTTTACTTCACCTTAACCCATGAAGTTCAGTCCTACGTTCCCGAGTATGTCATAAAGCAGTGCTGTGTTAATAGTGAGAAATATTGTGAGGATATTTCCTAGTTAACCTCATACAGTTAGTTAACACTGTGCTCCTATAAAGAAGTTTCTATTATCTTATCAGTAGTATTTATCTCTAGTGACCTGATGAGAAGATTTAGGTCACTTGGGGTGAATTATAACCCTCAACTATAACCAGATTCTTTGTTAGTCATTAAGTAAATGTTGGCCGTATAGGAACCATGATGGGGCCTGGCTCTTAACTTGTCTTTCCCCTCACCTTCATTTAAAGTAACTTATGATTTTCACTCCCAAAGAGAGAGAGAGAGAGAGAGAGAGAGAGCGAGAACAGACCATGTAAGGTTGTAGTGAGTAACCGTGCAGGAGGAAGGAACAGAAGACAAGACGTAACAATAAACCGCTACTTGTGGTCACAGGTAACACGTTTGGCTGGGAACCTCATCGCCCTGTGTAGGTTAGAGAAGCTACTACACCTGCACCTAACAAACGCCTTCTGACGTTTTCACTGTGCATTTGATCACTGTTACGAACCCCGCCACCAATTGTCCTGATCTACCTACCCAGCACTACGAACCACGCCATCTAGGGACGAAACACGAGTATGACTCGTCTTAGTTACCACTCCGGGGTTTCCCTTCTCCATATCCTGGTTGTTGTGTCACCTCCTCAAAGTCTTCTTCGTCAGCTTCAGTTCGAGGAGAGTTGACTTCACTCTGGGAAGTGACCACAGGATCACCTATCCTGGAAACCTACGGCACAGTGACTACCTACCGTCTTCTACCATACTCAGCCTTGCTCGTCAGCCATCTCAGCTCCGCACTCAAGTATTTGTAATCTTATGTTGTCTCCCCCATGTCCACTTGCTTCAAATTATTGTATGTTGTATAAATATGTATATACTGTTAATGTTTAGGTTAAGTATGGTTAAGGGTAAATTATAGAAAGCTGAATATTTTGTTAAGGAATTTATGGTACTTTATTATACACAACAAAAACTCGCATCCTTTGTCTACCCTTTTATAGTCCGATTGTCTTTTTTTTTTTGTTGTTGCCTGTTGGGGTCTGGGTAGACTTTTAACTATATTCTAAATCCCCAACTCGTAACAATCATCCATGTCACCGTGGAGACGTGAGGGGTGACTCGGGTGAGGTGAGACATTGGTAGTGAAAGGTGAGGGAGGAAGATGAAATGAAGGTTAGAGGGAGGGGGTGAAGAAGAGGGGACTTAAGGGGAAAAGGGAGGGGATGAGGAGGAGGGAGATGAGAAAGGGAGGTGAAGGAGACGGGTGAGACGGGTGAGAGGGAGGTGAGAGGGAGAGAGGCGTGACAAGAGCAGGAAGAGGCAGAGCAACAGATAATGAGGGAGGATGCTGGTGATGAGCTAGGATGTTTGACTGATACACTGTCGGGAGCGGCTACTGATAATGCTGTGTGTGTGTGTGTGTGTGTGTGTGTGTGTCTATACGTATGCAAGTATGTATGTGAATATGTCTGTGTGTTTATATGTATGTTTATATAAAAGCAGCGTGAGTCTATAATGTTTACATGTACAGTGTGTGTGTGTGTGTGAGTGTGTTTGTATGTATATATGTACGTACGTGTGTCTGAGTGTGTGTACATTTGTGTGTGTGTGTATGAGAGAGAGAGAGAGAGAGAGAGATCATATAATCTACAATAAATATTGATGGTTAAAGAGCTGACCTCTGGAGTATAGGTGTATCAATAGAGAGGTGTGAGTATAGAGTGTAGCGGTGTGGCCCTCGTACTCGACCTGGCCCTAGTACTCGACCTGGTCCTAGTACTCGACCTGGCCCTAGTACTCGACCTGACCCTAGTACTCGACCTGGTCCTAGTACTCGACCTGGCCCTAGTACTCGACCTGACCCTAGTACTCGACCTGGTCCTAGTACTCGACCTGGTCCTAGTACTCGACCTGACCCTAGTACTCGACCTGGTCCTAGTACTCGACCTGGTCCTAGTACTCGACCTGGTCCTAGTACTCGACCTGGTCCTAGTACTCGACCTGACCCTAGTACTCGACCTGGTCCTAGTACTCACAGTTCAAAAGTCTTAATAAAAGTTATGATGAAATTATTCTTATACAAAATTGGATACTAAAACAGTCAACAGTTAATCCAGGTATAAACTGGAGCCCCTAGAGTCAGCCTAGAGTGAAGCGCAACTGTACGTACCTCAGACACTTGTGCAGCGGGGAGAGGTAAACGCCTGTGTGTGAATCTCTTGTTTACTTGTTGGCGCTATGACAGATACCAGATCTCATCGTGGAATTATAATATAAATTTCGTGGATATTTTTGCTTCTTATTTTTCCTAATAGTTGCAACACAATTGGTGCATTTTCGCGTAAGACATTATTTAACACAAACAATATTTTTGTTGTCTAATAATACTCGATAAATTACAGTATCAGTTTATTCACTTTGCACTATGTAAAGACATTAACAATAAATATGTAAAGCTATAATGACATGATCACAGATATTAACTTTGTGACATAAGTTTAAGGCAAGTTAGGTGCCGCCCAGTTAACTGTTTCCTCTTGATCACCAGGACAATAATATGATTCACCACCAGCACCCTTGTTTAGGTGGCAACCCAGCAGAATTTTTTGCATTATCAATATTATTTTATCATCTTGGTCACTTGTCAGCTAACTTAATATTTTTATGTGAATGTAGCAACACTTTTTCAGGTACTCCTCTCCACTAACTAACGTTCAACTATTGTAAACTGAAGTTAATCGTAATCAAGTCACAATTATGACTTCTAGTTTTACGTATACTAATATATACTAAAGTGCTACATCATTACCATGCTACACAATCCTCTTCACAACTTCAACAACAGATTCGTACAAAAAATAACTTCCACATTAAATTTAATTTATTACGGTCTCACAATTTCTTCCCAGGATGATGAAATTACCAAACCAGCTGATCACAGTTAACAGCTATGCCACTACATAATCACCTTGGCCTTGTTTATTTTATATAGATATATACGCTCCACCATTTATCAGAGGGTATCAACTAGTACAACTATATTGCTGAAAACAGTTGAGGTAAGTATTGGAAGTGCGTACTAACTTATTTCCGTTCAATACTGCCTCGGCGGGGGACGAGGCGCTTCCCGGAGGTTTCATCATTTACCGTGTACGACGGTCAGATAACCGAGGGTCAACTTTGTAACTTTTTCATATAACTCAGTAATTTTTTTAGTTCTTGTTTGAGGATCAAGATTATAAAGGTTCACTATACACTACATAATTTTAACGAGGCTACACAGTGTTCAGGAAGACTAGAATGGCATCAACACGTCTTACTTGATATAAACATTATATTATGTATATATTAATACATTATAATTGCACAAATTAGTTAGCTTAAATATACAGTATATAAAAGTATAGAACACATAATTTACGGTCACAATATACGAATTACGTGTCAAAGGTTTACACGGCAGTAAGACGTAATACTGTTTCCTCACTGACAGTCTTGTTGCTATGTGGACGAAGTGATTATATACACCAGGATTGGCAGGTAATGGGCAGAGTGAAGTGATAACTTTGGTGGTAATAGCTTTGATAATTTTACATTTAACTCTACAGTACAGAGTGTAATCACATATCTCGGCAGTGACATTAAGTTGCAGGGGAGAGGATCCACCAAAATACTTGTAGTGGATCCTCTCCCCTACAAAGTAAAACCTCCCGAACGTAATCCATATTTTTTCCTCTGACTGGTAAAGTGTATATTCTTGAACGCAAATTATGTGCAGTAAACTGCCGTCTAATTATGTCTTACTACTTACTGAGCTGAAGCGAAAATTTAGTTTAATAGATTAAAACATTTCCACCATTAATATATCTAGTACACTAAAAGCCTTACGTTCCCAAAATGGTCATAAGTATTTTTTTTTACATAAACATATCATAATTATAATGTCTTAGCTTTAAAGAAAACTATGAAATATCTTGAATAACATCTGTATAGCCACACACATACAACCTGCTATATATACATACAGTACAGTATATTACAGGACACCACTCGTGGGCTTGTCTCAATAATTTGCCAAAACAGACAATTTGTTTGATATTGGTAATATAAAATAAGTTACATGAATTGTGATCAAAGAATTTTGACAAATTTCGTTGTGAATTATAATCACAAATGTCAGGGTATTTATATAGTGCAGTACAGTATATCTATACTGAACAATTTATATTCAATTTTTTTTAATTATTGTCCAAAATTGTCATTTATAATTAATGTTTCTCACAAGATCTATTGCCAAATATAAGTGTTTCACCGAGTCTAATATTTATATGGTCTACAAAACCTCACATTAATTTGTATATAATTTCTGAAAGACATGGTCCTACACATTTTGCGTGTTTGTCAATATAAAACTCATAATTCAGACAAAGATATCAACATCAACATGAAGAATAGTTTCTACACTAACACTGGGCATTGGAGGACAAACAATGGGGGGATTAAGCAAGCCACTGGCTTCTCGCCCCGTCACAACGGTAATAAAGATAAATAAGTTAATATATTGCCTAAATATTAGGCAACTACATGTATTCTACTAATCTGGGTTCAGTCATTTTCAGTGCACCTAAATTTGGAATTACTACACAGTATTTTGAATTTGTGTTTCTGGTTAGTTATAAGCTGAGAAAAATGGCATCAGGTGAAGTCCACGTTATGGCCTTCTCATTTGTAATTTCACGTCACCTACTTCACTGCATCAACTTTTTTCTCAGTAGAGAACTATACAAACTCGTAGTTTCACTTATAAGATTATCAAAAAGCTCGGTGGATAAAGCCTCTTTTATTTCTAACTCTTCCTGACCAAATTTATGCCAAAGTTTATCGTCCGCCCTCACCTCCGCCACCACCACATTCTGTACGAGTCGCTCAGTCAACTGTTGGTGTTGGTAAGACTCGTTGTCATCAGCGTTGAGGAGAGAACTGTTTCTAAACACTTGTAGGCCAGATGGGGTGAGTTGGCTGTTGTCTTCTTTCATTTGTAAAACACCGAGAACTCTACTTTGTACTAAATGAACTGGATAATTCACACACAACGACATCGCGTGAGAATAATGTTCATTACATTCAGACATTATGGATCTGACTAGATTAAACATTAGTAACTTATTAAAGCTTCTACCACCATAATATATACTATCATCACAGACGGCATTAGTACATGTACCCTCAGGACAAGGAACGCTCACCTCATCCACATTATTCACAAAAACACAGGATTGTATCAATTCCTTGAGTTGGGGCTCTAAAATTTCTCGTTTTCTCTCAATACCACAACTGTCAAGTGAGTTTTCTTTGATAACTTGGTCTTTGGAGGTCAACGACAGTGGACTTTCACTTTCACTCGCTGGTCTGTACACTTTGATGGTGTTGTTGTTGTTATGGAAGGTGACGGGGAATACTTCTTCATACTTTTCTCCTCTATTTTTGCATGTAAACTTCTCATTTACCTGGAAAAGAATGCAAAAATAAATTACCATCAATCTATGGCATTTTTGCCGGTAAATTATATCATACAATAACTATAAAAATTATAAAGAATTGATGGCAGAGAATATGAAAGAAAGCATAAGATAAAAAATAAATATGAAATTACAAGAGATAATAAAAACTATAGAGGCTAGACATTGTAAATCGAGGACCATAAGACAAACAAAACATTAATAAAGGTAAAATCAAAAGAGGAAGGAAGATATAAATGAGAATAAATGGGATTTGAATTAGACAGGAGGAAGAAGACATGTGTGAATACTGTACCACTATAATGACCCAGACGTACAGGTGTGTCATTACTGAAGGTCATTTGATGTTGTCATTACAAAAACTATAAAACAATTAACTTTTATTTAGAATAGTAATAAAAAATATAAAAACGACCGAGTTCATTGAATTCTTGGGAATGACTGATGCCTTAATCAACACTGTAGACAAGAATGTTAACTCTGGCATGACATGCAAATGATTAAACTCATTATTCGTTATGTTAACTGAAGCGTGAGTTAGTGGTGGGCGCAGACCACAGATGAGGGAGGTGGTGGCGCGGACAAAAACAAGCTGGTGTGTGGGAGAGAGAAAGAGGTGACAGTGTCAGGTGGCACCACCCTGTGAAAACTTACTGGCATAGTGGCCCCGTAGGAATAAAAGGCGGCCATGTTGTAGCACTCGAAGACGTCCTCCAGCTCAGATGGTTTCCACACCTCGTCTTCCAGTCGCTTCTCGTCGACGAAGTTCCCATAATAGTCCGTCGTCTCGTCCGTGAAGAAATCTTCGTCGTTCTGACTTTCCGTACATAAATATTTAGGAAGTGAATCAACATCCTCTAGAACAACAGTTTCTTCAGGTGATGTGAGCGCCTTGCCCTCAGCTCTCTGACGGTCACACTCTAGCTTCTTCAGGTCAGCTTCTAGTTTGGCGGCGAAGGACCCCACAAGATGGCTTCTTACTTGCCCATTCTTATAGATGACCGCCCCGCCCTCGGTGCCCATCACCCCGTTAACCAGCGGCTTCCCATGTGTTTTGTGAGACATGTCAGTCGTGTTGTTGGTGGGGGAGCCATGCTGAAGGATGGTGTGGGACACCCCGTTAAGTGTAGGTTTAGGCTGCTGGCTGGTCTTAAGACGTGGAAGGTGTTTGGGCTGTGGCTGTGTGTGAGGCTTGGGCTGCTGGAGTAAGGGGGGCTGCTGTGTGGCTGTGTTCGGGGCGCCCTCAGACAGTGCCACGGGATTGACGTAGCAGAAGGGGTGCTCCACCTGCAGCTGTGGACACAAAATATCTTAATAACACAATATGGACGGTAAAACAAAGTACATTAAACCTTTATCATGTAACCGTTTATCATTTAATTATAAATCTGATGAGTACTGTTACTTAATACAAGTACTGTATAATTATAGTAACGAACCTTTTCACAGTCGAACCAGGCGCCGTCTTGCTCCTCCTGACGTCTCCAGCAGCCAGGTTTGAGGGACCCACATTGGAAACATCCAACCAGGAGAAGCCTGACCGATGACGTCACATACTGGACAGAGGCCACCACCGACGAGGCCACCTCCCTGGGGGAGGAGGGCGACCGCCATGTTGAATCCCTGGTAGACGGCGCCATGACGCACCACGGCTAGTCATTATGTGGTGGATAAGAGCAACAGGGGCATGGAGGGTGCCCAGGCTGCCAGCCACGGCTCTAGCACCACTACTGTATTCTTACTCATTTTGATTTATTGTAGAAGCCGTAAATCTCTTCTTTGCATACTGCTCAGTGTAATACTTGAGGAAGCACTACACTTCTGAGTACCAGAATAAGTCCTTCTGTCAATATTGTTCAATCTGAGTTCACTGAATCTTTAATCACTCCTGTTGAAAAAGGAAAAACATTAAGCAACGTAACTGTTACTGTTAAATATATACAGACAGAGTAAAGGCACATTATAGCATTAATGAAGGCATCAATAGACAACTAGGTGAGTGTCATCTGGCCTCTGGAGGGGGTCCCGTTGATGACAGCACCACACTACAGTACTGCCTTAATCTCTAATACTGTGTTGGTGTGTCTCAAGTCGTTGTTTTCTTTAACCACCGAAAACTATTATCAATGCGCGAACCGTTACCATGGCAACACTTGGGTCAATTTTAGCGTGATTTGCAGCAAACGTTTATCACGTGGACCTGGCGACATGTTGGTGCAAATCTACAAAGCTGTTGTGAGTTATTTTGTGACACTCGCCAAGACTTCCCAGTAACTCGCTCATGAGTGATAACTTCCCGGAATGTTGTCAGTCTGGTATAGTTATTGGCCAGCTCTTCTTAATACTCCTTCCTTCAGGGAAACTTTAATATTGTCTCACCATAAAATATTTGTAGTTTGGCAATAACGAATGACGTGTTTTATGCCCATGATAATAATGATATAAAATATGAAAACTGATCTTGATCTAAATGGTAAATAAATAGAGTTGACGAGTTACACAAGACGGTGAAGCCATAATATAGTTCCTGGGCGAGGCACTACACTACACTACACTACACTACACTACATTGTATTCTTCACGCTATTAATCCACCACACTATGTCCTTCACGCTATTGGTCCACCACACTGTGTTCTTCACGCTTATTGGTCCACCACAATGTGTTCTTCACGCTTATTGGTCCACCACACTATGATCTTCACGCTTATTGGTCCACCACATTATGATCTTCACGATTATTGGTCCACCGCACTTTATCCTTCACGCTATTGGTCCACCGCACTATGTCCTTCATGCTATTGGTCCACCGAACTATGTCCTTCACGCTATTGGTCCACTGCACTATGTCCTTCACGCTATTGGTCCACCACACTATGTCCTTCACTCTATTGGTCCACAGCACTATGTCCTTCACGCTATTGGTCCACCACACTATGTCCTTCACGCTATTGGTCCACTGCACTATGTCCTTCACGCTATTGGTCCACCACACTATGTCCTTCACTCTATTGGTCCACAGCACTATGTCCTTCACGCCATTGGTCCACCACACTATGTCCTTCACGCTATTGGTCCACCACACTATGTCCTTCACGCTATTGGTCCACCACATGTCCTTCACTCTATTGGTCCACAGCACTATGTCCTTCACGCTATTGGTCCACCACTATATCCTTCACGCTATTGGTCCACTGCACTATGTCCTTCACGCTATTGGTCCACCACACTATGTCCTTCACTCTATTGGTCCACAGCACTATGTCCTTCACGCCATTGGTCCACCACACTATGTCCTTCACGCTATTGGTCCACCACACTATGTCCTTCACGCTATTGGTCCACCACACTATGTCCTTCACTCTATTGGTCCACAGCACTATGTCCTTCACGCTATTGGTCCACCACACTATGTCCTTCACGCTATTGGTCCACTGCACTATGTCCTTCACGCTATTGGTCCACCACACTATGTCCTTCACTCTATTGGTCCACAGCACTATGTCCTTCACGCCATTGGTCCACCACACTATGTCCTTCACGCTATTGGTCCACCACACTATGTTCTCAGCGGAAAGAACTTTAATTCATCTTCAAGACAAACTGCTGAGACCCGCGTCACCGTAGACGGTTGGGGCAGGATAACAACAATAATGACCGCACATGTTATTACACCAGCCATGGTACAGCGACGCCACAGCTACGGTACAGCCATGGTACAGCGACGCCACAGCTACGGTACAGCCACGGTACAGTAATGTTGCAGGTAAAATGGGCCTCAAACCTAATGTTAACCTACTGTACCTTAGCGCTGTTACCCTTAAGGAACTGGGGTTTGTTCAGACTGGGATCCCTCAGGACTGGGAGATAACTTACTTACGAGGGTCCAGCAGGACTTAGGAATATTACAGACTGGGGCCTCTGAGAGCAGTCATGGTCAGTACTGCCCACTACCACTGGTACAGGATGGCTGTTGTGCAGGGCTTGGTGTAGCTTGGTGTAGGGCCTGGTGTAGGGCCTGGTGCAAGATCTGGTGTAGGGCCTGGTGTAGGGCCTGGTGTAGGGCCTGGTGTAAGATCTGGTGTAGGATCTGGTGTATGGCCTGGTGTAGGGCCTGGTATAGGATCTGGTGTAGGACCTGATGTAGGGCCTGGTATAGGGCCTGGTGTAAGGCCTGATGTAGTGCCTGGTGTAGGATCTGGTGTAGGGCCTGGTGTAGGACCTGGTGTAGGGCCTGGTGTAGGGCCTGGTGTAGGCTTGGTGTAGGATCTTGTGTAGGGCCTGGTGTAGGGCCTGGTGTAAGGCCTGGTGTAGGATCTGGTGTAGGGCCTCACCGTTCACTAACACTTGTAGTGGACACCTTAACACAATAACTTAACTACTGTACACATTAAAGAGTGGAGAATAATAGTTCCAAGTTTCCACAGTAAATACTTCAGCCACATTGGTCAACGTAATGTTACAGTAAAATATATCTTTGGTATTTTGTTCAAACTATCACACTGTGTTTCCACAAACCACACGCTACACTGCACATCCACGACCTTCACCACCTACAGCAGGTAGAGTGTCCCGGGAGGGAGGGAGCGAGGGGGAGAGTGTACACCAAGCTGGCGCTCCACTACTACTGCGCCCCGCCATGATAACGCCAGTGAGTCAGTGCACCACCCCGTTAGACTCACCTCTTGTGTCTCTCTCTCCGTCAGCCCGCTCCTGCCCCTGCTGCTCCTGCTGCTGTTGGTGGTACTACTGAAGGTGGACTAGTGCTCAGCTGGTGGCCCACCTTGGTCTCTCAGCCAGCCTCGGGTTAATGCTCACACCAGCTACTTCATACAGTAATCTGGGCATAAACTTACAGGACCTTGACTTTCCACAGGTGACGACATAATACTGGACGAGACTTAAAGGCTGTAATCTTATCACCCTATTACAGATACCTTACTTCTGCCTCACAACCACTTACAGATTGTGTGAGAACGAGTGCTATAGGACCTGCTGGCTGCTGATACCTCATAAAACACAGGCGTCTATAATTACTGCGTAGCTCCTGACTCACACCCGGGGCACAGTGACACTCCGACACCCCAGTATTCCTCGCCCGTCACAACACATTATTGTGAGACATGACTGGACTTTGATTTACAAAATATACCATTCAGTGAGCGGAGACCAACTAGTACTACCGCTGGATCATAACTCTGCGTCAAATAATAATAATAATAATAATTCCTCAGTCAATCGTCATCCAAGAATACACTTAGTTCACAGGTAGACAGTTCCGCATCTGTAAATAGACCGCGAAGGTAAACAGTTTCAATAATATTCCTAAATCGCGTAGAATAGGTTATGTAAGTTCTAACAAGGAGATTATAATGTGGGAATATATATTATTGTTTATTTACGGAGTGTTAGAACAATACAAAGTTGTTATCATTTATCCGAGAGAAACTAAACGTTATGGTAGGTGACCGCTGGTGAGTGTTCATATGACCGCTGGTGAGTGTTGGGTGACTCACGGCTCTCTCCACCCTCCCTCCCTGTTACTTCCCCTCCATTCTCCCTCCTTTCACTCCATCCTGCCGTTTGTCTCCCTTCTTCAACTCCCCTCCTTCATTCCCCCCTTCCTCCTCCCACTCCCTTTTATCATTCCCTTTTCCCCTGTTTACTCCCACTCCCTGTTTATCACTTCCCCCTTCCTCTTCCCAGTCCCCGCCACCCTCCCGACATTCCTCCTCCCTTCTCCCACTCCCCCTTCTTCCCTCCACTCCTTCCTTCCTCCTACTCCCCCTTTTACTCCTCATAAGATCCAACTTTGACAGGAAGAAAAACATTGAAAAAATGACGAACATTCACATAAAGAGATATAAAAGAATAAACAATGGTTAATGAGAGAAAGAAGAAACAAAAGAAGGAAATACAATACACGTAAGAGAGAGAGAGAGAGAGAGAGAGAGAGAGAGAGAGAGAGAGAGAGAGAGAGAGAGACGGTTGTACATGTCTTGAGTATTTTGTCATATTTTTTTACTTTATGATGGACCCAGTGACGTGACATGACAGCGTACCCCCTAAACAACACACACATACACACACACACTTTTGTACATACATACACGGTGTACTTGACGATAGAGCAGTGTGTGTGTGTGTGTGTGTGTGTGTGTGTGTGTGTGTAAGCAGGTAGACTGGTGTGTGTGCAACTGAGGACAACTCCACCCTTACCACACCTACGGTCGTCGCCCACACACACACACACACACATTGCTCTATCATCAAGTACACCGTGTATGTATGTACGAATGTGTGTGTGTGTGTGTGTGTGTAGAACCTGATCACTACAACAGTTTACACAACACACATCAACACTGTAGAGGTACCAGCGGATCCCAACACCTCCCTGTCTCCAGCACACACATCACCGCTACACCTACACAGAACACATACCAGCTTGTGTAAATATCTAAAACAACACACCTAAAATAACTGCGTAATAGCCACACAAGTTACGGTACATAACACACGCTGATCACCTTCATCACACGAGAGTACTGTAGCTAACTGACCGGTATATAAGATAATTGTAATTCCTGGTTTAGATTTAACTGTTGTGGGGATAATATACAGTGCATAAGGTCGTGGGTTATGGGAGTAATAATAACGCTATGCTTCGAGGCGTCATGTTGCAGTCACAATAACACAGTTCCACCTGAGCAGGCATCAGTCACACTCTCTCCATCAGGCAGCAGTAGCATCCCACACAAGGTACATCTAGTGACCAACACAGATAAGGAGTTCACTGTACACTTCCACTTAGTCACGGGTCGATAAACTACTCACAGGAAACACTCGTAAGATTTAAATGGCCAACACCACTACCGCTGGGGTTTAAAAATGGCGGACTGTGATCGCTTCCCACAGGTTGCGTCGGCTGAAGGACTGCGTGTGGCCAGGGAGTTTCTCTCTTGTCGTACTGTTTCGTGTGTGTCACTCCTTAGTGTTCATTGTGACTAGAATCTTCCTGATCTTTAAGAAATCACTTACAATAATCACAAATTGTATGGAAGAGGATCAACAGCACTGTTTGTGATGGCATTGTGATATATTCATTTACACCGCGGCGCCACACACAACAGGGGGAGAAAAACAATGAAAATTTGGCAGGAGTGGAAGTGAGGAGGAAGAGGAGGCTGGAGGCAGGAACCTAGTGAAGGGGGGGTAGGAAATAGCCAATCTGGTGGTGGTTAGGTCATTGTCAACTACTTCCTTAACTTGTCCCATTCATACGGAGTTTCTACAGTTAGGTGGACCAGTTAAATACACCAACCACGGTACACCGAAGTGGGAAGGTATAGTCCAGGGTGGCAGGGCGCCTTATACCTTACTGTGGCGTGTAAGGTCGACGTATTCCTTATATGCATACAAGAGGTAAAGCTACGGGGGTGATTTTTTTCAGCTCAATCATGGCTACTTTATGGAGACTCTACCTTGGGCTAGACAACTGTTGATCTGTAATTTTAGAATATCACACAAGGTTATCTTGATTTAATCCTTGGGACCTGTAGAGCTCAGTTGACATAGTAAACTGAGGTGAAATGAACCATATGGCGAGTGGGAGTTGGACGCAGCCTTGACGCATCACAGGTGAGTCATGGACCGCTCCGGTTGGCGACTCATCTAACCTTTCATCAATTTATCTACACAAAATTCTCATGTCAACCAAATTAAAGGTGATGTTTATGAATCTTAAATTATTGTTCATTTTCCCTACAAATCCCCCAAAGACGCACAAATACCCGTTTAACAGAAATAGATAAAACAGTGAGTGTATTAGTGTCAAAATGAAGCCAGCAACACTCATCAGCTCGCTTCCTTCCAATGAGTCACACGAAGCTACGACCTCGTCCGTACGCCTGCCTGGCTCATGGCTGGCCTCACCTCACACCTGTCCTCCTCTCTTATATACAACACAGGTGACTCGACCGCTCACCGCACCACCTACATAATTATCACCACCTATGATTACCTTTAACAGATCTGAATGTTAATGGATAAAATGAGGAGATATTAATATGTGAAGCTCAAGGTAGACTATAATTAGGAGTGGGAACGAGACCTTGGTGAGCGAGTATGAAGGCTCCTGAAGGTGGTGTGGCCGAGAGGTGTATTGTGTCGCTGATGGTGTAGTAACTGCCAGGAGTAAACACCGCCCTCACTGTTAGGTTGGGTAATGTGTGCTCTTGTCTCGGTAATTTATCTCATGTTGATGGAACTACTACTACTATAGCCACACCTTCGCCGCCATTTTATTTCCTTAAAATTAACTAGCCTAATACATAAGTAGCTACCCTAGCTGTGTTGAGTTAGTTGAGCCGCAGATCTATGCGGCATTCAGTGACTGTTGCCTAAAAGTCGATATCTGCGACTGCTGTCGGCTTTGAGGCCGATGCTTTCGTTCCCCCGAGGCAAAGCAATACATACCTAAGGAGAGAGAAGGACAGTCGACATCTCATCCAGGCTGTAACATAACTTCTGGGCTGCTGCTTCCGTTCAGATAACACCTCCGCGGGTCTGGCGTAGAAGCATCTTGCACTTGGTCCCATCCCGCCAGAGGATGTGAACACCAGAGGAGTGAAGCTGCCTTGATCAACGTTCTGAATTCTCTCCCATATGCCCTAATCTTGTCGTTCTCGCTCCTCCTGTGTGCAGCATCGAGAGCTAGGTTGAGGTGACATGCGGCCATACACTGGACATCAGCGTAGTAGACTGGTTCCCTGTTTTTAATAGTTATGGACAACAGGTGTGGACCGACAGAACACAGAGCCTATTCACTTTATTGTAAAGGTCATAATTAGATATTAGGACTCTTATAATGATGAGTTATGACGAAAAAAAAAAGACGATTTTCATCAATGGTACTTTTGGCGAATTTTACCCATAACCGAGATATCGGGAGTTGAAAAAAATAACTGCATTAACCAAATCTCGTGATTTTACGTAGCCTAACCTGACCTAAACCAACCTATTTCATCTCTGAGGCAGCGTTAGGGTGTCTAATTATCAGGTAAAATAAGCTGGGTGCCTAATCTTCAAGTGATCTGTTCAATATTATCCCAGACCTTGACCATAATATATTTAACCATGAAGTAACCAGGTTAAGGTCATGTCAGGTCAGGTTAGGTTAATGTTATGTTAAGATTATACCAGGTTAACGTTATGTTAGGCAAAATGTTATGTTAGGTTAGGTTTATATTGTGATAATATTATGTTAAGTTACCGTTACTTTACGTTAATATTTAATTAATCTTGCCAGGGGTGTGTTGTCAACTAATAGGGATACTGACCCTGGGGGGTTACTTGTCTCGTTAATATATCAGGAATCTTATATACCTTGACATGCATAAAGTATCTTTGTATCCTCAAGGTTTCACTGAAATATTGTATTTTGTTGTATTTTGTAATGTTTCGGTATGTTAAGAGTTGAATAGGTTTCCTTAGTGAGGTTCGATGGTTTGGGAGCTTCATAAGGCTTCGAATATATGTCTCTGAGATAATCTAAAGTTTACACCACAGGGAATAAACAAGAGAGTGCAGAGTGGGTGGGTGGGTGGTGGTGGTGTAGTTTGTGCTGGCCGGTGTGGTGCCCGAGTCCTCCCCCCAGAGCCTTGTCTATGCTGCTGAGGATTGAGTGACTACTGTGTACAACTCAGGGGATGTGCTGGTGTCTGAAGGTGTTGTGTGTGAAGGATTGCTGCCGTGTTGTGGCTGTGGGGGAGGACGCCGTGGCCCCAGAGAGTGGCGGTCATCGGCAGCCAGACCTCAGCAGATGGGTCCAAACTTAAGTATCAGACCATCACCTTTATTAAGTTTTATGAGGAAATTGTTAATGTTTTTCACTATTTGAACTATATTGGGCCATTATTCCGCTAACATCGGCTTACAAGCATAAATCGTAAGCTAGTATTTACTGAATAATTACACAGCAGGTGAGTACAATGACCACAGTAGCTACTGTAGGTAGGAAGGTTAGGTTAGGTCTTTTTGTTACGTTTTTTATCCCACATTTTTCCCAATGCTTCGAAGTCCTGCCCACCTAGGTCAAGGTTAACAGGGTAGGAAGGGTCATTCACCAAACTTTCATTACCAATACTTTATATCATTTTTATTTGATTTCGACATTTCTCAGATAAAACGAGATTTACTGTTTGAAACGACATGAAATAGTTTTATTTCGACTTTAAAGGAAAGTGTCGACATAGTGTATTTGACTCGGCAATTCACCAGTTAGTGACAAATAACCAAACTAATTCAACAAGTGACTATTTCTCCACCTCAAACGACTTCTGTTATTACTTTAGGGTAAAGATTTAGTTTCGGTCATCCCTGCTACCTAGGTAGTAGGTAGTTGGCCGCTACCAAATAGGGAGGTACTACCGCCTGGGAAGATATTGGAAGCATAATGCATTGTCTAATGGTAGACCCTGCTGCCATATGGCACCACAAAAATTGTGACCAAGTCCCAGGTTGCTGAGCTGACTTTCTGCCTCATTTACACATAATTGCAGGGTCTCAAATGTTTCTCTTACTATTGACAACACAACATACATATATTGTCTCTCACTATTGAATTTTTTTTTATTTTTTTTATTTTTTTATGGCTCATTATTATTATTATTATTATTATTATTATTGTTAATTATTATTGTTATTATTATTATTATTATTATTATTATTATTATTATTATTATTATTATTATTATTCATAATTTGTATTAGTATTTATATTTTTATATAATAATTTATTTTAATTAAATTTATTATTATTATTATTATTTCAGTAATATCATTATTATTATTATTATTATTATTATTATTATTATTATTATTATTATTATTATATTTTCGCCCCCAGGCCTTGATGTGGGTCGGTCATTAAAAATGACCTGTGCCCGGGAGGGCTAATGGCCGTAAAAAATAAATTAATAAATAAATAAAATAAAAAACTAGCCCAATGTAACCAAATGTCACCTAACCGATTTTTCGGGTGACCGAAACTATGATGGTGCCTATTTTAGTATAAACTGCTCTTGGATTTAAGGAGGCATAAATTGATCGGAGTGTATATCTGCACCCGATTTCCGCACTGACAACCCGATCCCCTTGATGGCGATAATCGGGTGAAAATAGTTAAACCATTATTTTAACCCGATATGTCAACACTGTTATCGAATATTATAAGAATTTTGCATTGACAAAACTTGGGTGAAGATGACAGTTTCACTATCTCTTAAACAAACCAATAGATAAGGCCAGATAGATTTCTTTGGTTAGGTTGATGAGGTACCAGATATCAATGCAAGTTCTTTCTGCTTAATATTTAACTTCCTAATATCCCCCAGATGGCCGAAACTAAAACTTTACCTCCGGCCTTGGTCAGTTAACAGATTCATCAAAGGATTCAGCTTTAAGTACGCTATAAAATATATTTTAATAAGTTACTCAACAAAAGCAGCTATATACAGTTTCTTTGTTTATGTAATAGAAAACTTAGCACTCGTTGTTCTGGGGTAGCTATTTTAAGTTAGTACTATTTTTTTTCCTCTTACGTAGAACAATTCTGCAAAAAACTATTTCTTTATTTTCTAATAATTATTGATTTTATTAACATATTATTGTTTTATTAGCTTATTATATGTGCAACATATTGTGCAAATGATAAAAACAATGAACAACCCAGCCCACATCGTTCTCAACGGCAAGAAAAAACACCTGTATGGAAAGAAGTCCAGATGGGAAGCAATGTAAAAATAAATCTCAAATGGAAAAGTCATCTGTTCACTGAAGCACATTTCAAATTCCATTTCAGTATTTTAATTAATTTTTTTTATAAAGTCCGGTTGCACCAACACCATTAAGTGATGTGAGGAAAGATTGTGGGGTTATGAGATATTGGTTCACACTCAGGATGGGTTGGAGAAAGGAAACTCACAATGTGCTCTCTGTATACATATTGTATTGGGTGTACAATGCAGCTTTTCGCTGGGAAGGCAGCATGGTTACAAGCGTTGAGTAGAGAGTTGGTTGGTGAGGGTGCTCAGAGGAAGACACGCTGCTTGTAGGGCGGCATAGTCGCCGGCGGGAGTGAGGGAGAAGGTGTTGCTCGCTGGTGGCAGTAGGTAGAAAGAGGGTGGTCACGGCGGGGTGAGGTCTTCGAAGCACTTCACTCTTGAAGATCGTTACGAGGGACGGACCGTCTAGATATCTGAACGGCTTTCTTATAAGACCCAATAATTTATTTGTCTGATTTACCTTCTTCTCGCAATGGCCCGAGAACTTCAGCTCATTGTCAACATACACACCTAGGTCCTTCTTACATTCAGTCTCAAATAGTGCAGTTTCTTCATCCCGTTGGGACATGTGATACGCCTCCTTACCGTTGGTACGCCCCAGGTGCATCCTCTTACACTTCGTGACATTGAATCTCAGCAGCCATTTCTTTGACCATTCTTGGAGCTCACAGAGATCCTTCTGCAGTTCTTCACAGTCCGCTTGGTTCTTGATTTCCAGAAATAACTTGGCGTCATCGGCAAACATTTGTATGGAGGAGTGTACAACGTCAGGCATGTCATTTATGAAACAAACAAACAAACAACAGCGGGCCCAATACACTGCCCTGTGGTACCCCGCTTGTGACAGGTACGGATGATGATTTCGTGCCTTTAATCACAACACTGCTTGCGGTCATGTAGAAAGTCTTCCATCCACGCGAGGACATTTCCCCGAATTCCGTACCCTTCCAGTTTGATTTTCAGCCTTTCGTGGGGCACACTGTCTAAGCCTTGGCAAAATCTAGGTAAATATTGTCGATATTACCACCCCGTTCCAGTTTATACGCAATCAACTTTTATTGTAGTTTTCATCCGTTATGTATTTTTAGTTGTAGCTTTGAAGTGTTTGATAACATTGCTTTTGATGTGGTTAGGTGACTTGTTCCAGTTATTCTTATCATTAGTAGTAATAGCAGAATTATTATCATCTGTAGTATTAGTAGTAGTATTAGCAGTAGTATTATCATCTGTAGTAGTAGTAGTAGCAGAATTATTATCATCTATAGTATTAGTAGTATTATTAGCAGTAGTATTATCATCTGTAGTAGTAGTAGTAGTAGTTTTAATTAATAACTTCTGTTTTTATCATTACTTTTATTGTATTATCCTTATGATCCTTGGCTCAGCTCAGCGTTTTGTTTACCTTTATCATAGAGAGTCGAGGCGGTGGTGGTGGAGGACTGGTGGTGATGCCTTGACAACTTATAACATTACCTCAAGGCTGACATAACACAAGAGGTCACAAGGAAGTTCCGTGATTCAGTTTTATCAAGTAATCAACAAATTGTAGTGAAATGGATCGTAAAGGCCCCCGTGGAACTAAGCCCAAGAACATGCCACTCCCAGGTAACCTCATCACCCTCGGGAACAAGTCTGGGAGAGGTGACGCCCAGAGTGATAAAACCTCCAGTCATGGGTCGTCTTTTGCCCCAAGTAAAACATCTGGTAAGTGGAAAATATCGTACACACTATATGGTAAAAATTATATCAACAGTGATCACTACATTGGATCATTTATGTGAGAGATAATGAACTGATCAAACCTGTATAATTTAATTTAATGTTGATGTCATATATTTAAGGATATTCGTTATTGCTGTCTACTCGTTTGTTATATAAATAGAGGTAATTATATGGGACTAACCAGTGAGCGAAATTTATTTTTAAAAATTATGAAAACACCGGATTTTTACTTTTATATTATAGTGGACACTGTTGTAGTTTGTGTAAATATGTTGAAAACTGGATATTTTAAAAATAAACGTTACTTAACATTTGTGGATATGAAAAATATACCTAACCAACCTTACCTAACAAACCTAACTACCTTATACGGACCCCCCAGTATATTAAACAGAAAGAACTTAATATAATATGGTGAAATTTGAGGCATTTTCTGGATGCAAGATGATACGGCTGCATCGGCGCTATGCACCCTGGGCGGCGGAGTGATTTGCTGTGTTGGCGGGTTCCACAATAAATGATTATCATATCAGAACTCACTAATGAAAATATTGTAAGAAAATAAATAGTAATAAAAATAACTTGCTCATGGGTTAGTCCTATATATTAACCAACTGTTGAAAAAAAAAAAAAATCCCCCAACCGTTGACCAATCACCACGTGGCAAGTAGTAACTGACCAATAGCCGATGTGCATTTTGCTTCCTGTCAAGCTACCCACGCACACCCACAATGCTCCAAGTTCATTTAGTTTAGTACATGTCTATTTTCTCAAGGAAATAAAGGTGTTATTCAAAGAAAACACCAAAATACACCAGAAAAATGTTTTTAGGTCAAAATCGAGTTGTCTGTAATACCAAATAATTACCATATTTTATTTAGGTTAAGAACGGGTAATACTCTGAATCGCTGACTTGGAGGAATTTCAACTTTCCTACTTTTGAGTCGTAAAACTTTAAATATTGGACACCAAAGAAAGAGCCATTTTAGACAAGTTTTCTGTACATCTAAGCTTTTTTCTAATCTCTTGAACAATCAAAACAAGTGGAGGAATTACAACTTTTCTACTTTTGGTTTTATGATGTTTTCATCCTAACATGATTTTCCATCACTGAAGGAGCTTGCTGAGCTCTTGCCCTGACTTCTTTATGAGCCCATCAAGAGACAGACATTTCATCTACATTAACGCTTCTGTTAAATAAATAGTACAGTACCGATACCATAAAACCTTGTTGATTATTTTCAGGAGGCTCTGGCGACAGAGTTCGAGATGGAGGAACTGGGACATCTGGCATGCTAGGGAAGAAGCCCAAGGCAGGATTTGGAGGTGGACCTGGTGTTGTGCGACCTGGTGTATCAAAGCCGACTTCTGTAGACATGGTCAACTTACTCAGTGAGGAATGGGAAACTGGAGCAACAGAGGTATTGATTGAGTCTGTATACTGTACAGCATCTTGATAGATTTACAGTTAGACTTAATAAGAAAGAATAAAGTATTGTAATTAATTTCTTGCTTAGCCCTCTCTGCCTCGAAGCTCATTTCACTGCCATGGAATTGTTTTGTTAATTGTAATGGGGTCTTTTCTAGCATAAAATAGCCTGAAAAATTGTATGAAATCATAAAAAATTTAAAATTCGTAAAATTTAAGCCACTTTTTTTCGAGTAAGTTGAAAAAGTAGGAAAATGATTAGTAACATCTCGAATATCCATTCACATTTTCCTTGTATTATGGTGTTCATTAATAATTACTACTTTATATACCAAAATAAAGAACAAAGCCTGTAGAATATTGTGGTATAAGGAAAAATAATATAACACAAAAACTCCTGGAATAATTAAAGGGCCGAGCGGCGCACCCTCCTCTCGCTCTAAAGGCCAGAGCGACACTGGCTTCATGCTGAGCTGCCATGCACACAATGACCAAGACCGTCTCAGGGAAGGTGATAAGGCCCACACAAAGAAAATGACGTCCGTCAAATGGCGTCCCAAGTTCAAGTAAAGTCAGTTTCACTGAATAGTTTTTTAGTTATTTGAAAATAGCCCATTGGACGCCACGTTGGCATCACGAGGCTGAGAGGGTTAATATCTCTTTATTTGCAAATCCCTGTAATGTAGTGAAAGTTGCTGACTGAGAATGCCCCCCTCGTACTTTTATACTGTATTCTTAGACCACAATTAACACTCCGTTTCCCAGTTTTCTTCAGTTACTGGTATGTTTCTGCTGCACTAGATAAATAAGTGCCTCGTCTCCTGATTTGGCAGAAAATGATATTATGTATTGTATATGGGAGGGCAGTTTTATAGTGTGGCTTAATGTAAACAATGAGCTGTTCTTGCTAACCTTGTTTTGTTTTTGTTTTTTGTATTTATTTACATTCTTGAATTTTCACATGTACTGTTTTATTTCACTTAATATGTACTGAACTAATCGGCTCCTTCAACTATGACTTTTTTTTAGCTTAATTACGCTATGCTATTATGAAAGTCTAATGCAGTAATTTTATTTTTTATTTAAACAGGTGGACCCCAATGATCTTATTCCTTTCATAGAGGCTGGGGAAGAATATGGAGACAGTACTGAGATGTATTTATGTGGTGCTGTCAAGAGTCTTCGCTCTCAGAGAACAAAGCCAGACAACTTGCTGTGTTTCTCTCTAATGTATCTGGTTAAAGTTAAACCTCATCTGTTCAGTAGATCAAAAATGGTGGTGGAAGCTTTCTGTTCCCTCTTAAAAAGAGATCATTCAATGACCTATAAGTCAAAGGGAAATGCAGCTGTGTCTGTATTAGCGGCAAACATTCTTCTGGCGGCCTTCCAAGAAGAAAAATCGTGGCCTCAAATATTTGTACGCGTTTACATGGAAGATTCTCTCGGAGAGCGCGTGTGGGTTGACCACGAGGACTGTAAAGGCTTTGTGGATAACATTGCCACAGCCTTTAGGACAAAGTTGCCCCCAAAAAGCCTTCTTTATCCTGACCTTGGAATGGGGAGTCGACAAGACTGTCCTTCACCCCCGGTGTCTGGAGGCTCAGGTGGGGCAGACTCTGGTGATGGTGACTCAGAGTTGTCTCTCGAGTGTAAAGAGAGTCTAGATGTTAGTGTTACTAACAGATATGCAGAGTCAATGCAAGACATAGAAGAAATGGTGATGGAAGCTGTACAACACCAGCTTGGGGTGAGACACCAGAGCCCTGATGCTGTAGCCCGTAATTTCATCCGTTTTCTGTCATCTGTTTGTGGCATTCTGGAAGTGCGAAGGCACGTTGCTCCAAGACTAGAGATGTGGCTGCAGAGTCCAAAATTGCAAAGACCAGCCACAGAGCTTCTCATGTCATTATGTCTGAACTGCAACACTCACTCACAGTTAGATGTGGAGTGCATCAGCCACATAATACGTATCCGCTTAAAACACAAACCTCTCATCAACCAATACATGTCGTGCCTGAAGGAACTTCTTGCTGCCCATGCTGACAACATTCCCTCAGTCATGAAACATACATTGTATAATGAACTATCTCAAGCCAGAAACCCAAGCAATATGTCAATCCTGTCTGTAATTTTTCAGTTTGCACCAGAACATGCTGCTATTATACTGGCAGAGGAGTTCCAGGAGCTTCTATGTAACAGAGAAGATTTTCTTAGAGCTCTCAGAGCTCTCTTGCGAGAGATTGTACGTGCTTTGCGGCATGACATGCAGTTTCAAAAGTTTTGTCAAGGACTCATGAAAGATCGTAAGGATCCATCATTCAGAGAGAGTTTTGAATTTAAAGAGAGAATGTTTCACAGTATCACAGACCTTATAGTGCTAACTGTTTTTGTAGCCATATCTCCACAGGTCAGAGAAAGTGCTGCTCAGATGTACCGCGGCGAACACAGAGATCCTGAATCGGTGAGACGATATCAGGAAATGGTGGCTTCCATACAGAGAGATGCAATTCACTGGCTTTACAGAGTGGTTCCAAAGTGTTACAACCCAAGCAAGGAAGAGTTTAACCGCAGCCTTCATAAAATTCTTATGTTTGAGCAGGCAGAAGTATACTTCATAAAGGACAACTGGCCCACAGAAAATGACAGACCACTCTACTTCAGATTAACCTCAGAAATTCCTGTGAAACAAGAAACTGTGACACGAATGCTTATGATAGCTGTAATGAAGGACCAGTGGATGAAGTCTCAAGATTTGTTAGAATCAGTTGATAAGCTTATTAAGAGAGCCACAGCTCTTCATAATGATGATATGGAAGTGTTACACCTCGACGACATAAAGATTGTAGAACTGATATTCAACCTTTGTCCTTACATACCTCCAGAAAATTCTCCTCTGCCTCAAGGGTACCGGCCTCCGAAGACTGCCATTGCTAATTTGTATTGGAAGTCATGGATAATGTTGCTGCTCATAACAGCACATAATCCTTCTGTATTTGGGCTCTTGGCGTGGGAGTCTTACCCAACTCTGCGTACACTCATGGAAATGTGTATCACAAATTCTTTTGTGTTCCCGCCACCTACTTTAGCATCTGGAGAGAAAGGTGAGGAGATGACTACTCAGGAAATACATCTCTTTGCTATTGAACGTCAGCACATCTTGGATTTTGAATCTCATTTAGCTCAGAAGACCATTACAGAACAAAACAGCCTTCTTCTTAGTCAGCTGATAACCATGGACCCGACCGGACCAGCTCGTAAACCTCCTGTTATTGTGTTAGAGCAACTGAAGTCTCTTAATACTTCCCACAAAATTGGTCATCTGCTCTGTCGCAGTAGAAGTCCTGACTTCTTGGTAGACATAATTCAGCGTCAAGGAGCTTCTCAGAGCATGCCGTGGTTGGCAGAACTGGTACAGAGCAGTGAAGGTGCCTTTTCTGTTCTACCAGTTCAGTGTTTATGTGAGTTTCTCTTAAGTGAAGCTGGTACAGGTAGTGGTGGAGGAGAAGGTGCAACGAGACATCATCAACTGCTGCAGCACTTGCGTTCTCTGCTGCGTGCACCCCGTCAAGAAGATGGCGTCAGTGTTGAAATTTTAGAATATTTTTTGAGGCGCTTAAGTTCACAACAAGCTTTGGCCCGCACACAAGCTGTACGTGGACTGCAGTTAGTGGTTGCACCTATCAATGACCCAATGGAGATAGATGGTGACTCTCATACACCACATGCTTGGCTGCTCCAACATCTTCCCAACCTACCAGGGTTTGATCTGGTTCAAGGAGTTGCCAGTCAAGCTCTTCGTGCCGCTTGCCAGATTGAAACTGACCCCCATGCTGTTAGTGCTTATATTCGATTTTTGGCTGTACACACTAGAGATGACCCACTTCAAGATCAGGCAGAATTAGTGCAAGACATGGCACAACTGATTGTGGAGAGATGCACCATGATTTCTGCTATATTACCAATGCCAGACCGTCCAAATCAACCATTTGCTAATGCCCACAGCACCCTCAAAGCCTTACTGATCATTTTCATAAACTACATGCGAGGAGTCAGGTTGCCACCGCGAGAATCCTTCACATGGTCAGAGAGTCAGGATCAGGTGCGTGTACAGTGGGCATCAGGTGAACAGGCAGTCATGCATATACTTGTGGTTCATGCTATGGTGATTCTCCTGACTCATGGTCCAGACAACAGTCCTGATCTCTTTCATGAATTACTAACTACTTGGTTCCCAGAGCAAGAGGAAATGCCACAGGCCTTTCTGGTAGACACCTCAGAGGAAGCTCTCCTCCTTCCAGATTGGCTCAAACTGAAAATGATAAGATCCACCGTCCCTCAGCTCGTTGATGCTGCTTTAAAGGTACAGTATTTTCTTGTTATTGTGTCTTATATTTAACTTGAATGATACATAATTTGTTTTAAACATTTATCAGTAACATTTAAAATTGTGAAGTGTTTTCCATTAATTTATGATAATACTGCTGTTTTTCTCAGTCATGCCAAGAATAGATATATTAAACTAGAAGTGAGAAATATGATGTGCTTGAGAACAATTTGTGGAGTGTGATGACAGGATATAGAAAATTAAAAATACCTGTATACTACTGAAATATCAAGGTGTGGAAGTGTCAGTCAGAATTGAAAGAGGTTTGGTAAGATGGACTTACTGAGATGATGGGAAGCAAAGGAATGGTAAAAAAGGTATGATTGAAAGGTGATTAGTAGGAGGCAGTGAGGAAGACCTAGTAAGAGATAGAACGAAGAACATGTAGACATGCGGAGGTTGACGGGTTTTGAAGACATCGGAAAGGATCTTGGGGGATTGTTTTTAAACCAACCGTATTTAGGTACAATAGATATATAATGAACAGTGCATAATATTTTTGCATCCTTGAATTCAACACAATATTACTGAAGAACAGTATTAATGGTTTATGTGGGTTTTATGCATGCGAGTTGTGTAAATGTTGTGGAAGGCAACATAATTCTGTACTGTAATAGGACACTTGTGTTACAGCGATAGAGTGAATGAAGAGTGTGTTCGTTCTTGATTCTGGCTGCACTACAGTATACAGCACCATGCTAGATGAGTGGAAAACATAAAATGAAACTGACTCGGTTTGTAATATTAAAATTCCTGGGTCATTGTCCTTCCACTATTTTAATAAGAATCATCTCTTCCAGGATTTGGAGCCATCTCAGTTGGTACTGTTCATACAGTCCTTTGGGATACCTGTGGCAAGCATGACCAAGTTGTTGTGTGCTCTAGATGTTGCTGTTAAAACAAATGATGAAGCTGTGGCTGCTGCAGTGTTAGACAAGAGCCATAAAACATACATGGCTCAGTTAGTTGAGGTAATAATGATGAAGTTTTGCAGATAAATTATTCATAGTTATTTAAAGCATCAGATGAAAAATGAAAGTCATACAGTATACAGTATATTGATGTATATTCCGAATTTTATAATGGTGTTGATGTGCGGTCTTGTTTTAGGTTCAACACCAGCGAGGAGCAAAGGGAGGTCATGCCTTTGCTGCGACACTTGGCGAACGTGATGATATGGATGTAGTAGGAGAGCGACCTCCCCATATTCTCCCACTGGTGACTCCTCTCAAGGTGAGATCCAGGTTTTGCAGTTTGTTCTGATTATATGTGACATGAAAAGTAACAGTGTAATTTGCACTCAGTTTAATGTGTTTTATTAATCTACGTATATGTTTAGGGAAACTGCATTATGTTTTTTTTTTCAAAGTAAAGTTGCATTAGGTTGTAGTGAGTTAGTTTTGAGTAATATGAGCTCAGGTATTGATATGCAGATTGAAACATTAAAATTTTTATAGGTGTCACAGCCACTGCATACAGAATTAAGCAAGAGTGAAGTGCAGTCTTTTGTGCTACAGTGTTTCACCATTGAAGTTCTTCACCGAGAGCACAAGAAACAGGCAAGTTGATGGTACAGTATATTTATTGTTCAGACATGCTGCAATAAAAAGAAACCTATAAATAACTGATATGTTCTTGCACATGAAGAATGAGTCTCATTTATACTATTAATTGATAAGTATTTTAGATGTACTCCACGTCTGTGTGTAGCAATCCGATATTAACAAAGGTGACTAAGAATTGTTCATTGGTCGTTTAGGTACGTGACTCGGTACAGACCATTTTTGCAGAATATGAGGCAGTTAGGCCATCATCCAGTTATGTCTACAGACATAACTTCACCTACACATTCATTGTCTCAAGTTTTGATTTCAAAGCACTTACTAGCTGATTGTTTTATAAAGGAAACATGATTGAATAAATAAAAGTAATATGTTGCAGTTTGTGTGATTTGAAAATTGTACATCAAGAGACTGACTAACTTTATTTACTGTCAACACTATACTGTACTGCACTGCATACAACACTGCTTGAATACACCCAGTGCACGATCATGACATCTATGTTGGAAAAATAACAATGTAACAACTAAACCTTTTTTGTAACTAATACAGTGACTCAGGTGACTCATGTGCTGTACTGTATAAATCACTGTTAGTCTTAATTGGGATTTTAGAGTTGAATACTGTACTTGGATTTCTGTACTCTACGGTACAGTATAGCTTACTTTAATTTCTCCCTTTCAGGTCCAAGATACAATGCGTGTATTGCAGCGCCATTTTAGCAGGGAAATTAGTAGACAGGACCCAGAAGGTCCTTACATAAATGAATTCCTCAGTAGTCTCAATGCCATCATGCACTCACCGGTATGTCCTTTTTCCTTTTCTTTTTTTAAGTGCAATATGATATTTGAGGTTATTTTTGTGACATGTAATTATGTAATTAGATAAGCTGAGAAGTAATCCCAAGAATCTGACTGTCTTAGTAATTTATTGATTTTGTGTGAAATTTAATAAAGCTTAACATACACTTAATAATAAAGACAATGTTATATATATTTCAGCAACATGCTCCAACTTTTGTGGCTGGGCTACATGACCACTACGTCCACTCAGCATCACTGTTCCGTTTGCTGAAGAGCTTGGACAATAAGAAAGGATGTGAAAACCTGTATGGCCGCACATGCCAGCTGGTTGCCATTATCCTGAGAATGGCACCTAATAGGAAGTCTCCCTTGACACATGTTCTTCAGGCATTCAATATTGAAGAAATCCAATGTCAAGAAGTAAAGAAAATAGAACCTGAAGTGGAAGTAGATGTATCCTCAACTCAAGCAGTCTTGGTTCATCTGGCCAACACAAAGCCTAATCAGTTAGAAAAGGAGATATGTCATGTTGTGGGATGTGCCATGAAGGGTGGCAAGATGGCACCTGCAGTTGGTGCTCTGTCACAACTCTTATTGTCCAGTATCTCAGTGAAGCACGATCAAGAGGCTGCAGCTGGGACCAGTCCACCAACTGCTCTCTTGTTAGACTGGTTACAAGTGTTGGATCCAGAGTTAGAGAAGGGCTCTGATCAGCTACAGCAAATTTTACTTTTCAAAAAGCGCGGTATTGAACGAAAGGAGGGAGGTTATAGCCAGGCATATCTTTTGGCAGCTTTCACACACCAGGCACGATGGGATACACTAGAACACTGTGTTCGTGCACTTCTGCGTGTTCACTGCCCAACTTTAGATTCTGCAGCGGTTTTAGGATTTGTTTGGGCTGTGTTGCATGTGCCCAAGTTATGGCAAGGTAGGGAACGTCGTACACCTCGCCATGCACCCCGAGAAACATTGTTAAATTTCAGTGTCTCGGAAGTTGTCCACATATCTCAGTACATGATTGCAGAGTGCCAAGCAGCCTTAGAAGCTGGACGTGGTACAGTAACTTTAGAAACACATTTACCTTTGCTACTTCACTCTTTGGATGATTCACCTGTCTCAATTCAAGCCTTGGCTGAGCATCTAGCTAAGATTTCTCATGAATCAGGTTCAATGGGCCAAGCAGCTGGACACCTGTTGTACCACCTGTACTTAAGGATGCCAAGAATAATTTCATACTTGACACCAGGTACCATTAACAGGGTTGTATCAGCTGGTGCATGCGGAGGCACAGCTCAGGAAAGTGGGGCAGATGTTGCATTACACACGCTCCTTACTATGCTAGCTGCACCTGAGCCAGACAGAAATTTTCGCCGGCGTATGTGTGATTTGGAGTCTGCAGTTCGAAAACAAGCTGCATCTCATCCTCTGATTGTATTACGCCATCTTCCTTTGCTAGCTGCTTCTCTGAAAGGCACAAACCATCTTCAGCTGACAGCATTACGGGCAAGGAATTACTTGGAGTTATTTTCAATGATATTGGGAGTGCTGGAGCTCCTTCAACCACTTCTGTTTGCCCCTCAGCACCATAAAGCATTAACTCCCACTTTAGACAGTTTTATGGCTTTGTTTAAGGCTCATCCTAGAACTCATGAGTTGGGCCATTTATTGGTTAGATTTTCTCATCTCTTAATGGAGTGGGTTGGGTGTCAGGGTGGCCCAGCTGGAACTTACCTTTGCTCTCACTCAAACTTACTCGCCACCCTGCAGATGCATCACCCTGATATTGCTGCTGTTCGTTCCTTGGCTGCCATTGCTGCAGCTCGTGGTATGGATCAACCTAAAGAGTCGGCTTCAAATCAGCAGTTTGGTTCTGATCCCAGTTTGCCGGTTGGGGGTTCTCATGGCCCATTGCCACCACCATGGATAATGGCACAGGTTGGGGAACTGCAAGCTAGACTTGAAGCTTCAGGATTGCCTGAGGATCAGTTAGACATCCTTAGGAAAGTCATTGACCTTCCAGACCGTTGGGTTAATGCTGCCTTACCATCTTTCACCCACACATTTTGTGAAGGTATTGTCAGTGAACACCGAGAGGTTCGTTGTCTCTGCTGGGAATTAGTCTCTCGTTTACTACATCAACGTCCTGCTTTAGGTGGTCGTGTTGGCCAGGCTGTATTTTCTGCCCTCAGGAGTGAAGACAGTGCTGTTGTAGAAACTGCCTTAGAACACCTTCCTGAAGTTATTTTACTTTTGCATAACCAAGCTGCTGATTTGTTGACTGCAGCATTTGTTTCTACTTTAACAGCTTCTTCCAATGCTACTGGTTCACTTAGTGAAGCTCTCACTTTACTACATCTCCACACAGGGGCATAATTATATTTCCTTAATTCATGTAATAAAATTTTTTATTCAAAGAGGCTATTAATTGCTCATACCATTCATGCTTTTAAGTTGTAAAGTACTTATCTGCTCCTGCTAATGTCAGAAACTAGAGCAACTTTAAAATAAAATGCTAGAATTGTGTGGATGACCAAGAAACAAGTTAAAACAGTTACTTGTCCTGTGAGAGTAGTTATGAGAAAGTAATATGAAGAGGTGTAAGTGCATCATGGTATGATAAAACATGCATGTAAATCTTAAGATAATAAAAATCAGAGGATGATTATATTTCACTTGTTACTTTAATATTAGTATCCTGGGAGAGTATGTATCAGGTGTTGTAACACTTCAGTGGTAGCTTTTCCCAGATCTTTAAATGGTCACCTTCAGCCTAGAAGAAAGACTACTATTGTCTAGATTGAGCTCTTTCCTCTTCATAACACACCACAAATTCTCCGTCAGATTTAGAACGGGTAATCTTCTTTGCCATTCCTTGAAATAATCACTGGAACACTAAGTCTTTTATCACTTTATTAGTGTGTTGTCCCCCACTGTCCTGCATGTAAAAAAATCTGAATTTGTTAAATCACTTCTCCAGATTCTCACATGTGAAGTGTACTCCATTTTTTCATGGTTTTTTCTTTCTCCAAAAATATTTTAAGCCACCCACACCATAATATGAGACACTCCTCACACCTTTACTGAGCTGGAATGCTTAATGTCCTTCAATATATCCTGTTGAGCAGAATAGTCTGATCCAGAAGGTCAACACACTCCCAGCCTTTGTTCGTCACTTAACAAAGATTTAGCATTTCACTATACAGTACGTACTGTACAGTACTGCTTTCCATTGTTTCAAGTGCCAGGCGTTATCCACAAACAAGCCTTTTGTCTTCTTAGCTGTATTGGAAAGATTGAAACAAAGAACAAGATATTTTGGAAAAATATGTTCTCAAATATAACTAGCTGAAAAGTGTGATATTGAATACTCAAGGGAATGTGGTAACTACAGGTGTTTGAAGCTGTTAGATCAGGTTAGGAAAGTATTAGAGTAATCAAGAAAATAATAAGAGTGAACTTAAACCTCTTGGTGGCCTTCGACACAGGTTGTTTTACTAAGCCTAACAGCTGCCAGACCTCGGCAGTGGCTCAAAAGTTTTCAAGGTGGGCACAGGAAGTGAGAGAGGGTCAGAAGCACTGACTGAGCCAAAGGCCCAGGGTGGATTTTTAAATTATCACCGAGACGCAATTCTTCAATGCTTGTCTCCAAAATAAGAAATAGTTGTGCATATCTTTGACCCGACAAACCCCTCAAATAAAAAACAACCAAAAGTCTCGCTTTCCAACTAAGCATATTTCTCACTAATTGGGGAAGACCCCAGATTTGGGAACCCTGGTGCGTTAATATTCGTCCATTGGCTGTACGCAGGTTCCCGCCATGTTTACCTGAGGTTATACTCCTCGCTTAAGTCAGTTGTCTCTTCCTTTCCTCCTCCTTGTAGGTTAGGTTAGGTAGGTTGGTTGGTTCCTTTGGTATGAGAACAGTTTTTGTTTTTAATTTTGGTCAAATTTGACCTCCATTTTTGTGCAAATTAGCATTTTAAGTTTTAACTTGCCGATCAGTGGTGAAGAGGATAAAAGAAAAAAGTAAAAGTAATGTCAGATTTGAGTACAACACACCGAAAAACGTAAAAAAAGAAAAAACTATTCACATATCAAAACCTTAAAACATCCACTGGACGAATATTTACCCATTGGTGTGCAGTAAAGTAGAATAATTGTTATATCGTTCAACCACAATAAAAAGTAAAAGTAGAAAAGTCTCCCCGTAAAATACTTTCATTTTCTTTAATTACATCAAAGAAAACGAACGTAAATACTGTGATGAATGAGTTTAAATGACTTTGAATGAGTTTAAAGTTGTTACCGTAGTATTAAACAGACCAACTGAGTATCACTTTAATTAAATGGCTTACAATAACAATAACAATTAACAACAACAATAACAATTAACAACAACAATAATAGTAATATAGGTCGTTTGCGCGGGAAATTTCATAGAAGTAGTGTCGTAGAATTGTTTGATATATTGATTGCAAAGAAAATTCTCGAGATTCAGTTGGTGGTAATGATAATAATAATAATAATAATAATAATAATAATAATAATAATAATATCTATGCATAGGATAATTACCATGTCGCTAATTCTGGACAGAGTTATATTAAAGAAATTAACCTTAGACGTAGAAATTTTAATAACAAAAAGTTCACATAATGGATCTTTAGTCAGATTTTGAGAAAAAAATACGTTATAGAATATTCGCAAAAAATCATAAGAATAATTGGATTTCAGGATTATTAGGAATACTAACCTAGTATATTGATTAGGTTAGGTTAGATTAGGATATGTTAGGTGAGGATAGATTAGGATAGGTTAGCTTAGGTAGTTAAGGTTAGGATAGATTAGGATATGTTAGATGGGTTTGGTTAGATTAGGATAAGTTAGGTTTGTTTGCAATAAATTAAGTAATATTTGGTTAGGTTAAGATAAGTTAGATTAGATTAGGATGATACTAACACACAAAATCCCTATAAGTCTTGGAAGATAACTCATTGCCACTGTCTTCATTCAAGAGCCGGTGCATACCCAGTACTTGCCAACAGTGCATAACAGAGACGTGACCGATCGCCCTAGCGGCTAACGAGCTGATCATTTGGTGAAGAGGATGAAAGAAAGAGAAAAGTAACAGAGACGTGACCGATCGCCTAAAGATATAGTTTGTTCCTGGCAGAGGAGTGTGAAGGACCGTGGACGCATCTTCCCGCGCAGGAACCACCTTGAGTCGCCAAAACAAGAAGTTCTAAGACAGCTGGGCGGAGTCGTCTTCTGGTCGTCTTGGTAACTATACAAGTCTCTTGTCTTAGTCTGTGTTGCTTAATTTTATAAGTTCTTAAACCCCGGAGAGGCAGATTCATATACCGTAGTCACTCTTATACGGAACACCACACACACACACACACAGTTTATACAATAGGTATGTGTTAATATATATTAGAAACACTATAACTGTACAGTACAGCTTGGCGTCGCTCTTCCCAGCCAGTGTCCCATAAGGTGACTGGTGACTCTCCAGTGTGGTGACGTACTCCAGCGGCGCTTTAAGGATCTTGCCGAGAACAACATATCCTGTACACTCACTTGAGAATAAAATACTATCAGTGTGTTTAGGAAAAATACTTTATTGGTAATTTATGTAAGAGTTTGAAAGTTGCAGTTGGTTTATATAATAAGAAAGTTCCATATTGTTTATATACGCGAAAAAGTTAGAACTAATTAAGTGAATAAAGCAAGTTTTTTGTTTGTATATTTAAGAATTAAATTACATTGTGGTTTATTAAAGATATCAAATGTATGTAAAACAAAGCTCAAATTGGATTATGTAAAAGATGAAATCGATGCCAAAAAGAAATTTATATAGGTGATGAAGCAAATCTCTTGATATTAATGAGGATTGTGACAAAACTTTTCATGTGTATTAGAAAGTTTTATATAAGAAGTTTTCCTTAGTTTAATTAGGAGAGTGAAAATATTTCCACTCCATTTTATTTTATTTCACCCTATTGAAACCATCATCTCTCCCTTCACACCCATTATAACCCTATTATATTCACCTTCACCTCCAATGCTATTCCATTTACTTACCCTGTTATTATCTGCCTCTTTCACTCCATTACCCTACGTCAATACCCCTATTAACCCTCCCTATTAACGGCAGTGTCTCCACATTTCACCTTGGCCCCATTAATGACTGACAGACGACAGCAACCGCATCAAGTTGTGGATATTATTGACATGACATTTGACTAACTTAAACAAATGACGATCGGTCAGCTGGTCTCTTTTACCTTAGGTAAAACCCTTTTTACGGTATATTGGAGAAATAGTACGCGCACACACACACACACACACACACACACACGAGGTCTGACAAAAAAAAACGAGATTGATGCTGTAACTCTTTTCATTTACCAAATTAAGACCAAATTAAGTAACATGAGTGCAGAGGTCTTATTGCAACTATATCTTGCGCTAGTCAGGCCGCACCTCGATTATGCGGTTCAGTTCTGGTGCCCCTATTATAGAATGGATATAAATTCACTAGAGTCGGTGCAGCGAAGAATGACAAAAATGATTCCGGGACTTAGAAACCTTCCATATCAGGATAGGTTAAAGAAACTTAACTTGCATTCCCTAGAAAGACGAAGAGTGCGGGGAGATATGATAGAAGTATTTAAGTGGGTGAAAGGAATCAATAAAGGGGATATAGATAAAGTTCTTATAATATCCGAGCAGGATAGGACTCGGAGCAACGGATTCAAGTTGTATAAGTTTAGGTTTAGGAGAGAGATAGGAAGAAACTGGTTCACAAATAGGGTGGTGGACGAGTGGAACAAGCTTAGCAACTTTGTAGTAAGTGCGGGAACTCTGGAAAGTTTCAAAAGGAGGCTAGATAGATTCATGGATGATAGAGAGTGGTAGTAACTCTCGACAGGAGCTGCCTTGCACAGGCCAACCGGCCTATTGCAGACTCCTTATTTTCTTATGTTCTTATGACACCTGCTGTCCCCTTGGGACTTGATCTCACTCTCCTCTACTGTATATATAATATATACAGTAGGCTAATATATAATATATTAGCCTTGTCAAATATTACTACTCCTTAGTCTGTACTCTGTACTCATCCCAGAAGATGTGAATTACATGAAAGCGTTTGGGAACTTCGTGTTTTCTTGTTTCCTTGTGGTTATCAGCATATACTTGGATCACGCGCACCTAAAGTGATTTACTTGCACACACACACACACACACACACACACACACACACACACACACACACACACACATATATTTTATATTTTCAGCCTTCTGGCTGCCAAGCTCTTTCAATAAACCGTTAATTATTATTATTATTATTATTATATATATATATATATATATATATATATATATATATATATATATATATATATATATATATATATATATATATATATATATGATAACCAGCATATACCTAGATCACGCGCACCTACAGTGATTTACTTGCATATATATATATATATATATATATATATATATATATATATATATATATATATATATATATATATATATATATATATATATATATATATATATATATATATATATATATATATATATATGACTCATCACTTTTTCATTGTTTCAAATTCATTCATTCATTCATTGTATGCGTTATACAGTCACTCATATCTGTCTTACAATCCTTATGTACAGTACAGTTCATTATACAGTCACTTACAGTATATGTGTCATACAGTCACATATATGTGTCTCAAATTCACCATTATATTCCATCTTGCAGGTTCCCACTTCTTCAAATATTACATTTCAAAATGAAGTGACGTTTTAGTCGACCCAAAAAACTTGTGTTTGAAAGTGACAGAAGACAAAAGGTTACGTCAATCATCTGTCTAGCTTTGTTTAACTTGTGACTCGAGTGACCGACGCCAGAATATGTTGTGGCGAGTCTTAAGCATTCAGTGTTCCTTCCGGCTATACGAAAAATGATCGGGGTTATACAGTGGCGCATTTAACTTATTCCAGTTGATACAGGAGTAATCTCTAATATATAATCATACACCATTAAAAAAAACAATATTGTTTAATCCTTGGGTGATCAGTAATGAAGGGCAAGCATTGAGCTGTAAAATGCTTTTAGGTAGTTTTTTTTAGTTTATCAAATTTATTGACAAAGCTTGGAGTACAGTTTGCCTATTCTGAGAAATTCAGTCAGGTCTTGACACTGAGGGTGGTATCACTTCTCACTGCCACGCAGGACAGAGGTTCATACACAAAGGAATAGATCATATTTATTAACAGTATATATAGGTCAAATTCATGTGGGTTGATGTCACTGCTCACTGCCATGCAGGACAGAGGTTCGTACACAAAGAAATACATCATATTCATTAGCAGTATATTTAGGTCAGAGTCATGTGGATGATGTCACTGTTCACTGCCATGCAGGACAGTGGTTCATATACATTGGACGTCATATTCTAATTGAAGACTAATCAGTGTGGGCTAGTAAATTTTGGATAAACAGCAAGAATGTCCTCAAGCACCCCTGATTCAATGTAGTAATTACAAAGTTCATGATACAATAAGCCAGGTGGCCTGAAGTCTTTGACAGTGTCACATTCAATAATATAGAGTTCAAGTGTATGCTTTAAAGGTTTATCACAAAGTTTACATGCTGAGTGTTCCGGTATGGGTACAGCGTTACTAACTTGCCAGATGTGTCTGTATCCTAGCCTAATACTGGCCACAACTACTGTATATCACATTGTCTAGTTCTGCCCTTATGCTGGCCATACCGGTACCTCTTGTCACAAAAAAAATCATGTTTACTAATGCTACTACTAATGCCTTTAGGCAGATCAGAAAACATACATAAAATATACATTTTCAACGTTGCTTTAATCCTTTGAGGACGACGTTTTAACCTATTAAGGACGATGATACGATGATATAAACTATCCATTGTCCTCAAAGGGTTTAGCTATCGTCCTCAAAGGGTCAAACCACCATCCATTTTAAACCATCGTCCTTAAAGCTTTATTACACATCCTCTCTAGCGAGGAGGTAAACATCAGATGGCTCTCAAACGCCCAGACAGGAGCGTAATTAACAGAGTGCAGGGAGGCCAGATGCTCCCGGACCTCCCTTGTCTGGTGGCCTCTTATTAGGGTGATACGCTACTGCACCTACAATATACTAAACAAGGGCACACACACACACACACACACTCTCTCTCTCTCTCTCTCTCTCTCTCTCTCTCTCTCTCTCTCTCATAGGATCTTTAAAGCTATAAATAATTTTTCACCAGATGATGTCACCAAGCGTGGGATTTGTCCTGTTGATGGCTTCTGTTGTTGGAAGCCTTGCTGTTGTACCGTTGTCTGTACCTTCAGGTGAGTCAACCTTCCTGTTGTACCGTTGTGATGGCGAGAGACAAGCGCATAGATGTAAAATTGATGTAAAATTATGGCTTATCACATATTTCCATTGTATGGAATTAAATTTAGCCAGCAGTCGTGAGAGTTGGTGCTTACGAACCAAACAACGATTTTAGTTGCAAGACTTTTTTTTAATACAACAAATGCCGTTTCAATCTTTTTGTTAACCCATTTCACTCCCCGCCATTACAATAATTTATTTCAAACGAAGACACAATTTGTTTCTCTGTGATCATAGAGCCGCCTCACACCTTGGCTATACCGAAAGCTGGTGAATAAACTATATTTATGGTTCTTTTATCGTACAATATATACTCTCTAATACACACTGTTGATGTGACCTTATAGCACGATTACATATACATTTGATCAGGCAGGAGTACCAACCCATATTCAGTACTGGCCCGAGGTGAATAAGCCCCCCCCCCTCGCCTCCCCATAGTTGCTGTCTAACCCATAGGTGAAACTTCTTATCGTGGAGTGACCATAAGAAGTTAATTTCAGGTGTCTGGTTTACGGGGTGTGTGTTGTTTACTGGATACTAATTGCAGGTGAGGTGGAGGCGCTGAGGCAGGTGTTAGAGGCCTCCTCACAACCCCAGTGTTCCCTCATTATCCTCACAGACGGGACCACCTCACACCTCACCCACCACCAGGTGAGTTACCCCCCACCAATGGCGTCAGACCAGCGATATAATATTTGTGTTGGTCTGTTATTTGCTACGACGTCCATTGCCCAAGTTAGTGGACCTGTAAATCATAACTGAGAAGTATTGTATCATGTGTGTTTTAAACAGCAGTGACCCATAGTAGGGAGGGAATGTGTTTGTTAACTGTACACTAAATAATTATTACTTATTCAAGTGTGCTTCTAACCGCCTTTAACTACAGTTGGGATATATATAGTCAGAGGGACGTCTACTAACACCGGGTTGACCTACAGCTGATGACGGAGATGGGGAGGAGTGCGGGCGTTGTGGTGTTAGAGGTGGACAGTGAACAGGACCACAACACCACTAAAATGATGCTGTCCCACGCCCTCACCCAGGCTCGCACGGTAAGGCTCTCTCTCCACACGATGGCAGGTGTCACTGGTATACTAGGGTTGGTATCCCAGCAGGTGTCACTGGTATACAAGGGTTGGTATCCCAGCAGGTGTCACTGGTATACAAGGGTTGGTATCCCACCAGGTGTCACTGGTATACAAGGGTTGGTATCCCGTCAGATGCGGGTGTTGTCATGGTGTGTGACAGTGGTGGTGGTGAGCGACTCCCCCTCCTTCCTGGCCACCTTTGCCGCGTCATCAGACAGTGGCCGCCTGCTGGTGTGGACGACGAAGATGCTGGTGGTGACCAGAGTGCCTCTCCCTGAGCTGCGTCACCTCCTTCACCACTACTGGGTGTTCTCCATGATGAACACCATGTTCCTCACCCTAGCTGATGCCTCACATGACCGAAGGTGGGTGAGAGAGGACGAATTTATCTTTATATTAGGGGCAACTCCCAAGTAAGTGGAGGGGAAGAAGCTAAAAATACTGAGAGCACTTATTACGTGGACTAATTTCTGGGATTCATGTTAGAGTAAGCTCAGTTAGATGCTAAAAGTTTCCAAAGAAATTAACTCGTTCACAATGTTCACTTCCTACCAAGTAAGAATATTTGACTCTTACTTTCTCTCTGAATATGAAAGAGAAGGCTTGACGTCCACGAGTGTTCCCTGCCTGTTGTATCACTTGACGATGTTCTCCATGTGTTAGGTTAAGTTCTTTACGGGTGCAGGGTGCTGGAGGTCGGCAAGCTGGGCTACACTACAGCACCACAACAAGACGTAAATTTAAGCCTTTCCTCTTCTTCTGTCTCCACCAGATGTGAGGTGCACGTGTACCTCCCCTATAGTACAGGTGGGCCCCAGGTGGTGGGTGTGGCTTCCTGGACCCCTGGCCGTGGTCTCAGTCTCAACACACACTGCACACTCTTCCCAGACAAGTATAAAAAGTGAGTGTTGGCGTCAGCTGGAAGCAACACCAACAATATATGATGATTGGAAAGTTTATAACCATTTTATTATTGATAAATGACGGTCGTGAATATCAGGTTTTATCGGGAATATCCTTACGACTGTCACTTGTTAGATCACTACCCAGTTGACCAGTTCTCTTGTGCCTTTTAGAAGGTTATCGGCGTGTACAGCTCTTATCTCTATACCCAAATCATGCAAATGTTAATCTAACTTGGGCTTTGTCACAATTTTTTTTCCTTGATTCAAATAAAGTATTAAAGACAACGTTATTACGGGCGAGTCGCGATAACATATTTTATGGGCGATTGAGCGCAATATGAGTAAGTGTAAGTGTTAATAGAATACAGATGCTACTGTAGTATAAGTAAGGTAATTGTAAGTGTTTTCGTCTGTGTTGGTAGCTTTTTTAACTCCTTGAGTACGATGACTTAATAAATAAATTTAACATTGCTTAGATATTATAAAATGGACTGTTTGCATTGACTGTATGTGTTATAACTAACTTGAGTTATGTTGGCCAGCTTACACGGCGCCAATCTTAACATGACGGTGTTCCCCTTCTCGCCGTACTGGATGGAGGTGGAGCAGCAAGGCCCGGAAGGTGTCACAACCTCTCGACGGACCGGCCGAGACTACCTCATCCTGGAGACCATCGCTGGCGCCCTCAACTTCTCCATCAACGTCCTTCCTTATGGTGATTGGGATGAGGTTAGTGGAAGTAAGTGATGTCTCTTGCTTCATTATCCATCATCTGAGACGAAGTTAGAATGATGGCGATGCATCTTCGTCATGTTTACTCTGTTATTGCATGTTTTCTCTGTTCTTTCGCTCATAGCTTCACTATCAATATCCTCTCGTTTAGTGAAAGATATACTAGTGTACAGGTAAAGTTATAATATAGTCATTAATGGTCAATTATACTTAAGTGTAAGACAGAATTTGTTTTTCTACTGTGTGGTGGGTTGATGAAGATGCAGTACAGTTCACATGACAGTGCGTCCTCTCAACAGCAACAAAACAGACAAACTGACGTTTGTCAGGCTTTACGTACGAAGCAAATGTTCTAATTTTGAACTTTTCTCAGGTGATGAGACGCCTGGAGGAGCGAGTGGCCTTCGTGTCACCCATCAAGCTGGCCATCATGCCACACCTTCAGGAGATCTACGACTTCACCTTCGTGATTGAGCCAGCCACCCTCGGGTTCAGCATGGCCAAACCCACCCTTAAGCCTCGTTGGCAGAGCCTGTACTACCCTCTGAGTGGTGAAGTGTGGGTGTCCATCCTGGCCGTCCTGCTGCTGGTTCCTGCCGTCCTCCTCATGGTGAGTCTTGCTTACACCTTGAGGGACACAGCGAGTGAAGTTAGACAATATTACATTTAGTAAACATTATAGTTCCTGGGTGAGGACTCGGGGCAGCTCACCATGTCTCAGTATTATAACACGTGGTGACGGTAAAAGCGGCACCTTAAGTGCGTCAAACAATAAATTTTCGTTCTAGATAAACTACGCCAGCGAGGGGAATGAAGCAGGACACAGACTGAAGGTGTGGACGGTGGTGCAAGAAGTCTTCGGGACGTTGCTGGGACAAACCTTCTCTAAAGGTCTCCCCAGCAAGAGCTCGACGAGGGTGCTGATGGCGACGTGGCTGGTGTTCTCCTTCATCGTCGGCATTGCCTATCGTGGTAACCTGACAGCCTTCCTCACCGTGCCCAAGTACCCCACCAGAGCTGAGAACCTGGAGCAGCTCATTACTGTAGGAGCCACGTAGGTCCAGCACATAGTATTACAGAGTAGGAGCCACGTAGGTCCAGCACATAGTATTACAGAGTAGGAGCCACGTAGGTCCAGCACATAGTATTACAGAGTAGGAGCCACGTAGGTCCAGCACATAGTATTACAGAGTGGGAGCCACGTAGGTCCAGCACATAGTATTACAGAGTGGGAGCCACGTAGGTCCAGCACATAGTATTACAGAGTAGGAGCCACGTAGGTCCAGCACATAGTATTACAGAGTGGGAGCCACGTAGGTCCAGCACATAGTATTACAGAGTAGGAGCCACGTAGGTCCAGCACATAGTATTACAGAGTAGGAGCCACGTAGGTCCAGCACATAGTATTACAGAGTAGGAGCCACGTAGGTCCAGCACATAGTATTACAGAGTAGGAGCCACGTAGGTCCAGCACATAGTATTACAGAGTAGGAGCCACGTAGGTCCAGCACATAGTATTACAGAGTAGGAGCCACGTAGGTCCAGCACATAGTATTACAGAGTAGGAGCCACGTAGGTCCAGCACATAGTATTACAGAGTAGGAGCCACGTAGGTCCAGCACATAGTATTACAGAGTAGGAGCCACGTAGGTCCAGCACATAGTATTACAGAGTAGGAGCCACGTAGGTCCAGCACATAGTATTACAGAGTAGGAGCCACGTAGGTCCAGCACATAGTATTACAGAGTAGGAGCCACGTAGGTCCAGCACATAGTATTACAGAGTAGGAGCCACGTAGGTCCAGCACATAGTATTACAGAGTAGGAGCCACGAGGTCCAGCACATAGTATTACAAGAGATAGCTTTCTAAATCCAGCACATAGTCTCTCCAGTAGGACTTTGCCACCGGACTTAGTGGACTTTTACAACAGCTTCAAGAAGTCGGACTCAGCCGTCTTCAAGACTCTGACTGAGAGAGTCGAATTCGTGCCCACCTTCGATGTGGGAATGCAGCAGTCTCTTGAGATGAAGTGAGTGAGTGTGTGTGAGAGTGTGTGTGTGTGTGTGTGTGTGTGTGTGTGGTTTAAACAGCCAATACATACCCTGGGCTAACAGTATATTAAACCCAAAATAATTATTCTGGCATCAAATATCATCATTTTCCTATGTTTACAAATAACCTCAAATTTCTATCATAAATAATAATAATAATAATAATAATAATAATAATAATAATAATAATAATGATAATGATAATGATAATAATACTAATAATAATGATGATGATGATGATGATGATGATGATGATGACGATAATAATCTAAACATGGCCATGAAATCCATTAATAACACTACTTCATGTGCAGTTTATATTATAACAGATTCGGGTTCAGTAGCAAGATGTATTGAGTGGAAACATCACAGGTCTTCTCCGTACTTAACAAGACACACAAAAGAACATAAGACTCACGCCACTTCATATATAAAACTTACTACGTACAATCCCTTCTTCTCCGTCCGTAGCAAAGCATACATATACGAACGTATGTTTATGGAGTTGATGATCACGGAACACTTCACGGACGGAGAGGGAAACACACAGCTGTACGTGGCCAGGGAGAACATCATGCCTGGCTACTGTGGCTGGCCTCTCATCAAGGACGCTCCCTTTAAACACAGCTTCGACCGCCTTATCATGGCTTTCCATGGTGTATGTTACTCTTGTGTGCAGTTTATATTATAACAGATAGGAGTTGTATTGAGTGGAAACATCACAGGTCTTCTCCGTACTTAACAAGACACACAAAAGAACATAAGACTCACGCCACTTCATATATAAAACTTACTACGTACAATCCCTTCTTCTCCGTCCGTAGCAAAGCATACATATACGAACGTATGTTTATGGAGTTGATGATCACGGAACACTTCACGGACGGAGAGGGAAACACACAGCTGTACGTGGCCAGGGAGAACATCATGCCTGGCTACTGTGGCTGGCCTCTCATCAAGGACGCTCCCTTTAAACACAGCTTCGACCGCCTTATCATGGCTTTCCATGGTGTATGTTACTCTTGTGTGCTGTAGGATTAGTAGTTGTGTAGTATGTATGAGTACTGTAGTAGGATTAGTAGTTGTGTAGTATGCATGAGTACTGTAGGATTTGAATGGATAATACACCATAAACTTCCTCACAGGCGGGGCTCATCGGCAAGTGGACCTACGACATCCTGGAGCGAGCTCGTCTGGACAGTCGGGAGAAGCAGGCAAGGAAGATGGAGGAGGAAGAGAAACAACAGGACACTAAGCCAGTTGGTGAACAGGGTAGTGGACGCATTATGGCCCTTACTATAGTACACATGCAGGGGCCTCTCTTCCTGTTGTTGCTGGGACTCCTGCTCTCAGTTCTCACCTTCATCCTGGAGATGTTGGGTACATGGTGTCTCAGATGCAGGGAGGAGGCGCCACCTACCTCAACCTCTCCCTAATCTAACACACACATGCACACACACACCTCTTATCAATTTATCTATCGGTGTATCTGTTACAATAGGTCAGGTAGTAGCAGCAGCACCATTCCTCCACACGTGTTGTATCTCTATTCATTGTAATAAATAATGTAAACAACTGCACCATGCCTTTGTCTGACCCATATTTAAGGTTATTAGTAAAGTGGTTATATTTTTTTCTTCCTAATATTATTATAATTATTATTATTATTATTATTATCTGGCGAGGATTTATGACAGAATTTTTTTTTACATACTGTTTGGCAAATTTAAATCATTCCTTTTGAATTCTACTCCTTCTATGTGTGTTTTTGTGCAGCAGCTATGTGTACACTCATTCATGTAAGTAAACTCAGAGTACAGGGTATGACTGTCTTTGTGTGGAGTATAACTTATTCGTTATAAATGTCAGCTGTCTCGCCCGCATTGCTAAACAAATGACATGTAAAGTGTATTAACCATTTAGAGGGCAGCAAATGAATGACGTCATGACTGCCTTTGGCCAATTAGCAGGCTAGTGTGTGTGACCGACCTGACCAATCATTCTGTTTGTATCATAAATCCAGAGTGACCAATCATCTATTGTCTCTTTTTGTGGCGATCAATCACTGAGCTCCAATCTAGGCCGAATTAACTAATCCTCACGTCAGTATTAGTCTTACGTGAATCACTGCTGCTCGTATATTTGTTCAGGTTATCCAATCATTCCATTTGTACCAATCACCACATCCAGACTTAAGTAAATTATCCAATCACTCAATGACTGATGGGCTCTTCCTGCGCATGTCTGGTAGGTTAGTTATATACAGTCCTGTGAACCTACACTGTTGTCTCACTCCTCAGCTGTGCTCACAAGCAGGTAAGTTATACCAACTTAAAGTAGGAGTTGATTTATAGGAAGCAGATAGACAAAGATAGTGCAAACTAAGAGGAAATAATATCAACAATTATTACAACAACTTCTACAACTACAAAATGTAATAATACAATAACTACTACTACTAATAATAATAATACAAAACTACCTCCTACAACTAGAACGCCTACTACAACCATTAATAACACTAATATGGTAATGGTGTGATAATAATAATAATAACATCAGAGTCACTTGAATAAAGTTACTTGGTGTTCTTATCCTTCAACAGTTGACAGACTCGAACAAGAATGTTATTTGCTGCTATCCCATTGGCAACACTGGTTACTGTCTCACTCTTGCCTGTGGCGTTAACAACACTTTTCCAGACCCCAGGTGAGTAGATAGATAGATAGATAGAGAGAGAACTCGTATGACAAGTTTACAAGTCAATACGAGGCGTGCGGACTTATGTGTTTATAAACTGGTTAGAGACTTCTGGGCTGAAACATTTCTGGCAATCAACGCTGTGAATAAAGCTGTAGTTACTACAGGTGTGTCAATTACAAACGTATCTTACGATGATTTAATAACAAGTGTGTAATTAATTATAATTCCAGGTGAGGTGAAGGTGTTGGGGGAGGAGGTGGAGGCGATGAGGCAGGTGTTGGAGGCCTCCTCACAACCCCAGTGTTCCCTCATAATCCTTACAGACGGCACCACCTCACACCTCACCCACCACCAGGTGAGTCACCATCTTCACACCTCATCCTCCAACAGATGAGTCACCATCCTCATACCTCATTCTCCACCAGGTGAGTCACCATCCTCACACCTCATCCTCCACCAGGTAATTCAAGTGACTAATGGTAATTTTGCTTCTTGCAGATATGGGAGGAGGTGAGGCGGACCTCGGGTGTGGTGGTATTGGAGGTGCGGGGCGACCTGGACCACAATAACACACACATGCTGCTCTCCCACGCCCGCAAGGTAAGTGTCTCCAACGTCCACATCTGTACACTTCCTGTCATCCCGCCTGACAGGTGTTGTTCGTCTATCAGAGTTGGTATCTTACCAGGTATTTTGGTGAACAACTATTGGTATCCCAGCAGGTGTCACTGGTATACAAGGGTTGGTATCCCACCAGGTGTCACTGGTATACAAGGGTTGGTATCCCGTCAGATGCGGGTGTTGTCATGGTGTGTGACAGTGGTGGTGGTGAGCGACTCCCCCTCCTTCCTGGCCACCTTTGCCGCGTCATCAGACAGTGGCCGCCTGCTGGTGTGGACGACGAAGATGCTGGTGGTGACCAGAGTGCCTCTCCCTGAGCTGCGTCACCTCCTTCACCACTACTGGGTGTTCTCCATGATGAACACCATGTTCCTCACCCTAGCTGATGCCTCACATGACCGAAGGTGGGTGAGAGAGAGAAAGAGAGAGTGAGAGATAGAAAGAGAGAGAATACCCCAAAAAGACTTCAGGTACACTCCATCAAATTAACTATGTACAAGTATGTGAAGATACAAGTATATTTCACCTGGACTTAGTTTAGTTGTTCACATGAATCCACTGGTTGAAGATCATCTCCAGTGCTCACACTAACATGGTTCACACTGTCTTTAGTTCCTCTTCATCTGTTTTAAAGGTGGGACGTATATGCTCAGCTGCCGTACACCCCAAGAGGAGCAGTAGTATTGCGGGTGGCTTGCTGGAGTCGAACTCGGGGACTGGTGCTTCTCTCTCACCTACAGCTGTTTCCAGAGAAATTCGAGAAGTGAGTAAAATTATGCTGTGCTGTACTTTAACCTTCACAGTGATGGTGGGCTGATGTCTTACCGGTGTAAGGTACAAGTGACCTCTACCTCCCATGCCTCATACCCACCACTACCTCCTACACCTCAAAATTAACACTACCCCTCATAGATCATTTCCATCTTTGTCTATTTCTTCGTATTTATCTAATAAGAAAAAGGTACTGCGTTTCTCACCTCAATGAATCATAAATCTTACCCCTCAACAACGTAGCACCTGATAAATATGGCATATATAATTTACCTAGACTGAAGTAGTGTGCTAGCCTCACAAAATCATCCTGGTTCCCTTAGTTTCCACGGGGCCGCTGTGAACGTGAGTGTGTGGCCGTTTTCGCCGTATTGGATGGAAGTGGAGGAGACCATCCCGGAGGGTAGGAAGGTCTCCAGGCTCACCGGTCGTGCTTACATCATCTTGGAGACGATCGCCTCTACTCTCAACTTTTCTATCAACGTCCTCCCGCCCAATAATCTGAATGAGGTTATTAAGAAATATTGGAGAGAGAGAGAGAGAGAGAGAGAGAGAGAGAGAGAGAGAGACTGAAGCCTATACATTGTCCTTCCCACCAACAGGTTATGCAACGTATCGAGCAGCGAGAAGCCTTGATGATGCCCATGAAGCTGGCCATTTTGCCTCACCTGCTGGAGAAATACGACTACACTTTCGTGATAGAGGAAGCCACCTTGAGCTTCGCCATGGCCAAACCTCAGTTGAAGCCTCACTGGGAAGCTCTCTACCACCCCATGACAGGAGAAGTCTGGGGGTCTATATTACTGCTGTTGCTGCTGGTTCCTGTTACCTTGATGCTGGTAAGAAAGGAACTGGTGGTGGTTGTGTTGATGGTTGTCATGACGATTCTGGGTCAGGATAGGAAAATGTCTAACGATAATAATAATAAGAAAAATAAGAATTATAGTGACGATTGGTTGTATCTGAGAATAGTCTTAGGTTAAATTCTTTTTTCTTTTTTCAGTAGGTCATGTTAGTCGTAGTAAAAGTTACATTATTCAATAGCGTCCATAGTTCATCCTGTTTGCAGGAGTCATCATTATAACATTCTCTCTGATACGGTTTTACAGAGAACGACTTTATGGATAACTCATGTAAACCGGATGTTTTATGGACGGTGGAGTATAACATGAAGGAGTGTGGGTCTTAATCGGCTATGTGTATTAATATAGCCATTATAGTAGAAAAAATTTAATTCTCTGATTTATTCTAGATCACGCGTGAGAACCTCAAGACAGGTCGCCATAGAAGACAAGTGACAGACACACTGATGGTTATACATAAAGTGTCTAAAACGGCAAAAGAAGAGAATTTGTCTCAGAAGATTAGTGTCGACAAAGACGGAAATATACAAAACCCAAATGTTAAAGCGTGGACAGTGGTACAAGAGATCTTAGGAACTCTTCTCGGCCAGAACCTCACAGGACAACTCCCCAGTAATAGCTCAACGAGAGTCCTGGTGGCGACGTGGCTGTTGTTTGCCTTCATCGTCGCCTCCGCCTACAGGAGTACTCTCACCGCCTTTCTCACCGTGCCCAAGTATCCCGCCCGACCCGAGAACCTTGAAGAACTGTTGATGACGAACACGAGGTGAGGACACACACACTCACCCACGCACCCCCCTCCCCCCACACACATATTGGTAATATTAAACTTACATTGCCTTTTTATCCTTTTTTTGTTATCCATCAGCTTTTCTGTCCTGTTATTCTTCTCTTTCTTCTTTGTAAAATCAAATACAACGTGAGAACCCTAGTCCCAATAATAACTTAATCGAACACCATCCCACTAGGGTGATGATGCCACCGGACCTACGTGTCAACTTCTACAACAGTTTTAAGCAATCCAACTCCACCCTCTTCAAAACTCTGGTCGAGAGAATCTACTTCGTGCCTTCTCACACTGTTGGTCTCCAGCAAGCCATCGACAAGCGGTAAGTTTTCAATAATTTCTTAATACAGTGAAATATTAAGATTTTGGAGGCTCTGCAGGAAGCCACCGTTACTATTTTCATACTTTAAAGTCATTGAGGGAGTCATTAATAGATCTATTTTTTGTTAGAACTTCAAAACTCTGCAACAAATATTAGTTGTGGTGTAGTTATGATCAGGATTAATCTACTTGGCCGTCGCTTGTCTTGTTTTTTAACTCTCAACTTCTGCTCAGTCGACTCTGGCCAACTCAGCTTTATTGATCTACAATATTTGATATTTTCCAGCCTCACTCTTGTCTTACATAGAGATACAATAAGGAAAATACTCCTCTTATCTACATTCCTATACTCCAGCGACGCCTACATATATGAGGGGTTGCTGTTGAAACTGTTGATCGCCAAGAACTACACAGGGAAGGACGGGTGGACACCGCTGTATGTGGCCAGACAGGCAGTGGTGCCGGGCTACTCCGCCTGGCTCCTGCCTCGTGACGCCCCATACAAACACAACTTAGATCGATGTATCTTCGCCTTCCACGGGGTGAGTGTTCATAGAGGAAGAACTGTCAGCGGAGAAGTGAGAAAAAGAGTTTGAGCAATGAAAGAGTTTGCTGTGTGATGCCCTTTCTTATTTTATTTTAAATTTTATTTTATTTATTTAGACATGTCTGGAAATTTGTACTTACTTGTTACCATCTATTTCATTAATTAGTTAACTGGTAATTGCGCTGCCACCACCCAGGTATGCCTGCCATCACATAAATTTGGGCTTCAGCATTAAAACCCCTTAAATTATTTTGTTAGCTGGCAAAGAGGTCAGGTCACGTTGATTCTGGGTATTTTCTGGCATGCAAATCATACTCTCATGTACAACCACAAACCAACTAAGTGTACCAGAATAATAAGTGAATAGTGATCACCAGGGTTTTTAGATCAACAAAGACGTGTTCCTCTCCAGGCTGGGTTGATCCGGAAGTGGAGTCAAGTAGTACTGGACGAGAGCCGCCAGCGTGAGAGAGATAAAACTCACCACCAACAGCAGGAGGCCGTGGAAGTAGTCGACCATGTCGAGTCTAGTTCTGGTTTCCAACAACTCACCGTCACCCACCTCCAGGGACCTATCCTTCTCCTGGTCTTGGGTCTTACTTTAGCCTCCCACGTCTTCGTCGGGGAGGTGCTCATACGCTATTGCTTACGGTGAAGGACCTTCAGGAGAACAACACACAGTTATGACATGATTATAAAACGGTAGATTCTACATACATGGTAAACATTTTACACGTGTTAACTTTGCTTTAGTCTTCTACACACATTAACCCAAGGTAGGTATCTACCTACCTTGCATTAACCGTCACCCTTTACCAGTTTTATTAATCAGAATTCCTGCACACAACCATACACATAGAACTTCTTTTTAGATTTTCAGCATTACACATACAGGTCCTGTTCTGTTTTGAACTCATCGTTTCAGGCTCAATAATATGGAAGACTGTAAATATGATTACATAAATAATAAAATTTAAGCATCAAAATTCTTTCATTTAAAATCACTTGATGATCAATCAATGGATTTAAATTATTATTATTATTGTAATAAACTATTAATAACATCATGTTGGAATGGAACAAAACTTCGCCAAACATAGAAAACGTCAATACAAACACAGTATATAAGCGAGCGGTTAGACCACAACACAACAACGAGGAGACGGGACGGGTGTACACTACCAATACAAGAATCTTCAGTTGCTGACACTAAAAATATCCATGTAAGTTTCACATAAAGAGAGTTATGCGTGACATTACGAAATAATGATAATCCATATTGGTAGTAAAAAGGGTGAAGCGACATGAAGTCATACTAGTGAATGATGGAACAGAGGGGCTAACCTTTAACTATGAACATTGAAAATTAAATTACTGTATTTAGATGTATGGCAAACGAATTTTATATTTGTTTACTTTTGTTGCATGCTTGAACCAGCAACTTTAGGCTATCTTATGCAAGATAAATGATGCGGTCTTTCGGCTCAATATATGAGAAAGTCCGGAGAAATATTTAAATGGCTTTGCAATTAGCTTTTTAATTTACGTTTCAGCCACAGCAATAAGTCATATGTGTTGTATCCACTGTTGTGGCAGATGAAAAGAAGCCATAACAGAATTATATCTACCGGTATAATATTTAGCAGGAATAGAATACTGTATACAGTACTACAATCAGTAATTTTAAAGCTTATGCTCAAACAGCAACAATCAGTGGTTCGTTCCTACTAAAATAAGATATTGTTCAGTGTTTATTTGTTTCCATTAACTTGAAGAACATATTATGTACCCATTCATAAATATAGTAGAACCACTGTTATCTGAAAATTGAGAGGTGTTGGATAATGAGATTTTCTGGTTAGTTGAATCTGACTCTAAGGATCCCTCAATAAATCCTACAATGCACACTGTTACAGGCTGACTCGCAAATTCGTGTCTCAGTAAAACAGACTTCCTTAAAACTGTATAAAATATGTAGCTTATAAATAAAGATAATGTAATATTAAACTGCAAAAAAAGTAAAAGCATGGATGTGTATGTGTGGGAAGTGAATGTGTGTGGAAGCGGAGGGCTATAACTGCATGGTCGCACTCCCTCCCAATGTGATGACTGCTTGGTTGAACTGTATCATGTTGCCCAGAGGATGGTTTGAGTGTGGGAGGACCTATTTTTTTTACATAAAATATGCACTACAGGTTGGACCCCTCTAATCTGGGACCCGATAGTCCAGCAGCTTTGATGGTTCAGGACAGCGTCATGGCTCACTTCTAGAGGCTGTTGCCACTATTTTACCTTTAAATACATATAATTTGCCCCTAAATATGCCTCCTAAGGGACCAGCAAGTAGTGGAAGTGGTTGTAATGCAGCAAAACATAAGCTTGTGACATTAATAAATAAAACAGTTAGACAGTAATAGTACATTTTATGCTTTGTTTTACCTCTTTTAACCTCGGCTTCGATGGCTCAGAATTTTTGTTAATCCAGAACAGGCCTGGTCCCAAGCCTTCAGGAATAGCAAGGTCCAACCTGTATTGTATTTTATGACCTGCTGTGTAGCTATCAATTTTATTTTTTATCAGTAATAAATATGGCAGCTCATCCTCATTGTACCCGGTATTCAAACTTACAATTCCAGCTGATTTTGGAGGAACTTTTATTATTATTATTATTATTATTATTATTATTATTATTATTATTTAATTTTGTAGCTGGTTACTCAGACTCTGGCTAACCAGGGTTCTTCTTTACTTTTGTATAATAATGTTCTTTTTATTCTATTTAACAGAAATACAGTATTATGGAGGTTATATCACCAGAGGGCATGCGTCAGGATGGCAGAACACCACTTTGTCTGCGTACAATCAGTTGCCGAATGGGGCTGTATGAGAGACCTAATGGCAGTGCTTACATTGAAATGGGAAATACAAAAGTTCTTGCTGCTGTTTATGGACCCAGAGAGGTAGATAAGAGTATTTTGTGTATCACTATTTAAATTATTATTTCCAGTGGTACAGCAGTTTGACCTCTTTCCTCACACACAATTCCCTTTCCACTTATTTTTTTCTTCTATTATACCAACTCTATAGTATATTGTATGATTTCATTGTTTTATTTATGTTTTTCACCATTTTACATGTATTTAAAGAAAACATACTGAAGTACCATATACAGTGGCATTTATGGGCAACTCAAGTATCTCAGACCTACAGTACTGTGGCCACTAATACTATTTGTGGATTTTGACGGTTTGCAGGGTCTGTGGAACCTAACCCCCATGAATAGCAGAAGGTCAACTGTATCATTTGAACAGTGTGTTTATATCATATCTGTTAATATGTACCTTTCTTTCATTAATGGTGTTTTGCATTTATAAACAAGTTTGTGCATTTAAAATATTTAATAACATATTACTCATTTTAGGTTCGGAGTGTCAGTAAGCAACAGCTGGATGAGTGTGTTATCCAGTGCCAGATGAGTCGCATTGCTGCTAGTCAAGGAGAAAGAGTGAAGCGTCCCAGAGACCAGAGAACCCGAGCAATAGGTCAACAAATTGCAGGTGTATTTCATGCAGCAATACGAAAGAGCAAATATCCTGGCTCACAAATTGACATTTTTGTGCAGGTAAGAATTCTTTTTAGTAAAAGAGGCAAGATAAGGAACTTAGTTACTCGCTAATAAAAATGCTCATTCTCTGTTGAGTTTACAGCACCATTTTATATGATCTCTCCATTATCTGTCAGTTTTTCATCTAACTGACACCTTTCTGTCAGATCCCTTCTGTCTATTATCAGTGTTTGGTTTAGATTAGAGGCTGGTACTCTATCTGATTATTGTCTACTAATGGTTCACTGAATATCTAGAATATTATCAAATTATCTGTCTTCAGTGACTGAGTAAAGAACAAAATTTGATAGTTACTGTAATTCATTCCTCAGGTCTTACAAGCAGATGGAGGTGTAATGTCAGCTTGCATCAATGCCTCAACCTTAGCCCTCATCCATGCAGGTGTAGAATTGGTAGACTACGTGGCATCCTGCACCGCCTCAATTAACAGACAAACTCCACTCCTTGATGTAACAAACCAGGAATCTATGTCGGGTTGCGAGGTAACTGTCTCCATCCTGCCAAACAAAGGTTCAATAGTTTCTCTGGATACATCAAACACTGTTCATCAGGATCAATTTGAATCTGTGTTGGACCTTGCCATGCTGGGAGCTCAACAGGTATATGAAGAGATGCACAGGGAGGTTGAGAATTACCTGGAAGATAAACATGCCATAATGTCTCATAGGTAAACACTTTCGAGTGAAGAGAGATCAGGCCCAATCAGTAAACACCTTTTTAATATTTTATGTTTGTCTTTGTAGTATTTAGAACTTGTGTGATTGTATGGAATATAGTATTGCATCATTACAAATTCATGCAGTGTCATTATTATTTCATATTATTTTATAATGAGTGACAGGATATTAAAGCTAATTGTGACTAGAGTAAATACATAAAAGGATTTGTGGTTCGACTCATGTTTGGATTTTTGACAACTTTTTTATTACAGTATTGTATTGTATATAAGAGATAGACAAGAAATTCAAAGTTGAAAACCTCAAAACTGGCTGATGAACTGACAAGGTTAAGTATGGTATACTGTTCTACACCACATAAACAGTAATACTACTAACTCCTCATCCAGCATCTTAGTCAGTTAATAATCTCACAACATTTTTCACCCTTTCATATTATAGTATACAAGGAAAAGGCTTATGTAACCCTAGTATGGGGAAGGATCTCATATGTATGGAATTCTTCTATTAAACAGTACAGTATATTTTTTTGGGTACTGTAAGTAATTCTGAAAATAAAATGCAATGTTAAATAATATATATTTGTTGATGGATTACCTCACATTACCAGCCACTACTGAGTCAGGATCTAAACCACAATTGTGGTCACATTATTTTATTGGTAATTTTTAATAAAGAATTTTATTCTTACTGGTGTATATATTATTGATGCTCCTAACCTATTGTATGCTGTACAAGAGTCAGGAGCAGATCCAGGATTTTCTGAGGGGGTGTTTGGAGTTTGGGTGAATGGTAATAATGTAGCAAGAAATAAAGTACAGCACAGTACCCAAAAAAAATTCAATTTTGGCTTGAAAAGAATTCACATTTGTTAAATTTAATAGTAATAAAATTCAGTATTTACCAATTACACTTTCTAAATTAGATGATCTCCCACCAATCACATTTCAGGACGCTACCATTCTGCCAATTTCTAAAATAGATCTGCTAGGTCTCAACATTTCCTTTAATATGTCATGGAAGCCACACATCCTCAACATTGCTAAAGCTGCCTCCCGAAAGCTGGGAATGCTGTACAGATGCTGTAGCTACTTCACTCCTGAGCAATTGCTTCAAGTATATTCGTCCTAACTTGGAGTACTGCACTCATATCTGGGGTGGCTCTTCTTCTGTCCAACTGTTATATAGGGTGGAATCAAAGGCATTTCGTCTTATTAATTCTCCTCCTTTAGTTGACAATTTTTCTTCCCTTTCTCTTTGCTGCAATGTTGCTTCACTCTCTCTCTTTTTACAGGTACTTTAACGGGCAATGTTTGGTGGATTTGGCATCCTGTGTACTGCCGACAAGGCCGTTGGATCGTAACACATATCTTGCCCTCGATGCCCACGATTTCTCTATGGCTGTCGGTCACACTAGAATACAGTAACCTGTTATAGTACATCCTTCTTTCCTCACACAGCCAAACTGAGGAATGCTCTGCCTTCTTCTGTGTTTCCATACTCATACAATGTCTCACTTTAAAAAGCTGGTTTTTCTGCATCTTTGTGGTGTAGATTAATATAACCCTTTCCTTTTCTATTTTTAATTTCTTTTTATTCTTATTTTTTTGCCCCCCAGTTCCCAATGTGGGTTGATAACCTGTGCCCAGGATGGGCTATTCCCCGTAAAAAAAAAAATAAATAAATAAATAAATAAAAAAATACAGTATCATGGTCTTATTGGTATATTAAAAAATTACATACATCTTGTTAAATACTGTAATCAACAGAAAGTAATGAAAGAAAGTTTGTGGTCATACTGCCCTGACAGCAACCACTGGATCTTTTCTGACATTTCCACCACAAGTTAATTTTTGACCTCATGTGATGGGTGCCACCAGACTATGGAGGAGGTGAGGATAGAAGTTAAGGTAAGTGATCACAGGTGCTGGCTCTGATGCAGTCACCACACACATGAATTAGACAACAGCAAAATCGAGGACAATTTAGACATCGAGGAAGCCAGACGGATGCTGATATACGGTAATAAAGATTTGTTTATTTAAGGGTTAATATGTAGGATTTTTTAATTTACCTATTCAACTTGGAAGTCAAGATAATCTTTCTTTAACCTCTTGTGTACGGGGTCCCCTCTGAGCAGAATAAAATAATATGACATCTGGGCCTGGCTGGACAACTCAGATAAAGACCATCATGATGTCAAGATCACAGAGGAACCGTGTATACCTGTTGTTGGTTCATTATGAGAGAGTAACCACAAACTCACGCCTCCTGCCATGGATGTTATTGACGGAATTAAAAGTGGTTAAAAGTTCTGCCACAAATTCATGTGTTGGGGAGTAGCAGGGAGTGTTGAGGAGAAGCAGGGAGAGTTGAGGAGTAACAGGGAATGTTGGGGAGTAGCAGGGAATGATGGGGAGTAGCAGGGAATGATGAGGATGGAGCAGGGAGTAATGGAGAGTAGCGGGGAGTGTTGGCGAGTAGCAGGGAGTGTTGAGGATGAAGCAGGGAGAGTTGAGGAGAGCAGGAATGATGAGGGGTAGCAGGGAATGTTGGGGAGTAGCAGGGAATGTTGGGGAGTAGCAGGAATGTTGGGGAGTAGCAGGGAATGATGAGGATGGAGCAGAGAGTAATGGAGAGAAGGGGAGTGTTAAGGAGTAGCAGGGAGTGTTGAGGATGCAGGAGTGTTGAGGATGAAGCAGGGAGTGATGAGGAGTAGCAGGGAATGTTGGGGAGTAGCAGGGAATGTTGAAGATGGAGCATGAAGTACTGGAGAGTAGCAGGGAGCATTGGAGAGTAGCAGGGAGTGATGAGGAGTAGCAGGGAGTGATGAGGAGTAGCAGGGAATGTTGGGGAGTAGCAGGGAATGTTGAAGATGGAGCATGAAGTACTGGAGAGTAGCAGGGAGCATTGGGGAGTAGCAGGGAGCGATGAGGAGTAGCAGGGAGTGATGAGGAGTAGCAGGGAATGTTGAGGATGGAGCAGGGAGTGTTGGAGAGTAGCAGGGAGTGATGGGGGTTAGCAGGGAGTGATGAGGAGTAGCACGGTGTGATGAGGGTTAGCAGGGGAGTTAGGGACTAGCAGGGAGTGTTGGAGAGTATCAGGGAGTGTTGAGGAGTAGCAGGGAGTGTTGGGGAGGAGCAGGGAGTGATGAGGGTTAGATCGGGGTGTTAGGGAGTAGCAAGGAGTGTTGGGAAGTAAAGGAGAGATGAGGAGTAACACCACACACTATCTTCCGCACTCATTAACTCTCTCCCTCTTATCCACCCTCTCACCCCCTCCCGCCCTGCAAGTTTTCCCGTGTTTTGGCGACGTGCCATAGGGGGCAACGAGCCTATTAACCTGCCTCCAATTGGGTGTGTGTCCTGGAGTCTGTGCACACACACACACACACACACAAGCACAGGTTGTGGTGTACAGGGTCGACCTGCGTGAGCAGGACAACGCTTATGGTCAGAACAGATAATGCTAAACAACGCTGACCACTAAGACCGCAATTCCTTCAGGCAAACACCACACAGATCGTCCTTATAGCGAGTGGATCATCATTACTTCCTGAGATATAAAACTCCCCAGAGCGGACAACCGGCTGAGTAGTTGCAACTTTTCCCGTTTTGTTTAATATTTTCTGTCTGTGTTTAACTGTGTTTGTTTTTGATGTCGAGGAATATTGAAGGAGACGATGATGGCGTCCCTCTCTCGCGGTATTGACGAGTCGTGGCGCGTCAATAATAAACTTGTGGTTTAAATAATAATGTTGGACTCACTGGGGAAATATACCTTGATGGTTGCGGTGTTGTGTTGTTTTATGTTGTGTGTGTCTTCGTGTATATGTTGTCAGATCGTTTGATAGTTGTCTTGATAACAGTTGTTGTTTGTGACAGTCATCGGTAATTGATAAAAAGATATCGTAAATTATCTGGCAAGTGAAACAGTCAACAAAATGCAGTGGGATTTTCCTCCTCTGTGCATCATCGCATATGTTTACGTTTCTTTCTCACCTTACAGATTGCAACGCTGTCAAACACTCGAGCTTGCTTACCGTAGCCAACCAGAACGAGGCAATATCTTCACCGTCTCACCCTACACATCTGAAGGAGGACTTGAGAACTATAAAAAAATTCAAATATTGCAATAGAGGTAGTAGAGACGCCGCCACAAGCTACAGATGGCGAAGATGCAACATGAAAAATAGCTCACGTGGCAACCGGAGGGCAAGAGGTCGAGCCAACACGTCTGGTCACCCTCACACAGAGCATCACTCAGTCGTGTGTGTTGTGCCGTGGAGTGAAGGTGTCCCGACCTGCTGCTTGTGTTTAGAAAAGTCCTCGACGTTTCCTCCCTCGGTGCTTCCTCACGTGAGGCTTAAACACGTCTTAAAGACTAACGAAAGAGCGAGTGATCTACGTGTCTGATAATAAAATTTGAGTGTGAAGGTTAGTTTATGATAAAGATTTGTGATTTATGTGAAAAAATAAGGCACCAAAAAGCCTAGTTTCTCTGGCGAGTTAACGGAGATTTATCCGAGAATGAATATTGGGGTTGACGGCAGGTGAGGGGGCTCAGGCCAGCAGGTGCGCGAAGACCAACACATTTACTTGTTTATTTACATATTTATTCACTATTTTTCGTAGTAAGTATTGTAAACAGTATTTTTGACGTTAGTGAATGCTAGTAGGTAGTTTGATGGTAAATAGATGTACTGATGATGAGGAGGGTTGTGATAGTCTATTAGCTTGGCTTTATGCTCTACTGAAACGGAAAATGAAATTCTTTTGAAATATTATGACGATGGGAATTGATTTTGCTCTGACTAAACAAAACTAGAGAAAAAGCTGAATGGCGTACCTGCATGTTGTGTGTGTGTGTGTGTGTGTGTGAATGTATGTTGTGTATGTGTGTAGATATACTGTATGTTTACATTGGCGTGAGGGTGTCTTTGGTACAGAGGAGGGGACTACTGAACTGGCCAACCAAACGCTGCCAATATCCTCTGGTTCTGTTTGTTTGTTCATAGTATTTCCGGAGGGTAGAGGCTGTGACCACATAAATATTACAGTTTCTAAATGTTATAAGAGAGGCAGGAGAGAGAGAGAGAGAGAGAGGCAGGAGAGAGAGAGAGGGAGGCGTTAGTGGCAAGTGAGGAGGAGGGGAAGACTGGGTAGGAACGTGCTGAAGGGGAGAGCATCCGTGCGTGTAAACAAGGTGACAGTGAACGTGTTTATAAGCGTTCAGGGGAAAGTAACTAACAGAAAGAATCATTAATGAACGCTGCTGCAGGAGTGTGACGTCTAGCAAAGAGGATATTGTTTCACACGTGTTTAAAGAGACGTAATATAAATAATTACTTTTAAATGCATCTTTTAGCGTGTGTGTGTGTGTGTGTGTGTATGTAAAGACGGGATAAACGTTCCTCTAACACTTGTTTTTTCTGACATAACGAGGCTATTTTGTTGATGTATTTTCATATTGTCTACCGTATTATTGAAACCAACATTTATTGCCTCTGAAGATAAACCACTCAACTTCACCCAATGCTTAAACACCCCGAACGCCATCTGGGCTGTGTGGAGGGAGCAGCGGTTAGATTAGGTTAGGTGGTTAATCTTAAGGTAAAATAAGGTGGTGGGGGCCTAATCTGTATGCGATCCCTTATTTTCATTTCATTTTGGATATCTCTTTCCCGTAATGTTGTAGGTAAGATCATTGGAGGAATAGACTGTTGTGGTGTTATTATCGCAACGATAATTTGTACAAAAGTGACGATTCTGTTGAAAACATAAAACATCTTGTTTATTCTTTTTTATTTACGCTTTTTATTCATTCTTTTCATTCCTGCTAACTTAACCTAACCTAACGCTATCCTAACCTAACGCTATCCTCACCTAACCTAACGCAGGTGCTGGTGAGAGGATCGGGGCTGTGTGGTGAAGAGCGGTGCTCCTCCCCCACCAGGTAACCTGAACTCTTTAGGCTTGTGTCGGCTCTTCTGGGGAAGCTGTACAATGATGCTCTCTGGAGAGTGTGTTACCCCTTTGGTGTTGAGGTCTGGTGTGGGGTGTTGAGGGCTGGTGTGGGGTGTTGAGGGCTTGTGTAGGGTGTTAAAGGCTAGTGTGGGGTGTTGAGGTCTGGTGTGGGGTGTTGAGGCTGGTGTGGGGTGTAGGGGCAGTGTGGGGTGTTGGGGTAGTGTGGGGTGTTGAGGTCTGGGTGTTGAGTGCTGGTGTGTGTGGTGTTGAGGGCTGGTGTGTGGGGTGTTGAGGGCTGGTGTGGGGTGTGGGGGATAGTGTGGGGTGTTGGGGCTGGTGATGGTGAAGGACAGGTGTAGGGGCTGGCGGGGAGGTGTTAGAGGGGCTGGTGAGGATGGAGGACAGGTGTAGAAGGCTGGTGAGGGTGGAGGACAGGTGTGAGGGCTGGTGAGGGGAGGATAGGTGTAGAGGGCTGGTGAGGGTGGAGGACAGGTGTAGAGGGCTGGTGAGGTGGAGGACAGGTGTGAGGGCTGGTGAGGTGGAGGACAGGTGTGGGGCTGGGTGAGGGGGTGGAGGACAGGTGTAGAAGGCTGGTGAGGGTGGAGGACAGGTGTGGGGGCTGGTGAGGGTGGAGGACAGGACAGGTGTAGAGGGCTGGTGAGGGTGGAGGACAGGGCTGGTGGAGGACAGGTGTAGAGGGCTGGTGAGGGTGGAGGACAGGTGTAGAGGGCTGGTGAGGGTGGAAGACAGGTGTAGAGGGCTGGTGAGGGTGGATGACAGTTGTAGAGGGCTGGTGGGAGGTGTTGGAGAGCTGGTGAGGGTGGATGACAGTTGTAGAGGGCTGGTGGGAGGTAAAGGGGTGTGAAGGACCGAAGGGGGAGTGGATAAGCCCTTCACTTAGCCTTTGATGGAACGTAGTCAACAAAACACGTTCTCACAGCCTCGTTTCGACCTCTCTTGTCATCCTTCAAAGAGACCATCGCCCCTCGTGTAATGAAGACAAGACCACCACACGTCAACACGCCATGGTAGTTCTAACATGATGGGGGGGGGGGACAAATAGGGTAAATACAGTAATATTGTAACAAGTCATGGCATTAGATCTCAGAAAATTGTAGTTTAACCTAACCAAACGTAACCAGGGAGGGTAATAATGGTGTCAGGGAGGGCGGTAGTGGTTTCAGGGAGGACGGCAGTGGTGTTAAGGATGGCAGGGGAGGGTGGCAGTGGTGGCAGGACGGGCCCAGGAGGCACGGAGGTGAGACTCCCCAATATCCGGGTGATAATGTTGTTTACCTGTGATTACCTGACGCGCACCTCAGGAAATGAACTCCTCCTTCTTCTACCTCCTCCTGCTGCCTCCTAGCCTGTATAATCCGTCTATCCCCGCGCCTCCTGCCCTGCGTCCTCTTCATCCTCCTCCTTCTGATGTGTTGTGGGCGTGGTGTAGATCAGTGTGGTGGGCGTGGTGTGGTACAGAGGGGCAGTAAACACGGGACTTACTGTAACATCCGGGACTGGGTGTGTAGTTGCCAGACGTACACCGTATAGTTGCAGTCAAGGTCTCAGGATAGGATAAACACTAGTTTTATTAGAGGTGTGGCGGCCAGGGTGGTGTGTGTGTGTGTGTGTGTGTGTGGTCAGGGTGGTGTGTGTGTGTGGCGGCCAGGGTGGTGGTGTGTGGCGGCCATATCAAGATAGATTAAAGAAACTAAACTTGCATTCCCTAGAAAGACGAAGAGTGTGGGGAGATGTGATAAAAGTATTTAAGTGGGTGAAAGGAATCAATAGAAGAGATATAGATAAAGTTCTTATAATATCCGAGCAGGATAGGACTCGTAGCAACGGATTTAAGTTGGATAAGTTTAGGTTAAGGAGGGAGATCGGGAGGAACTGGTTCACAAATAGGGTGGTGGACAAGTGGAACAAGCTAAGCAACTTTGTAGTAAGTGCTGGATTGCTGGAAAGTTTTAAAAGGAGGCTAGATAGATTCATGGATGATAGAGAGTGGTAGTAACTCTCGACAGGAGCTGCCATGCACAGGCCAACCGGCCAATTGCAGACTCCTTATGCTCTTATGTGTGTGTGTGTGGAGGCCAAGGTGGTATGTGTGTGTGTGTGTGTGGCGGCCAGGGTGGTATGTGTGTGTGTGTGTGTGGCGGCCAGGGTGGTATGTGTGTATGTGTGTGCGTACCGTCTAGGGTGGTGTATGCCACTGCTTGTTGCGGCAATAAATTGGGTGGCGGCCGGGGAATTATATCAACATGAAATTTATTGAAGGTTGACGTCACTTGTTCTGATGTTACCATTTTTGTCACTCCGAATTTTATTTACAACAAAAAATTCGCCCATTTACAGTACATAAAAGATATGTACATAAAAGATATGTAAATAAATGTCAGTGGTTACAGATGTTCTTAGTAATGTTTTGGTGTTCTCTATTAATGTGTATTAATAATGATATTCGTATTTCAGGGATCGTGTGCGTGAAGGTGTACGAGGTGAAGTGTTGTGTGTAGCGGTGGATGTTGATACACCGTCGACCATAACACTGTTGGCCACTTCTCTCCTGACAAGGCAGGTGAGGGTCGTCTTGGGCTTATGCTGCCTCAAGTGACTCTAGATCACCACCAGGAGCTGCTCGTCTTCCACCTGCAGGCGGTCGCTACCACGATGGGTGAGAGTGTAAACAGGAGCCAGACAGGCGTCAAAGTGTAGACAGGTGTGAAGGCGTAGACAAGAGCCAGGCAGGTGTGAGAGTGTAGACAGAAGCCGGGCAAGTGTGAGGACAGATGAGTGGTGCAAAATGTCAGACTCGGGGAGCGGGGAGAGTCAGGGGTCTTGTGGCTGTACCTGTGACGGGGAGTGCGGCATGTCGCTCTCTCCGGCCTCCTCCCGCCGCGGGGCAGAGTCCACCTCCGGCTGCCCTTCGTCGTCAGATTACCTGCCTTCAGATCCCATCTCCGGCAGCCTTTCGCCAGTCATAGACACACGCACCACGGAGCCTCACACGGTCACCAGACGAGGCCGGCATAGTCCGCCCCCGCCCTTACCTGAGAAACGAAAGCCCCGCGACCCCTCCGTCCAGCAGCGGCGGATCAAAATGCCTCAAGCAGAAGACCCTGGCGGTGTCGTTCGCCCGCGGATGATGATGTCGTCTTCAGGGTGTCCCTCACCACAGGGCAGGTGCTGGTGGGATCATCAGCAGCTGTCGCCGGGGAGCTGTGCCTCAGGGTACTGGGAACAACACCAGCAGGAGGACCCAGGAGGCGGCCGGGGGCACAGGACTCCATCACCTGACTCTGGCGGGTCGGAGGAAATGGAGCAGATGAAGGCGCTCTTTAATGCTTGTGATACTGATGGCGACGGCTACATCACCAGGTGTGTGTTGTGTTGTGTTGTGGCGTAGGCAAGGGTGGGATACTAGCCTTCATCAACCACTTGTACTTAAACACAAAAAACAGAGCTTATTTTAAGGCTGTGTTCAGGACGGGGGGTTAATCTTCACACACAACTTGACAATTTGCAAAACTTATCAAATTCTTAGTCTCCAGGGGCCATTATTTACAATAGTTTCACCCAAGTCTATGTTTTGTTTTACTCTTGTTTTATTTACATTACCATTGAATATTAATGGTTAAATAAGAGAGAGAATAATATTTGGAAATAATTTGGGGATGCTTCAGACCGCCAGGAGTGAAATACGAGCCTAAAGCCTAACAAGGAAAACTTTATCTTGAGGTTGGCAGCGGCGAGGGGGTGATGGAGCGCCTGATTACATTGTGACAACTTTTTCATTCTGGTGCATTTCCTTTCCTGATTCTTTACACAGATTTTGTAAAAGGACAAAATTAGAGAGAAAAGATTGTATAGACATGCTAACTTAAAGCTACCCTACCCTACCATACCCTACCCTACCCTAATAAACTCTACGATTTTCATATTGTCATGGTAACATACCAGAGTATACCTGTAGTTCTTCGTAGACGCCTCACACTTTGCCTCATGTGAAGTTGCCAGAGTATTGCCTGAGTGTTGCCTGTATCTAGCCTGGGGGTTGTTGATATATCTTACTCTGCCTCTGAGGGTGATGGCTTGGCTGGCGCTCTGACGTTAAGTAAACATCTCTCTCTCTCTCTCTCTCTCTCATATACCGACATGTTCCACAGCCTCAAGTCTTAGGGGGAACAGATCGAGTCTTTGTACACGTCTGTGGAGGCTGTAAAGACTTCTCCTGTTTGTATGTCTGTGTTGGAGAAATGGGGGTGGGGTGGAGTGGAGCTCTCCCTCAGGATCCGGGCTATAGTTTGTGTGTGTGTGTGTGTGTGTGTGTGTGTGTGTGTGTGTGTGTGTCCTCCGTCACACAGCAGAGGAGGGGAGCGGGTCCTCACGCCCCAGGCAACAGTGGAGTCGCTGGGTCAATGATGATGATGATGATGTAGAAGTCTGTGCTGCCTCAACCCTTCCCTCCCCCTCCCTCTTCCTCCCTTCCCCCTCCCTCTTCCTCCATCCCCCCGCCTCCTTCATTCCCCCCTCCCCCTGTAGCCTGGAGTGATGGGGAGTGCCTGTCACCTGTAGTGCCTCGGTGCCTCTCCCCTCCGTAGCCTGCAGTCACCTGTAGTGCCACCAGTGCCTGCTACCCTCGTGCCAGGATGAAAAAGGTACCGATTTTCATCTGAACTTGGAAATATCTTATACCTGAAATATCTTGTACCTTATTGGTTCATCTTGTACTGGGTGATGTACACATTGTAGTGCGTGTTGTACATCTGTCACCTGTGTTGATGTACAGTGTAATGCTTCATCTTAAACCCAGTGATGTACATATTGTTTCTCGTCTGTCTGTCTGTCTTTGTGGTGCGGTGGACGAGAGGATACACAACTCACCTCCTCACCTCAGGGATCTTAGTACCTTCAATACCCTAATCCAATCATCTGTGAATAAACACCCGACTTTACAATTGAGGAAATGAAGACATCAAGTTCAATGCCAGTCACACTACTTTTTTCTACCACCAAAGCCGAGTCACACCCTGCCCCCCTAAACCCTGCAAGTACCACCCTGCCCCTAGTAGCACACCCCACCCCTACAGTAGTAGTAGTACACCCTGCCCCTAGTAGTCACCCTGCCCCTAGTAGCACACCCTACCCCCAGTAGCACACCCCCCCTAGTAACACCTAGTAGCCCCCCCCTAGTAGTACACCCTGCCCCCTAGTGCCCCCTAGTACACCCCTACCCCTAGTAGCACACCCTGCAGTACACACCCCCCTGTAGCACACCCTACACCCTAGTAGCACTACCCCCTAGTAGCACACACCCTGCCCCCTGTAGCACACCCTACCCCTAGTAGTACACCCCCCTAGTAGTACACCCTGCACATCCTGCCCTTAAATGTCCAAGTTAATTCTCAAGTCTCGCCTTTATTAAAACTCAAGAGTGAAATTGAATTATATGTGAAGGAATGTAACCACGTCGTATCTCGGTTTAGGATTTGTTTTTATAGTGAGTCGGTGTGTGTGTGTGTGTGTGTGTGTGTGTGTGTGTGTGTGTGTGTGTGTGTGTTTGGTCGTGTATACAGTTATTGGTATATTAAATAGGTCACCTGAAGATTAGCCACCCCAATTTCATTTGATAAAACACCCTAACTCGACCTGGGAGAGGGGTTAGGTTAAGTTAGTTGAAGTTATGTTAGATAAGCGTTAGGTTATGTTAGGTAAGGTTGGATTTTCGATAATATAGGTTAGGTTAGGGGCTAATCATCAGGTCAGGTTAGGTTAGGGGCTAATCATCAGGTCAGGCTAGGTTAGGGGGCTAATCATCAGGTCAGGTTTGGGGGCTAATCATCAGGTCAGGCTAGGTTAGGGGACTAATCATCAGGTCATCCATTCTGAACATATTTCTGTTTTCTTAACCATTAATTAGACCTTTTGTTTAGTTTATCCTGAACCATTATACTCAACAGTAATTAAAGTCCCCGTCATTTTTATAAAGCTTCAACTCAATGTGGCCAATTAGCCTTGAGCCTCGAGCAACACCTGAGTTAGTGGAGTCTTTTATACGTGTGTTATTAGGCTCGTTGTCCTCTACCTTCGTCCCGTATATATGACCGTCGTGCCTAATAACAGGATCTAATACACAATAGTGGAGACTCAATGCTAAATACGTCCCCAGAAGCGATTCAAATTCAGATTGTTTTCCTTCGTTCAAAAAATATAACCAAATATAAATTTACGTTCAAGGGGTAAGTTAAAAGTAGGTCTCTTACCCCCTACCTGTAAAGACCTCTCTCTCACTCTTCCCCAACCACATATAAGACCTTCTACCCCACACAAAGACCCTCAAGACCCTCCAAACTCCTTTCTACTCCCCCCAAAAAATAAAGACTTCATACCTCTTAAAACAAACACAACCTCTCGGAAAAATAAAGACCCTTTACCCTTACCACCCCTTACCCCTACCACCCCTTACCCCTTCCGCCACTATTCCTAACCTACCCCAAACATCTCCGCCACCCCCACCCCCTTCCCCTCCACCCCCACCCCCCTTCCCCTCCACCCCTAACCCCCCCTACAGAGAGAACCTGAAAAAATGAGGACTGATAATCAATAACTGACGAGAAGAGATGTTGAAGACGTGAGTGCCATTGTTTTAGGGAGCCCTGCTTTAAATGATGTTGGTGAGAGGGAGGATGAGTGGGGGGCATGAGTGGGAGGGATGGTGGAGAGTTAGAGGGGTCGTTGCAGGGAGGGTGAGTAAGAGGGATGGTGGGAGGATGAGTGGGAGGGAAGGGTGGTGAGTGGATAGTGAGAGGGATGGTGGATGAGACGGAGAGGAAGATTGAGTGACAGGGAGTGGTGAGAGGGAAGGAGTGTTTGAGGGAAAAAGAGAGAGGGGAGATATTATTGTGTTTTAAACTATTTCCGTATGTTTATTTCACTCTATTCTATGTTTACTTGACCTTATTTCTGTACGTTAGATTCACGAGAAAAAAAAATCATTAAAGATACCATTGAAAATTGGGTCCGTCGTAACCTACTTAGCGGGGGTAACTAAGGTAGAAATGAACACACAGGAAGGTTTGTGTTCACGGTCGGGAAAACAGTTTGAAATGTGTAAGACTTGAGGTGAGTATGACTTGAGAAGCGTCGAGGAGTAGCACCAGGAGGGTTTTAGGCCATTATGTGTTAGTGAGTTGACTTAGTAGTTTTCTTAGTCTCAGTGTAGTGGGAGATATTATACTTGTATTTATATTAATGGTGATTGTTGTTTTCTTTCGTTTCTTGTTTTTGTGTTACTTATAAGTATTTTCTTTACTTATAGTTTATTTTTATTTTTTTTTTTCTCTCTCTCTCTCTCTCTCTCTCTCTCTCTCTCTCTCTCTCTCTCTCTCTCTCTCTCTTAACTTACAATAATTTCATACCAGATACAAGAATGAATATAAGTTCCCCCATTGATCGTCTTTTGTTTTGCTGTTTACAAGTGACTTTCTCTTCCCCTTCTGACGCCTATAGTTCTTTGAGGTCCGGATTTCCTTCCCTCGTGTTCACATAAACCTTTCCCCGGGCGACCCACCACTACCTGACACAATACTCCACCTTCAGGCAGGTCCTTGGCTCACAGTATACGAAGGAACACTGCCCATTTGATGCGTCTTGAGAGAGAGAGAGAGAAAGAGATTGGATTCAACATGTCTCTTGTCCTAAGGATGTCTAGTTTAATCCCCGGGGCGCCCTTAGTCCACCCAGCTGTGAACGTACAGTGCCGAGCCGCCAGACCTATGGAACCCACTTTTACTTTCGTGTGTGTGTATGTGTTTACCTATCTTACAAAAAATGTCAGTATACTGGCTGGGGAAGGAGGAGGGGACTGAAGGAAGGAGAGAATGGGTAAGACAGTGAGGGAGGGAACGAAGGAAGGATGAGAGTAGCGCGGGGGTCTCAGGTGAGGGAGGGAAGGAGGGAGGACCAGGTAATGAGCGCCTCTACACGGTGTAGCCCTTCGTCAGAGAGCTCGAAGGACGTGCTCGAGGGAGGCCGGGCGTAAGTCAAGACGGGCCTCGGGTGATGCAGTGTGTGGCAAGGCGGGGAGGGGAGGTGTGTGGCGAGGCGGGGAGGTGCAGCGTGTGGCGAGGCGGGGAGGGGCGGAGTGTGAGAGGAGACAGGAGAGGAGGACGTTTACTCCCTTGTTTAGTTATTGAGGTTAAATAACTGTGTCGCCATGTGTGTGTGTGTGTGGTCTGGGGGCTGAAAGGGCTGCTGGATAGAGGGATGAACGGTGGGAGGGAACTTGGCGAAGGGCTGTGTACTGGGGTTGGAAGTACAGTATAGTTAAACACGGAGAGTAATATGTATAGTCTGAGTTGTAACCTTTGATGAAAATAATAATAATATTAAAAATAAAAGTTGGCGCAGAATAGTTACCAACTCAAAGGCAAAAAATTACTCGAGAGAGAGACACAGGCAGACACAGGACCCGACTCGCACTCAGGAGGCAGCAGAGGGAGAACACGAAGCTCCTCCTCCTCCTGCAGACGAATCAAAGAACAACAAAGGCGAGATCCCAGTGGGTGGATGACACACACACACACACAGGGGGAAGAGAGTGGGTGATGATGCTGGTGTAAAGAGGAGGAGAAAAAGGAAGAGGAAGAGGAGGAGAGGCCGAGGAGGAGGAGGAATATGCGAACACTGGACAAAAAAGAGTTAGATTGCCTTCGCCCTCTTCGTCAGGCAGTGGAGGAACGGAGTGTGTTCTCGTAGTTCCCTTACCGATCATTCACTCAATCATGAAGAGTTGCTTTTAATGCTTGAGAACTTCTTAGTGTTATCTTGTGGTCTTGAGAACGCCTTGGTGTTATCTTGCGGTCTTTAAAACGTCTTGGTGTTATCCTATGGTCTTGAGAACGCCGTGATATTATCCTGTGGTCTTGATAACGTTTTGGTGTTATCTTGTGGTCTTGAGAACGTCTTCAATACATCATCTCACATGAGGGTTGAGGCGCCACACTCAACACCTAGAATGTTTGGAAGGAATAAATGGAGAATTCTTCCTTCTCATATTTACATTCAACCTTGAACGGTTTATACAAGTGTCAGCCTTCCATTTGGCACCTCAGAGTGTCAACCGAGTCTTAGAAGGTCTTGTGAAGGTCTTGCGAGTGTATTTACTAGTCTTTACCAGCACGAGATATAGCATAATAATGTTGACACGGTAAATATTATGACGTGTGTGTGTGTGTGTCGCTCTCTATATAATCGCAGCAACCTCTTCTCCAAGTCCATATATGTATCAAGCATTTACACTACTGCTCTATAACCTGTGCGGACGTGATCGAGACACCACTCTCCTCCTCCTTCTTCCTTACTCCTTATTCCTTCCCCTCTTCCTCCTTCTCTTCGTCCTCCTCATCCCGCTTCTTCCCACCACGTCCAATCATTATCCACTTTAATACTCCACCACTCGTCTCCTCTCCCACTCTACCACCCACTCACCCCACTCCCACTCCATTTCCACTCACCCCACTCCACTTCTCACAGTCTACCATTTACCAAGCACATTAATCCCCTCTTACTTCCTCTTTCGTCAACGTCAGCTGGTCCACTAAAAGCATTTCGTCCTCTTTATGCTTCAAGTACTATTGTCTCACACTTCACACTCACACTACACACTCACACTACACACTCACACTACACACTCACACTACACACTCACACTACACACTCACACTCACACTACACACTCACACTACACACTCACACTTCACACTCATTTCACACGCACACATGACACTCACAAATGGGAACATGACTGGAAAAAGTGACACAAATGAAAGGAAAGGTGAGACAAATGAGAGAGAAGTGAGACAATTGAGAGAAAAATGAGACAATTGAGAGAAAAGTGAGACAATTGAGAGAAAAGTGAGAGAAAGGTGAGAGAGGACAAAATGAAATAAAAATAATAAGACACACTTAGAGATAATGAGGAAGACTGAGAGAGACAATAAGAGACAATTTCTTGAGTGTGCTTGACTGTGAGTCATTACTGTGCTTGTACCAGGCCATGACGAGTGTAGCCCCGGGACTACCTGCGACTGTGAGCTACCTGGGACTATTTGGGAGTATCTGGGACTATTTGGGAGTATCTGGGACTATTTGGGACTATCTGGGACTATTTGGGACTATCTGGGACTAATTAGTACCTTTAGCTAACCCGTTCACCATCATGTAGCCAGGCAAGTCAAGAATAGCCCCTAGACTACTCTCTCTCTCTTACCATCCTGTAGCCAGAAAAGCCAAGAGCATAGTCCCGGGGCTAGCCAAGAGCATAGTCCCGGGGCTAGCTAAGAGCATAGTCCCGGGGCTCCCGGGGCTAAGAGCATAGTCCCGGGGCTAGCCAAGAGCATAGTCCCGGGGCTAGCTAAGAGCATAGTCCCGGGGCTCCAAGCTGTTAACCCTGTAGCTGTCTGTTCACCAAAGCCTTGTCTGAAAATAGCGAGAGTGTGTATTGCAGGAGAGGGCTATTAGGTAGCAGCTGGGGCAGAGAGGGGAATGATGAGGTGAGGGAATGATGGAGAGAATGATGAGGGGAGGGAATGATGGAGAGAGAATGATGAGGGGAGGGAATGATGGAGAGAATGATGAGGGGAGGGAATGATGAGGAGAAATGATGGAGAGAGATGATGAGGGGAGGGAATGATGGAGAGAGAATGATGAGGGGAGGGAATGATGGAGAGAGAATGATGAGGGGAGGGAATGATGGAGAGAGAATGATGAGGGGAGGGAATAATGAGGTGAGGGAATGATGGAGAGAATGATGAAGGGAGAGAGAATGATGAAGGGAGAAGCGAAGGAAGAGAAAGTGAGGAAAGGGGTGAGAGTGAAAGGAAAGGGAGAAGAAAGTCAGAGAAAGTAGGAAAGTATAAGAAGGATGAAGGGAGAGAGAGTGAGAGGAAAGTATATGTGTTTGTGTATATACGTGTGTGTTGGTGTATGTGTATCTTACTGTATGTGTTTATTAGCGTATGTATGTTGGTATATGCAAGGTGTGTGTGTGTGTGTGTGTGTACTGTGTATATTCGCGTATGGAGGGAAACTGGTACACACCCTTCCGGTATTTGTGTCCACAGCTGGTAGACATGTAAACATCTTGGCGCCCAGTACCCAGTTTGTTTACACTTAACAGCTGACTCTGTGTGGGGACGGAGGAGGGTGTGTGATGGAGAGGTGACAGACAGACAGACAGACAGAAAAAGATATATATTAAGATACATAAAGAGACAGAGACAAAGAGACAGATATTCAGACAGGCAGAGAGACACCAAATAAATGTCTACAGAGGAGGTATCAGGTTAGATTAGGTTAAAATAAACAGGTGTGCTTAAATCTTCAGGTGATATCATCCACACTCCCAAAAATCTAACACATTTTATTATCATCCTCTTATCTTTTATCTTTTAGCGCCAACTTGTGCGGTATGCTTTCCATGTTGGGTCTGGAAGGTTCGGGAGACACACTGGCAAGGGAGCTGGGTGGTGACAGGCGAGGACGTGTGTCTCTTAATGCTTTCCTCGCCTCCCGTAAACATCTGGCTCACGAGGTTAATGCCATCCGTAGTGAAGGTGAGTTCTTGACCCCTGCTGTTGGCCTGTGTGTGTGTGTGGAGAGGGGAGTCCTATCTGTTTGCTTGTGTGTTTGTGTATTGATTTTTTTTTCATTTAATATTTTTCCTATATATATTTTCTTTATCTCTCTCTCTCTCTCTAATGTTCCCTCGTGGGCAGGTGGCGGCAGCTGGACTCCTGAGTTGTGGTCAGGTGGTTCAGAAGGAGGTGACGTTGACCCCTCCCTCCTCCTGCAACGGCCCCCTTCCTCCCTGCTGGATGTGCCCGGGCCAGGGAGGAGGCGACAGGGGATGGCCCTGAGTTATCGTCGACATACAAGCAGACAAGTCCTCGAAGCTACCAATAAGGTCAGTGAAGGTCAATCTGATACTCTAGGAAGTCATTCTAGGTCAAGGTTACGTGTGGTAAGTCGTATCTCTCTGGGGTCATTCTAGGTCAAGGTTACGTGTGGTAAGTCGTATCTCTCTGGGGTCATTCTAGGTCAAGGTTACGTGTGGTCAGTCGTATCTCTCTGGGGTCATTCTAGGTCAAGGTTACGTGTGGTCAGTCGTATCTCTCTGGGGTCGTTCTAGGTCAAGGTTACGTGTGGTCAGTCGTATCTCTCTGGGGTCGTTTCGGGTTAAGGTCAAGGTCAAGGTTGCGTCAAATAACTCGTATGACAAAACACCCAAAAAATTACTTATCCAAATCACAATTTTTCTTTTATTTCTATTTTTATCTTTATTCTTAACTATTTTTTTTTACCTAATAAGAGAAAGATTTCGTAAATGGTTTATTATTTTTTATTTTCATTTTTTTCGTCATTTTACCGAGAGAGAGAGAGAGAGAGAGAGAGAGAGAGAGAGAGAGAGAGAGGCGGCTTTTAGGCTAATGACCAGCTTCAGGAGTCATTATGCTGCAGCTTCCGGCTACATGAACAAGTGACTGCATTTTTTGACCTTAAGTTGTTCATGTTCTCAGGTCATTCAGGTCCCTTCCAGGTCTCCCACCCACAGGTCCCTTCAAGGTCTCCCACCCACAGGTCCCTTCCAGGTCTCCCACCCACAGGTCCCTTCCAGGTCTCCTATATACGATATTTAGGTCTTCAGGTCTTCAAGTCCCCGGACTCCCGTTACACTGGTCACCAGGTAAAAAAAATAAACACTGCAGTTCTTTGGGGGAAAAACAGAGCTTTTTCTACATCTTCCTGAAGAACATAATAGTGTGTGTGTGTGTGTGCGTGTGTTTACGACAAGGATATACAGTATACATGCTTTAAAAGTGCCTTCACATACACACACAACACAGGCTCACATGAATGACCCTTTGACGTATGCACAGAGGTAATGCGCTTGCCAGGGTTTGTCACACACACACACTTCCTCCTGTACACCGCCATCTGTTTTACCACGTTATGGTCCTGAAGAGAGAGAGAGAGAGAGAGAGAGAGAGAGAGAGAGAGAGAGAGAGAGAGAGAGAGAGAGAGAGAGAGAGAGAGATTCCTCACCTAGGCTGCAGGCGGACGATGAGTTTACAATTTTGATGAGTTCTTCACAGAGATTAATATTTTATCTCTTTAAAAAGTAGAACAACAGAACAGAATAACAAAAACACTTCTATGTTCACGGTGAGTTAGTGAGATGTATTAAAGTGTTTCTGGTATCTCAAGGGTGGAAGAGGGTGTATGGGAGGGGTGGAGAGGGTGTATGGGAGGGTGGAGAGGGTGTATGGGAGGGGTGGAGAGGTGTATGGGAGGGTGGAGAGGGTGTATGGGAGGCTTTCTCGAGCCTTGTAGACCTGTGGTGGTTTCTGTCTATTTATGACCTCTGTAACATTGATTTTGTGGCGCCAAGGTGGAGGAAATGGGAGGGAGAAGGGTATGAGAGGAAGAGGGGAGGAAATGAGAGAGAGAGAGTATGGAAAAGGAGGAAAGGAAGGGGTGTGGTAGAGAGAGAAAAGAGAGGGAATGATGGAGAGAAAGAGGTGGAAGGAAATGAAAGGGAGGAGAGGAGGGAAGAGAAAGGAAATGGAAGGGAGTAGAGGGAGGGAATGACAGAGAATAAGGAGGGAAAAAGGAAAGAGATAAGACTTCAAGGGTGAGGTTGGTGTGGTGACAGTCCTGGAGGGTCGAGTGTTGTGTTGTGTGTGGGAGACAGAAGGAAGAGGTCGATGGCAGCCTTGTGACGAGGGACGTGTGGTAGGTGAAGGTAAGGTGACTATGAGCCTATACCTGTGTTGTTCTCTCTCTCTCTCTCTCTCTCTCTCTCTCTCTCTCTCAATTCAACTCTCCCTCCTCCCTTCCTTCCTCCCCCTCCCTCTCTCTCTCTCTCTCTCTCTCTCTCTCTCTCTCTCTCTCTCTCTCTCTCTCTCTCTAGCGCCTGCATACACATGGTGACTAGCTGAAATACGTTGCAATATTTACTAATGCACCGAGTTGGTTATGCAGGTAGCATATTGATTTAGGTCTGTCTTAATCTCTCTCTCTCTCTCTCTCTCTCTCTCTCTCTCCTCCCCCATTGTTTAATATTCAAAGCCCTATTGTTATTACATTAAAAATACTCGTAACGTAAAAATAGTTCTGCAACAACAACACGACTCCACCTCTCTACCTGTCTGTCTACCTGTCTCTTACTACCTGTCTCTTACTACCTGTCTCCTCACCGTATTTCTATAGACAAACTATATCCCTGTTCAGTACCCATCCACGATAGGTTAGGTTAAGTTATGGTTTGGTTAGGTTAAGTTATGGTTAGGTTAAGTTATGGTTTGGTTAGGTTAAGTTATGGTTAGGTTAGGTTAAGTTATGGTTTGGTTAGGTTAAGTTATGGTTAGGTTAGGTTAGGTCTACCAGAAGAACTAGCCCCGAATGCTAATGGTTAGGTTAGATTTGGTTGGGGCTAACATTAAGGCTGGGGTCTATTAGCACTGGGGTCTATTAGCACTGGGGTCTATTAGCACTGAGATCTATTAGCACTGGGGTCTATTAGCACTGGGGTCTATTAGCACTGGGGTCTATTAGCACTGGGGTCTATTAGCACTGGGGTCTATTAGCACTGGGGTCTATTACGACTAGACCCCTATAAGCCAACCCTCTCTTACCCTGGCATCATAATATACCAAGATAAACTCTAAACTACCATCACACAGTGGGTGGACCGGGCTGCCCCACACCACCAAGTGTCCCACGAATTTTCAACGTCTAAAAAACTCAAGCGTTCCACCATTCTCTCTATCTCATCCTCCTGGTTTTAATTCGTTTCCAGCTGACGAGTCATGAGAGAATGCAATAACTGCCTCCTCCTCCTCCTCCTCCTGTTTCTTCTTCTTCATCTTCTTCCTCCTCCTTATTCCCTTTTCTTCTCCTCCTCCTCCAGTCTCGGTGCAATTTAAACGCCATCTTTGACTGGGGACTGAATAGGTGCAGAGACAAATTAGTTAGATGCGTTTTTACAGTCAAGTCCAGTCATTTTTACAGTCAAGTCCAGTCATTTTCGAGCGGTGTAGGGGGGAGGGTGGTGTGGGAGGTGGGGTGTGGAGGTGGTGGTTGGGAGTGGGGGTGTGGGAGGTGGGGTGTGGAGGTGGTGTGGTTGGGGGTGGGGGGGGTGGTGTGTGGAGGTGGGGTGTGGGGTGGTGGTTGGGAGTGGGGAGGGTGGGGTGGGGTGTGGGTGGTGGTTGGGGTGGGGGGTGATGTGGGATGGGGTGGGGGTGTGGTTGGGGTGGGGTGGGTGGGTGGTGTGGGGTGGGGTGTGGAGGTGGTGGTTGGGGAGTGGGGGGGTGATGTGGGGGTGGGGTGTGGGGTGGTGGTTGAGGTGGTGATGTGGGGAGTGGGAGTGGGGAGGGTGATGTGGGTGGGGTGTGGAGGTGGTGGTTGGGAGTGGGGTGTGGGAGGTGGGGTGTGGGTGGTGGTTGGGGAGTGGGGGGTGGTGTGGGGTGTGGAGTGTGTGGTTGGGTTGGGGAGGGTGGTGTGGGTGGGGTGTGGGTGGTGGTTGGGGTGGGGGTGGTGTGGGTGGGGTGTGGGTGGTGGTTTGGGGTGGGGTGGGTGGGTGGTGTGGGAGGTGGGTGTGGAGGTGGTGGTTGGGAGTGGGGGGGGAGGGGGAGGGAGTGTGGGGATATATGGAATTTACGATACAATAGTTTGGGAATTTAAGGACATTACAGCGTCCCAAAATACCCGGAAGTTGATGATGTATTTATGAGGGTGTCCTAAAGGGTCGCTGATTCGGTCCCGTGGTACACATGCATCATTTAGTTGTGAATGGGCGCCTGCATTTACAGTTTGGGGAAATGAAAATGGTTTGAGTTCAGTGTCGCTTGCTAATCTAAATCTAACCTGATGTTGATTATAACTTATACTCTCTCTATATATACAACCACTACAACTACAACCACTACAACTACAACCACAACAACAACTACTACTACAACCACTACCACCACACACAGCCGCAGCCTCCCCCTTCCCTTAGCGCTGTGAGTCCCTCCGTGCAAATTCCTTCCTAAGTCGTCCACCACAACTTCAAATCCACCGCATATGCCCACAAAATGTGAGACTGGGACCTACTAACACCTCGTGGTATTTAAATGGATCCAATAGAGTTAGGGAGAGGTGCTGCGACGGCCAGCCTGCCCTGTGAATGATATCTTTCTCCCCCTCACATATAGGCGTAAAATCCTATCGTATTGAGGATTTGTTCAGTGATAAAATCGGTTTGTGGTGATGGTGACGATCGTCGGTCATCTGGCAGTGTGGGTGATGAGGGTTGTTGGGAGGGGAGGGTGGGGGGAGTGAGGCTGTTGCCGGGCGTACGATCAACACCTTAGATAAAAAATAATGGACTATTTTTCAACTTAGATGTAATATTATTGAAATATATCTTATAAAATATATGTGGATTGGATATATAGTTATTTTTAGTATTAATAGATCATAAAACGAGGTGGTAAGGCATTGTTATTGTTATGAATGTTTCTATCTATGGTTGCAGTAAACCTCCGAGTCACCTTAATAATGCATGAATAATTTGTTCACTTAACTACCCAACGTTGAGGTAATAGTGTTAAGCTTGTTCTGATGGATGGTTGAGCAGCCACCCACCAGGAGTACATTTGTTATGCCTATAGTCATGCAAATGAGTTAATCTAAACGGTGTGCACTGTGTTAAGCTCTGTAGGTGGTGTGTACTGTAGCAAAAGCTCTCTGTTGGACCGCATAAACGGTATTACTCAAGCTCTGGTTACCTATAATCGCTTCTAATGGACAAAAAAGTCTCCGATCCTTCAACTTCAGCAAATTGGCTCCAGTCGTATAACTCCTATTGAAATAGGACCTATTTTCTCTGAGTGTTTATACAAATATGGCGTCGTATGA